TCAGACCCGAATTTGGATGCCTGTTCCGCTGCTTACTAACTGTAACCTTGCGAAGTTGATGTTTTCTTTTGTGCTTCAATTTTCTCCTCTGCAAAATGGAGGGGGGGTGGGGAGGGGAAGTAATGATAATACCTACCTTATAGTGTTTCTGAAAGTACCAGCGACATAATGCAGTAAAAATACTAAAGTCCCTGCACTGCCAGCAATCAGTAAAGCTGGTCACTATATCTACTGCATATCCAGAGATATCTACTATATCTCTGGATAGTTTTCAAGTGCTTCAGTGCCCTTCTCCTCCCCACCAATGCATATTGCCATACCATTTGGCAGATATTTACATTATAGAATAAGAATACCATAATGTTGGCTTTTTCTTTTTTTCCAGGATTGGTCATGTCCAATGGCCAGACTTGGAAGGAGCAAAGAAGGTTCACCCTGGCAACACTAAAGAACTTTGGTCTAGGAAAGAAGAGCTTAGACAAATGCATTCAGGAGGAGGCCTGTAACCTCATCCAGGCGATAAAAGAGGAGAATGGTGAGCATTTCCTAGGACAGGTGCAGGAGACTGTGACTCTGTTCATTCGCTGAACAGATGCTTATTAAGTGCCTTATGTACCCAACCTGGACCCAGTGCTGTGCCGGGCACTGAGGTTATTACAGTGAACAACTAACCATGAACTTGCCTGCACAGAGCTCTAGGATTAAGTGCAGGAAGATTAATATTAAACACATTACTGATTTTAAACCCTGGTCATCAGCCTGACTTCCCAGGTATTGACTATTTGCTATATGTCAGACCCTAAGTAGGGGACTGTGGCTAGAGCCTCATAGGTGGTTCTGTGCTCAAAATGTCATATGTCCTATGTCCTGTAGAGGAAACTCTCAGTAGAAAATAGAAACAAACCAATCTGAGAGATCCATCTCTTCTTGCACCTCCAGGACAGCCTTTTAACCCTCACTTCAAGATGAACAATGCAGTTTCCAATATTATTTGCTCTATCACCTTTGGGAAACGCTTTGACTACAAGGATGAACAGTTTCAGGAACTGCTGAGGTTGCTGGATGACGTCACCTTTCAGGAGGCATCAATGAGATGCCAGGTAAGGGGTTAGACTATCTGATGTCCGACACAGATGGGTTCGGACTTTTTGGTTCGTTTAAGCTAAAATATCACTTTTTGAAATGGACTTCAACTCAAACTTGCTCGAAGTCAATCTGTTGCCTTTAGTGTTTTCTGATAATATAACGGGATATTCACTACATACACAGAACATTTCTAACACTCATGTAAAGTACAAAGCGTTACATGATATACACCTATGCATCTGTATTATTTTCTTTAAAAAGCACAATGTTGCTGTCGCCTTTGGAGTCCGGCCCCTCCACATCCCTCCCCACCCCAGCACTCCCCCGCCCCAGAAGTGTTCTTCAGTGCCTTCCTTCTCTGTCCACAGATTGTTTGGAGGTTCAACTGTGCTAGTTGCTCTTTTCTTTTTTAAATCCTGAATGGCATTTCATTGTATGAATATGCCACTGTTTGTTCCTCCATCCTCTCTTTTTTTTTTAGTATATGTGCTGCCGAAGCGAGCACTCCTCCATCCTCTCTTGATGAACAACTGGGCTGTTTCCAGTTTGGGGAAGTTATGGATAAAGCTACCACAAACATTCTTGTACAGTTGTTTATGTGGACATGTCCATCCAATGTTATACCTGGACATAAAAAATGCCTAAAAGTTTCAAAAGTGGTTACACGACTTGCATGCCCATCAGCACTTGATATTATCAATCTTCTCATTCCATAGGGTACAGACCTTTAGGATTTCAAACTTCACCCCTTCTTTGGTGGGCCCTGTACTCCATTTTGTCCCTCTGGGTCTGTGAGTCTGTCAACAACTCTGCTCAGCTTCTTGGTCTCTCAGCCACTTTTCTGGATTTGGAAGGTTCTTCTATGGGAAAAGCAGGCCCAAATGTTAAGGTCACCTTTCTAGTATCTAGAAGTGGATTTATTCTTATTTATTCCTGACAAGCATCTTTGCCTGGAGATTTACGGGCCCAATGAATCAAAACCAATAGGGTGTTAGCCTGATTCCATGCACATTAAAAGGGTGTGATGAATGTGAGCTATTATTATTATTATCAAAGTTATTTTTGAGTTCCTTTTTCTCATTCCTGGTCACAGTGGTCTCTAATTCAACAACTCCATATTCTTTGGCCCCATGAAGGTGGAAGCTAGAAAGTCACGAGAGTTCGTTCAGTGGGTACCCAGCTGATCTTCCCCAGGGAGAAGTAATTCGTGAGAGGGTTGGAGGGGACAGTATGGTAAGGTTAATAATAAGCATTCCCTGGAGTCCCAAAATAGGCCAGGCATCTGATGGACAGCAATACAGACTTTACCATAGTTACTTTTTACAAAACCTCCAGAAAGATGAAATGAAGCATCACAGTGTGTGCAGGCAGGTATGAGAGTGTGTGATAGTGATCCACTGGCTCGGTCCTAGGTGCTGTATGGACCTCAGGTCACTCAGTCACCAGAATAATCCTGGGCCCCTGTGGGCAGCTGGTTAAACTGAGGAGCAACAAAATACACCATCATTATCATTGTCGTTGTTATTGTCAACAGAATATATGGCTGGAAAGCAGCAGAGCTAATCGACCTGTACCTGTATCTGTTTAAGTCTGAGTGATTTTCTGTTATGTCTTGCTTCTTTCTACCAGAAGATATTATTCGGGAAAATATTTAAATATTTTTAAAAATACTTTTTTTCAGTAAAATACATCTTACCTACATGGAGCTAACATCATAGCAGAGCAGACAAATACATGACATCTATCTATCTATCTATCTATCTATCTGTCTATCTGTCTATTTATCCATCCACCTTACACACACACACACACACACACAAACACACACACACACACACACACATTTGTGGTAATTACCAAGAAGGAAAATAAAACAGGATATGGGAATGGAGAGAGGCTGGCAGGGGTGATAGTAGGTGACATTTGAACAGCACCCAAATGGACTAATGCAGTGGGGGGCTGGAACTATACAGATTTCAGAGGAAGAGTGTTCTAGGTGGAAGGAACAAATGCAAAGGCCCAAACAAGAACATCCTTGATGTCACCACAGGGGCTAGTGGTGCTGCACTGGAGAGAGTCAGAGAGAGCAAGATGGCGGGAAATGATAGCGAAGGAGGTGACAGGTGTGTGCGGTGGCTGGCTCATGCAGAGCTTCTGTGCCAGGAGAGTGATGTAGAGCTTGTCTGAGAGCCATGACAAATCATTGGAGGATTGAGAGCCAAGTAGTGAAATGGTCTGATTAAAGCCTGAGATGGTGCCCCTGGCGGCTCTGTGGAAAAGAGATGAGGAGTGGGTTAAGAACGGAATCAGTGAGGCTGAAGCAGCCAGGTGGGAAATGTTGGTGGTTTGTACTAGGGCAGAACGTGGCTTGGGGTAGTGAGACGTGGTCTGAAACTGGACACATTTTGGATGGAGTGCTAAAGTGCTCTGCTAGAAGGTGAGAGAGAAGAGTCTAGGTGACCCCAAGGTTTTAAGAGCCTGTAAGTGAGAGATAGAAAGAGAATATCCATTATTTTGTCTAAAGTGAAAAACGGGTATCAGATTGTCTCTGTGAGTGTTATGTTTTTTTCAATTAGCTCTACAATGTATTTCCGTGGATTATGAAATTTCTTCCTGGACCCCACCAAACACTCTTTCGCAACTGGGAGAAACTGAAATTGTTCGTTGCTCATGTGATTGAAAATCACAAGAGAGACTGGAATCCTGACCAAACAAGAGATTTTATTGATGCCTACCTCAAGGAGATAGAAAAGGTGAGGAAATCAGAGTTGTTTCCTTAAAGAGCAAGGAGGCGGGGGGGGGGGGGGGAGGGGGGGAAGGGAGGCAGTACTAGTTTCCTGTTGCTGCTGTAACAAATGACCACAAATCCGGGAGCTCCCAACAATGCACATTTGTTTTCTTACATTTCTGGAGGTCTGAAATCAGTGTCACTGGGCTAAAATCAATGGGCCGGCAAGGCTGGTCCCTTCTGGAGGCCCTAGGAAAGAATCTGTTTCCTTGACATTCCCAGCTTCTAGAGGCTGCCTTGGCTCAGGACCCCTTTGTCCACCTTTGGAGCCAGCACAGAGCATCCTTTCTGCTACCATCCGTCTCTTGCCTCTCTCTTATAAAGATCCTGGTAATTACTTTGGACCCACTGGAAGAATCCAGAATCACTTTCCCATACCAAGTCTTCATTGTATCTACAACATCCCTTTTAGCATATAAGGTAACACCCACAGGTTCCAGAGACTAGGATATGGACCTCTCTGTGGGTCATTATTTAGCTTACCATGAGCGAGTCAAAACAGAGGCAGTATTTCATAGAGAGAAGCAGCATTAATTCAGGATTGATGAGGCAGGTAGAAATCAACAGAGGGGTAAATGATATTTGGCTTGAGGCCTTGGGGACACTCAAATACTGCCTGTGCATCTTCTGTTCTCTGCCCTTTGCCCAGATCTGAAGGAGCTACACGTGAAAAGAAAACTACCAATTGAGCTTCAAAGCATCCTTCCACTGTTAGTTGCACCTGTGCCCAGCTGCCTGCCCTTCCCCTCAGCCTCCAGTGCAGAACATAAGAAAAGCTGAGTTGGAGGCCAGAGTTCAGCCTCAGTGCCTAAGTGGGACTTCTGCCTTCTTCTCTCATCTTTCTATCCTCTACTTTCCAACATTATAGGAAATAAGCAAGGAAAAACCAAACTAGATGTGTAGTCTTTAGCCCAGTAACCCCTGTGTTCAATATACATTGATGCATCAGTGTCACTGTCATGATCATTGGCTTGTCAGATTAGTTGTGCCTCCTCTTGCAATCGACAGAATGGTAGGTTTCTATCCATCTCCCCTTTTATCTCACCTTATTGGCATAACATTAACAGAAGCATTGGTTTCTCCACAAAGGAGGAGATGTCACTTGCTAAGTGTTGTGCAGGTACGGAGCCACACATTGAGAGGATTATTGGCAAATTGAAGCTTCTGGGGGAAAGTGGTAAAGATGATGGAATTCCATGAGGAATGGTTGACAGAATCAGAATGGTTCCACCTAGAATGGAAGACATTAACAGGGAGATAGGAAATTCTGTTACCTAAGACAAATTCAGTTTATTCTTCCTGGTATCAGCACAGACATGTTGAGTTGTTACGTGCTCTTTTCATCTCATGTAATTTAAAATGTCATCTTAAGGGGCATGCGTATTTCATTTCTATTTTCTGAAACAGGAAACTGAAGCACAGCGTGATGAAGTGACCTGCCCTAGGTCATACAGATAGCAAATGGTGTAGCTAATACTGGAACCCAAGTCTGTCTTTCCAGTGAAAGACTTCTCTTTCCACTGTACCAATAGATTCTCCGAAATTATGGGCATAAAAAAGAAAAGTGTCTCGATTTTCATCCACCAAAGCTAGCGAAAGCTCCCAGAACTTGAGGTGGTAGGATGCTAGAGATGTTGCTGTAATAAGTCTCTACCTCTTGAGATGGCCAAAGGGAAGGATAGTTCCCTGGGAATCTTTTCTTCCACATTCTCTCCCTAGGATGAGGCCCCTGTGTGTTGTAGTAACCAAGAACGCACTGAATAAACCAATAAACATTGTGATTTCTAGAATAAGGACAATGCTACCTCAAGTTTCCACAAAGAAAACCTCATCTACAGCACCCTGGACCTCTTCTTTGCTGGAACCGAGACGACTTCCACAACGCTGCGCTGGGCTCTGCTTTACTTGGCTCTCTACCCAGAAATCCAAGGTGAGCCTGTCAGTGAGTGTGCCTGGGCCAGGACAGAATGGTGCCTCCTAGAGCATATTGCCCCCAAGCTGTCATGATCATTGGCTTGTCAGATTTATTTCTTTCCATATATTTACATCAAAGTATGTTTTATGAGTCATCATGTAAAATGCATTTGGAGCTATGAATTACATGTTCTGAAAAGTTGAAAAGCTACCTCGTTAGGATATAGATATGGCAACTGTAATAGGGTCTCCATAATAACAATAGCTTAAAATGATAGAAGTTTATAGCCAGCTTCATAGCACCATTATTCACACGATTGGAAAGATAGTCAGTCATGAGGTAATGTGGGCTTGAGAACAGGCACATTCTTCAATTTTTCTGTTAGGACCATGATGGGTTCACATAATACCAATATAGCAGAGTCCCTGGCCTCAGAACTCAGAATCTAGAGTGAAAACAGTGACGTCAGTTGACACTGTCGTGACTTCTGGGAAGAGATGTACCTTCTTATATGAAATCTTGTTACAAGCTTCTATCCTTTTAAGTCAGGTCTTCCACTGGCTTGTGGATGATGTTCAGACTCCTTAGTCTGGCATATCATGCTGTCTGATGTGCCGCCTCCTGTCTGTCCAGGCTTAGCTCCACCCTCCCTACATGGTGGCCTCCCAAAATTACATGTTGTTTTCTTTGCACTGTCCTTATTCATGCGTCCGCCATCACGCCTGCTCTTTCCTCTCATCTGCTTCCCCATTTTCTCTACATGGTAAATCACCAGCTGTGCTTGAAGAATGTGCTCAAATACAGCCTCCTCTAAGATGCTTCCTGACTCTCACAGGAAACTGCTTACTCTAGAGCTGAGTTTATCATTACTAGAATTATTTTCCTCCTCTAGAGATGGTCTAACACCCCTCCATTCCTGTGCCAATTGCACATTATTCATATATCTTCCCCAAAGACTGCCGTCCATTCAAGGGCAGTGACTGTTAGAATCTTTTTTCTTTTTTTCCCTCTCTCTAGGACCCAGAGCAGTTTGAGCACATGAGAGATGGGATGTTAGGATACAGTTTTTCAATCTTTGGGTACAGTTTATTAACAAGATATAAAATCAATTAATTTAGTGGCTCAAGACCAACCTTTTTTCCTAAAATAAAAATAGAATTAAAAAGATCAGAGTACTTCCCATGTACGAAGGATAAGACTGTTCATGAAACTTTATTTCTTTCCATATATTTACATCAAAGTATGTTTTGTGAGTCATCATGTAAAATGCATTTGGAGCTATGAATTACATGTTCTGAAAAGTTGAAAAGCTACCTCGTTAGGATATAGATTTGGCTTCTGTAATAGGGTCTCCATAATAACAATAGCTTAAAATGATAGAAGTTTATAGCCAGCTTCATAGCACCATTATTCACAATAGCCAAAAGGTAACAACCCAAGGGTCTATCAATGGAAGAAGGGATGAATAAAATCTGGAATACAATGCAATAATATTCATCCTCAACCAGAAGGAGTTTCTGACACATGTTATAACATTGATGAACCTTGAGGACATTATGCCAAATTAAATAATACAGTCACAAAAAGACATATACTGTGTAATTCCATTTCTATGAAGTTTCAAGAGTAGGTAAATTCATAGAAACAGAAAGCAGAATGGGGGTTTCTAGGAGTTAGTGTAGGAGAAAATGAGAAGTTACTGTTTAGCGGATGTACAGTTTCAGTTTCTCAAAGTAAAAAGTTCTGGAGATTGGTTGCACAGTGTGAATAACATTATTAAACTATACACTTAAATATGGTTAACATGGTGTATTTTAGGTCACATATATTTTACCGTAATTAAAAAAAAAAAAAAAATTCTAGGGATGCCTGGGTGGCTCAGTCAGTTGAGCATCTGACTCTTGATTTCAGCTCAAGTCATGATCCCAGGGTCGTGGGATCAAGCCCCATGTGGGGCTCCATGCTTAGCATAGAGCCGGTTAAGGTTCTCTCTCTCTCTCCCTTTGCACTCTTTCTAAAATAAAAATAAAATATATTTTAAAAAATTCTTATTTTTCTCAAAATTAAAAAATCTAAGCTTGACTCAGCAGAGCCCTTTGGGTTCTAAGCTCCTTCCAACATGTTGTTCTGTTGTGTCTAGAATGATGGCCTTGTTTGTACTCTCAAAGATGGCTCCCCTTGAGGGCTGCCTTTCCACGAGTGGGAAGGGAAGACGGAAACACACACTCTTTAAGGACATGATTCAAGTATTAAATAATCCTTCTACTTATATTCTACTGACCAGAACTTAGCCACATGGTCACACCTCCAAGGGAATCTGGGAAATGTAGTATGTAGCTAGGTAACCAGGTGTCCAGCTAAAAAACCATTATTTGGAAAAAAAGAAGAAAACAGCTATATTGGGGCACAAGTAGAAGTGTCTTTGATTTGCTGGGTATTCACCTAAACCAGTTCATGTAAACCTCAGGACATCCTTAAGAGGAAGGGAGATTTATCCTTACTAACATAGAAGAGAAAACTGAGGCTCACAGAGTTTAAGTAACTTGCAGTGGTCAAGTTGTAGAGCAAGCATTTGCAACCAGATTTGTCTAAAACCCAGGCCCTTTCCACTCCTTTCTCAGATACTTCCTGAGAAATCAGCATCTATAGAGCCTGCTATAGCTTTAGCCATTTTGATCCTGGTTATGCCATTCTGTAGTTTAATCACGCTTAAGGAAAGTTACAGACTAGTAGAATGATAGAACCTTCTTTTCCAGATAAGGTCCATGCCGAGATCGACAGGGTAATTGGCCAATCGCAGATGCCAAGTACAGCCGATCGAGAGTCCATGCCTTACACCAACGCCTTCATCCATGAGGTGCAAAGAATGGGAAACATCATCCCCCTGAATGTGCCCAGGGAAGTGATAAGTGATACCATGCTTGCTGGATACTACCTGCCCAAGGTAACCAGGGACTCCTGGCTTCAGACCTTCAAGCCCATCTTATAGAACTCTGAACTGGAAAGTGACACATACTCTTATCTTGGGGAATCACTTAAATAGGAAGGGAGACACATTATACCTGAGATAATACTTTTTTCTCCATGTGTGATCTTTGGAACCTTAGTTCAGCTAGACATTCACAGGTATTATGGCGGAGAAAGGGGATTCCTAGGTCAAACATGCTTAGGCAGAGACAGGCTTTTCTTTGCTGTGGGATCTCAGTGGCTTTGTTGGTTGGTTGGCTGGTTTTCACTATGTGATGTGCATTATGGGTCTTTGTGGGGACACAGCAGGCAGCAGTTCTCAGACTTTGCTGTGGAGCCCTTTTCTTTGCCTTTGTGGAGCTTCTCACAGCACTAGGAACCTGCCAGGCTTGGGAAATTCTGCTTCACAGTCCTGGGGTTCTAGAATATTAAATGGGAAGAGACACCTGGACCAATCTCACATTAATGCTGGTGTTTCTAGCATGATGTCTCCAGGAGTTTTCCAGCTTCTACTTACAGCCCTGAAGTGGGACCACCTCACAAAGCAACCAGTCCAGGTGTGTGCAACATTAATTATTAGAAAGAGAGAGAAAGGGACCGATGCTTATTAAGCAATGAGTATGTGACATGAGCCACAGAGATTCTTTCAAAATGTATTCATCGGTCCTCAGAATACCTGTTATTCCCATTTTATAAATTTGGAAGTCGAGTCTCAGGAGCGATAAAGCTTGCCTAAGATCGCTCAACTACACAGTGACAAGAGTTGAGTTCCAGAACCAGATCTTGTTTGTTTCCCAGGCTCATCTCTTTTGTACTACACCATGTTCTCTCCATAGGAGTTGCCTTCCTTGGGCTTGAAAAGAGTCTCGCTGCAATTGTTCTCTGTTGGTCCCTGTTAAATTCCTGTCCTCGCAAAGGAAATTCTGTTCTCACCGTGCCCACCAGTCTTAAGATCAAGGCAGACAGCTCTCCTCTGCCCTCTTGTGTCCTCTCTGCACATTGCACATTTACAGCTTCTTTGCTTTCTCAGGACGCTGATGGACCTCTGTGGGTCCATTCCACTTTTCTTAGGTCCCTCTGTGTGTGTCTTAACTTGCATTTTGAGCACTTTCTACACTAGACACTACATGCACGACCTCCCCTCAGGGGCTTCCCTCAACAGGCAGAACCTGAGGAGCTTACCTATTCCTACGGCTGTTTCCCTTCACTGTTTCTTACTGACTGACGTCTTATGGGTGAAGGCTGAGGTCTAAATTATTTCTCAGGGTGCTGTTTGGATTTTTTTAGCAATTTCTTTAGCTCAACACACTCATTCTATCAATGATATGTAATATCATCTTTAATAAAGATCCTGAGGACCAAGAGATCTTACTGACTATATCTTCTAGAGGCCAGAAGCCATGGCTTTGACATGAACTAGACCTTGTACAAAGCATGGCTCTACCTCCTCCGACTGATTGACTCTGGGCACATCACTTAACCTCTCAGAACTAAGATTTATTTATCTGTAAAATGACATTTAATACTACTTACGGGTGGAGAGAAGATGAGGTCGTGCATGTAGTGTTTAGTGTAGAAAGTGCTCAAAATGCAAGTTATTTATTAATTTAACAAATACCCGTTAGGCGTCTAAAAGGCTGCCACCTGGGAAAACTCTGAACAAAATAACTATGCAAGTATTTGCTTACAAATCATGGTAACTGCCCAGAGGGGAGGATTCACTGGTTTCTGTCAAGACACAGTCCAGCTGGAGTGGGGAGGAGGAGCGCGAGTGGTCTGAGAGAGCTTCCAAAGGGACGTGGTCGTGAGCTGAGGATCAGAGAGCAACTGAGAGCGCAGTGACGAAGTAGGGAGGGAGGGCATCCAGGCAAGGAGAACAGCTGGCAAAAAGGCCTGGAAACGAGTGGGAACATAGCATGTTAGAGAAGCTGAAAGAAGGCGTCTAAAGAAGGCGTCTGTGGTGCAAGGGCAGAAAGGAAGAGAGTGGTTCAGACAGGGGGTGGGGGGGCAGGAGATGGGTCTCTCCCCTAAGGGCGATGGGAAGCCACTGAAGGCTGTTCAAGGTGATGGTGGGTGGCTGGGGGTGGCATCATCCATCATGTTCAAAGCTCGCTCTGCTTTTAGAACGTGGAGCAGACTGAAAGGGGAGAAAGGCTGAGGACGTGGTGGGCAGCGCTGACAAGAGTGTAGGCAAGGCAGCTGGTAGCCTGGATCAGAGGCAGGGCTGGACACAGGACCAAGAGAGTAAAGTAAAATTGAGGGGCGCCTGGTGGCTCGGTCAGTTGAGTGTCTGACTTCGGGTCAAGTCATGATCCCACGGTTCACGAGTTCAAGCCCCAAGTCAGGCTCTGTGCTGGCAGGTCAGATCCTGGAGCCTGCTTCAGATTCTGTGTGTGTGTGTCTCTCTCTCTGCCCCTTCCCTGCTCATGCATTGTCTCTCTCTCTCCCTCTCACCCTCTCTTTCTCTAACATAAACATTAAAAAAATAGTAAATAAATAAATACATAAATGAAATACAAAGTAAAACCGAGCAGCCTCACTGAAGGACAGGATGAAGGCAGAATGAGGGAAAGGGAGACAGTACAGAGGCCTTCTGGGTTTCTTGCTGTGTCCCTGGATGGGTAATGGTTCCTTTCACTGGGGGACCTGATTCTATTATTCAGCCTCCTGTGGAGTGTACCAGACACTGGAGGAAAGAGATTGGGAGAAAAAGAGATGGATGGGACATCTTTTACCTGGGTAGAGCTGCCACAGTTATCACTTCACCGAGCGGCTGGGTTGACTGGGTATGGTCCTGGCTAACTAGCGTTTGCATTCTTCTCTCATTGGTGTAGACATGTCCCTGTAGAAAGATACACTCTGCAGTCAGTAGAAGCTACACTTCCCTGGTAAAATTCCTTGTACCATTGCAAAGAGCAAGGTACTTGGGGCGGGGAGGGGTTGGGCTCAGAAGACAGTGAGGTGGGAGGGTGAGGGAGTCTGGGGTGTAGTCAAGCCGTGGCCTGGGAGTCAGGTGACTGCTACCCTTCTGAGTGTGCGTGTTGCATGGGTGAAGCCTTGCCTGAGTCTTTTCTGCCTTCTCTAGGGGACCATGATCCTTACCAACCTGACTGCACTACATAGGGACCCAGCTGAGTGGGCCACCCCCGACACGTTCAATCCGGAGCATTTTCTGGAGAATGGACAGTTTAAGAAAAATGAATACTTTCTGCCTTTCTCAGTAGGTGAGTTGTGACAAAGAGGAGGCTCAGAATCCACAGTCTCTTTCTTGCCCTTCCCTACTCTTCTCCCCATCATCCTGGACTTTTTGAAGGTTTCCAGATAGCCCTGCTCAGCGTGACGCCCCTCCTGCAGTTCTTCACACCTGCGGATCCCTTACGTCCTCAGCCTTTGCTTGCATCTGATGGAGGTTTTAGCTTTACTCTGTTCTGTCCCCGGGACACTGGGGACAGAGACTCAATCCCTGTCTCTTGCTCACAAAGAAGGTTGGATACTTGCCATCTTTATAGAGTTTTTAAATGTCTCAAGTTATTTTTAAAAGCCTCCCACTCACACAGACCTAGAGCCAATTTATAATAATAGGGTGGGTGTGCGGCAAGGAGAGGAGCTACTTGTTTATCATTATGGCCGTCAGGATTGACTCTGGACGCCACTGTCCTAACTAGATGGGATTCTACCCCAAGAAGCCCTTTAGATTTAAAAAAATTTAATTACCCTTTAAAAACCTGGTTAATAACATTTATATAGCACAAAGCTTGTAAAGTACAAACGAGGCTGTAGTGAAAACTCTCACATGTTTCCAAGCTAGCTGGTTCCAATAAGATGTTTTAACTCTTAACATTGTAAAATGAGTAACAAAAATTCATAGTATATTCCAGGTATTGAGTTAGGTATGTTGCCTAGATGTTGTCAGGTAATTCCCTGATTCTTGAATTCTATAAAGATTTCTTGGGCATCTGTCACGGGTCAAGCATCATTGAGGATTTAACAATGAATGAAATAGAAAAGAAAAAAACTGCTCATTAAGCATGTGCTCTGGTGTAACATTACAGGGTTCACATTACTATAAACACTTCAAAGATAATGAGACAGAGGCTTAAAAGGGATAACTATGGCATCTAAAGTCATTAAATTCATGTGGCACAGCCAGAACTCAATGTTAACTAGATTTATAAAAAACTAAAGCCTGTGTTCTTCCTAACACTGTCTCCAAAACATATACACATATATACATATATATAATTTAGTTATATTATTTAGTTATATATATTATACATATAATATAGTTGTATATATAACTATATGTAGTTATATATAACTAAATGCTACACAGAGCCCATACTGTGAAATGCATGATAGTCTGCTTATAATTCACTTGAAAATAAACACAGATTGGTTTCCTGATCCAATATCCTTGTGCTGTTGATGACACTAAGGCTCCGAAGGGGAGGAACTGGAATTAGAACCTATGTGATATGACCTGAAGTCCAAGGTGCAGCACCACCCTGAGTGTTATCTGGGCTGATCCTGATTAGATCTTCTTTTGTCTTTCTTCACCTGATTCCATGTCATCTTTGCTCACATTGGACACGTCCCTCCTTGATAGGAAAGCTGGTATGGGATATAGGAATACCTTCCAGTCTTCTGTCTGTGGTAGCTTCAAGTTTTGCATTTCGGTACCAAGTCCCAGCCATCTATTTCAAGAATTACAATTATTCTGACCTCACCGGTGCTTTGCTGTTGAGAATTTTACCACACCCTCTTAATTACATACTTCATTTGCAAGCACATTATCTCATTTAATCTTTGCAGCAACCCAGTTATTAATAATTAGGAAAGCGATCAGTATTTCCTTTCTTCATATAGGGAAACTAAGAATAAGAGAGCATGGCCTCTTATCCAAGGAATGAGGCAGAACAGGGCCTATGAGTTAAGGTTTTATACTTCTAGTCTACTGCTATCTTTAGCACAACGTGAATGTAACTCATCTTTCCCCCTCAAGTCCCTTTCACTTCGATTCAGAGTTCATTTCACAGGTGCCAGTCAGCATATGTGTGCATAACCCACAGGCCACAAACTCAGTGGCTTAAAATGAAATGTTATTGAAACAATATTAGTGCTTACAAATCTATAGGTAGGCAGTTCTGCCGGTCTCAGCTGGGTGTGTTTATGTGTTTGGGAGGTCAGCTGGCTGAAAGGCTGATCTGGGACGTCCTCAGCTGCAATCACCGGCCTTTCCATGTTATCTCTCATTCTCTGTCAAGCCAGCCTGGGTTGGTTTACATGTTAGCAATAAGATCCCAAGTAGGAGAATAGGTTGAGCTAGAGAGTGTAATGCTAAGCAAAATAAGTCGGAGAAAGACAAATGCCATATTTCATTCCTATGTGGAGTTTAAGAAACAAAGCAAATGGGCAAAGGAAAAAAAAGAGAGAGACAAACCATAAAAGACTCTTTTTTTTTAAGTTTTTTGTTTTATTTATTTCTGAGAGAGACAGACAGTGTGAGCAGGGGAGGGTCAGAGAGAGAGAGAGAGACACAGAATTTGAAACAGGCTCCAGGCTCTGAGCTAGTGGTCAGCACAGAGCCCGGCGCGGGGCTCAAACCCACGAACCAAGAGATCATGACCTGAGCTGAAGCCACACGCTTAACCGACTGAGCCACCCAGGTGCCCCAAAACAGACTCTTAACTACAGAGAACAAAGTGATGGTCACCAGAGGGGAGGTGGGGGGGGGAGGCGTGAAATAGGTGATGGGGATTACAGGGAGCACATGTTGTGAGGGGTGCTGAGGAATGAATAGGACTGCTGGAGCACTGTGTTGTACACCTGTAACTAAGAGGACCCTGTACGTTAGCTATCCTGGAATTAAAAAGCTTCGTTGAAAAGAAAGGCCAGTCATGAAAGTGGAGGGATCACCTGCATGTCAGCCAAATGCAACAGCTGATACTCAACTGGTCCTTTTACAACAAAGGTGGGGTGATGCATCTGTGTTTTCTTGAGTTGGTGGTGATATTGTAATTATGTCAGAGAATGTCCCTGTTTGTAGGGAATACATACAAAAGAGTTCACAGGTACTGTAGATAGCGTACACTCAGACAACATGGGAGAAAATAGCCCTTTATATTATTCTTGCAAGTTTTCTGTACTTTGAAAGTGTTTCAGAATAAGAGGCATGATGTGGAAAGTCTAACAGTAAATAACTGTAATGTGCAGAAAGCTATCTTAGTAATGCTGCCACCCAAAAAGTTTTAAGAAGTGTTTTCAATCATACTCTTCCATCTTTTGAGAATTAACCAGGTAAAGTTAATGCTATTTTACAGCTAGAATGTGTTTTATTATCCAGGTGATATGTTAAAATACTTTGTTCTGCTGTGTAAGTTATTAAATTCATTGGTCTATTTGGATTTAGTATGTAGTCCACACAATATATAAAATGAGGTTCCCATCTTAAATACACACACACTCACACACACACACACACACACACACACACACACACACAGGTTTCCCTTGATAACTGGAGAGGTTAATTAGTCCCAAATCACTAAAATTTGGGACTAGGGCTAGAATTGGAAAAGTTGAACTAGATCTCCCTTCTTCTAGGGCTAGGGTGGTGCCAAGTGTGAGCCAAGGGATCCAGTAAGGGCCCCACATTAGAAGCAAAAACCCCACTGGGGAAAAGACTAGTGTGTATAAGAAGGACTCTTCAAGGAGGGAACCTGAGATAATTCCAATGTAAAGGGCCATCCATGGCCGTGAGGTCCCAGTCATTAAGAAGGAAAACATGACACAAGGGAAAGATGTCCTGCATTTTAGAAAACCTGCTCTGACATTTACTAGTTTCTATTTCTCAGCAGTTTTAAGGAATGTTGTCTGTTGACTGATTTTGAAAAGACTTTAGGCTACACGTCCACCAGGCCTCTCTCCTCTTCTGTCCCGCACCCTGTACCTTCGCCCTGTGCGTCAGCTGCTTGACCCTTGAAAGCACTGGAGTTCAGACTTATACTGTGGCCTGGGTGGCCATCAGATTAAATGAGCCTCCCTACGTAAAGCCATGGGACACACCAGCCCCTTCTACTCAGGTTTTGCAAGAAGTAGAAGTCAGCCCCTGCTGGGCACCCACAATAGATGGGAAGATTACCTGTCTCATGTTTTTGTCTTCCAGGAAAGCGGATGTGCCTTGGAGAACAGTTGGCCAAGTCTGAGCTGTTTATCTTCCTCACTTCCCTTCTGCAAAAATTCACCTTCAGGGCCCCTGACAATGAGAAGTTGAGCCTGAAGTTCAGAATGGGCATCACGGTCTCCCCAGTCAGCCACCGCCTCTGTGCGGTCCCTCGGTCCTGAAGCTGTCAAGGAGGGAGAGCAGAAATGTGTGTCCTCTGAAGGCACTGGCACCTGCTCAGAAGGGTCTCAGAATAAAAAGTGACTCTGAGAGACGATTTAGGAATTGGACTCCAGAAGCCTCATGCAAATCCCAGCTTTGCTATCTCCTCCAAGGGAGCCTTGAGCAGATTTTTGTGTTGTGAATGATTTACCTTTGTGGCAGGAGATGAAAAGCAAATAATGATTCCTGCTCTAAAGGAAGACCTGGTATCATAACCAGAAGGAGAATGGACTTTGGGTGATTTGGAAACCATAACGCTTATCATAAAAGTTCTAGCTGAAATCTGCCTCTTTCCTGCTTACTTCCTTAGACATGGATTTGCTTCTGGCCTGTGGAGGTGGCTCAGGTCAAAGTGGTTTCAAATGGCTGGTCAGAGAATGCAGACCCTGGGGCAGCCAGAAGCTGGCCACAAATGCGCTCACACATGGTAGCACTGTGCAAGCATTATCTTGCTCTGGCCTCAGAATGGCCCTCTGGCAAGTCAGCGGGGAAGCTATCACACCCTATTTATAGGCAGGTTTTTAAGAAGCAGCAGCTTGTAAGGTTTACCTAAAGAAACACTACCTTGGCCTTGAACTCAGGAGCAAAGAGGGCATGACCACTGTCAACTAAACCCGGGGAACAGGTTTGGGAAACAATGTGGAATCATCTTCTGTCTTTGAGGGTAACTCTTTGCCTTAATTCCTCTGTAAGGCATTTATTCTCAAGCTGTTCACATTGGATTTAACTCTGTGGTGGGTGTGAACTTTTCTTGCAAGTAGATGGGTCAGCTTTTGAAGGGTAAGTATTACCAGTCTAAACTCAATTGAGCCCTGATACAGTAGTTTATAGTAGGGAACCAGAAATGCCAGAATCCTGCTCAGCCCTTCTGAGGAGAGACAATGGCCATACAATGGGAGGTCAGGTAACATCGATGGGCCATGGAGTTTTGAAGCCAACCCCAATGCAAACAAACACAAAACACCTGGTAAACTGGACTAAACCACATAGAAGATTCTTTTTCCCTAAGGCAGAGACCCACGTGTGCTTCTCTCTGCTCTTCTGGAACTCTGCTACCACAATTTAATCACCTTCCTGTTACCATGATGGATGATGAGAAACACATGGCCCAGGAATCGCTGTTGTGTTGCCCCGGCTGCCAGCTAGCGGACCACCAGAGGTCCTCTGATGAGAGCTGGATCTAAGCACATCCAGAAGCTGAATGCACATGCATGAGGGATCCCAGCTGAGACAGGAATCTCCCAATTGAACTCAGCCTAAATTGCTCACCTTAGATTTGTGAGTTAAATGGTTGTTGGAAACTACTATGTTTCCAAGAGTATTGTGATACAACAACAGTTAACTAATACATTCCTTCAGGGCAGGGAAAGTATCCGTCTTGTTGAAGAACAGTGCCTGGAACATGATAGGGATCAATATAGTGAATTAGTGGATAATATAAGGTAGAATAATTGTGGGTAATGCTAGATTGGACCTATCGCTCCAAATCAGATCTCTGCCACTGCCCTCTGTCCTTGTCACCTCGTTCTAATGACCTATTTCTCAGTCTTCATGCCAACTTTTGTTACAATCCTTTAGGAACACAGTGGAGGAGTAGAGGCTTGTTCTTACATCAGTGTTTCCTTCCATTTCCCAGGCGGCTTTCTGAAATGGGACCCCAATTCCTCTTTCCCAGGTTTCGTTCTCAAGAATGGGCTGATGTCCATGGATGAGAATTTTGTACTGTATGGTTCACGCTGTTTCTGTGCATTAACCATGAGCTACATGTTGTGCTCTGAAAAGCTAAGAACTTTGCCCTGGGCTTTTGAAGCAGAGAAGAAATTAAACTAAGAATAAAGGGTCAATGCAAAGGGTCACTTTCAGGAACTGGCACATAATTACTGATGATGCCTGTTGCAGCACTCAGGGTCAGAAGTGAGGCTTCTCTTAGCCTCAATACATCAAAGGTCCAAAGATATCACAAAGCTCTAATATATATAAAGCAACAGTAAAAGATGGCGGTGGGGGAGTGTAGCATGCATCAGGTGAATTGAGGTCCAGGCCTGAATTCAGTTCTAGGTTTTACCATTTATTCATTTTTGCTTGTGACTTAAATAGGCTACTTTACTTTCCCGAATCCACATCCTAATCTGCAAAATAGAATTAAATAACACCTACCGTGGGAAATTATGAAACTGGTCAAAAGACACACAATCCCTCTCTGCGTTGCCTTTCTTTGTGGTACTCCTTCCACGGGACAATTTTATATAATCGCCCTGATGCATCCAAGTATGGCCATTACATTTGCTCAGTAAAATGAGAGCGCAAGTTTCACAAGTTCAACATTGCTTTTTTCTCTGCCATGAGAGCAGCAATGTCCCAGATAAGGGTCTACGGCCTACATCCAGGTGACAAAGACATAAAGTGGAGTCCTGGCTGATTCAAGATGGACACGAGATACAACAAACCTATTTTGTTGTGAGCCACTAAGACTCTGGGATCATTAGTTATGCAGCATAAGTTATCCTCAACTGTCTGATACTATCACCATTTTAATTGTGAGGGCCACAGAAACTTATGTTTGTAGTTACTGTGAACACCAATATATGCGCATGTCTCTCTCTATATATACATATATGCATAATACATATAAAATGTTACTTTAATACATATTAAATACATAAATATAAATTTATGCTATATATAAATATAGTGTATATTATATGTATCATATAATTATCTATTATATTAAACAAAGTAGCAGTGTGCCTGGCATATAAGAGATTAAATTGTAGTTGCAATGCTGTTATAGTTGTTTCAGACAAAAACTCTATTTCTTCACCTTTTTTCCTAGACAATTTGATCTTTTCCTCACTGGAGTCGCAGAACAATACATTCCATTCCCCCGGTTGACTCCAGGATCCGCATAGACCCTCTGGCACCGCACCACCAGCCTCCTCCACGCATAGTGAGTGGCGCCCTCTGGAGGTGGACTGTGGATGGCCACGTGTAGGGCCTGCTCATTGGCCCGGAGGAGGATAATCTCTATGATCTAAAAGCTGCTCACCTCATCCATCAGGTCTCTTAGCATTTCTGCCAAACTAGTGAACTCCTATCAAATTCCCTGGACAGGTTAGGTCCTCTGTCATCTTCACGTCTTTATGTAAGCTTTTTTTTTTCTGTAAGATAGCTCTCATTACACGTGGCATACCGAGTCTACATGTAAGCTTTTCAGTGACATTTTTCTGGACTCTCAGCTGGTTGGTTGCTTCCTCCTCTATTCTCTGAGAGTTTTATTCCAAAGCTTTAAATTCTTATATCTGTGTAATCCCTCCCCAGTTACCCTGAGCTTTTCAGGGTTGCCTGTACCTTGCTCACGCAGGCCCACCCCCTGATGGTTTTGGTGCCTCTAGGTACCATGCTCCGTAAATGTTTGTTGGACCTCCTGGCTGGGGCTGAGCAGCCAAGTGACTATGGCAGAGCAGCAGCTCTAAAGGTGCAGGGTGTCAAGCGTTTCCTGCTGCTATGCAGCAGGCCTCTTTGGTCCATGTGCCTCAAGTTCACATTCAAAGACTGCATACCAAGGTCCTTTCTAATTCCAGAAGCCAATTTCTGGAGAGAAAGACTTCCAAAATGGCAAAGACCTCCAAAAAGCCACTCCTACATAAGAGCAACAAGAAAACTAGCGAAAGATGTCCGAATCAGCATTTCTGGAACTCTGAAAAGTAACCAAAGTCTTGCAACGATCTGAGCATCTGTTTAAGGCGGGGAAAAAAAAAAAGACCTGGATCTCAATCAGAACAGCAAGCACTGTGGCACTTGAACCTGTCCTACTCTGCTCTCTTCTCCCTAGCTCTACAGTCTTCCTTGAAAAGCAGCAGCCTCCCAACTATGGAGCTGAGAAAGCCAAGTGCCAAGCAACCACTAGAGGAAGGAGGGGGGCGGGGGCGCTTGGAGCAGCCTGAAGGCCTGTGCCCAGGCAGCGGTCACTCCTTGACCTGTCTGGCAGTTCCTCGAAAAGGCTCATTCTCAGGATGTATCTTTATTTGACCTGACTCAAAGTTCAGTCTGTGTGAACCACACTGTAAGGCATTTGTTAAAAAAAAAAAAATCGGTAACAATTGTACCACATTGCAGTCACCCCAGGTGGCAGTACCCAATGGTGCTAACAAGAGGGTGAAAAGGGAAAACCGGGGAAGGAACTGTCCATGGAGGCTTCCAACAGATCTACCATATTGCTGGGCATCTAAAGGCCAGGCACACGCAAGGACTGTGTGCATGGCCCTTAATCTCTCACTCTGGCTAACCCTGAGGCTCAGCATAAAGCAGGAATTGGAAGGCTAATACAGGTTGTAAAGTACGTGCTAGAGTGTCAGATGTAACCCAAGTCCCAAGCAGAGGCCTGAGAGGCTAACCGCTTCAAGGCATTTAAGAAAACCTCTTGTCTACGCAGTAACTGGAACTCAGTGCTAACAGAACAGAATGCCCACTGGATGGACAGGACGAGGAACAGAAACTTTACAGAATCAGCCCCAGAAAGCCACCAAACAGCAAGCAACAAAAATAACAACAGTTAAAATAACAGACCTGGGTGGTTCCTGATTTCCAGAGTTTGCCCACTGTATCACTTACAATGTCAAATTTTTAATAAGTTATGAACCACGTACAGAAACAGGAAGCTATAGCCAACACACAGGATCCAGAAGAAACAAAAGAAACTCCTGAGAATGCCCAGACAGTGGGTTTATGAAACAAAAAACTTAAGATGAGCTATTTTTAACAACTTTAAATTATTAAAGATTCTAACTAATCTTTAATTCAATTTAGAAGACTTTAATGTGAGATATTTTTGTGCATATTTTTGGTATACAACTTATCTTTATATGTAAGTACACACTCTGAAAAAAATCACCACAGTCAAGCTACATAACTTATCTATCATCTTTATAGTTAGCTAACCTTGTGTGTGTGTGGTGAGGGAGGGGGAGTTGAGATCTATCCTCCTAGAAAATTTCAAGTACAAAATGCAGTAGCGTTAACTATCATCACCACGATGTATACTAGATCTCCAGAACTTATTCACCCCGCATAACTGAGCCTTTTTGTACACTTTGGTGGACATCTCCCCGTTTCCCCTACCCCCAGCTACTGGCAACCAGTTTTACTCTCTGCATTTATGAGGTGGGCTTCTTAGATTTCACACTTAAGTGAGATCGTGCAGGATTTCTCTCGGTCTGTCTGTCTTACTTCACTTAGCATGATGCCTTCCAGGTTCCCTTCTGTCACAAATGGCTGTGTTTCCTTCTTTTTCAAAGGATGAAAATACTCCTGATTTCTTCTTATTGCCATATCAAAGGACAGTCCTTCATTTCTAGTATCCTTTTACTTTCTAGCCTGCCCTGTTATGTCTTATGGATAGCACACAGTCTTGATTGAAAAGTTTAATCAGTTTTCATCTAAAATATCGATACAGAAGAATTTATTACCATTGTGTTAGCTGATTTGTTTGTTTTATAGTTCTTATCTTCTCTCCTGCTATATTTCCTTATTTTTTTCCTATTGATAGGGTATAATTCTTTTCTGATTTTCTTTTGTCTAACTTCTATAAGTATTTTCTATGTAGTTAATGTGGGGCTTACATAAACTATGGTTATAACAATCTATTTCAAGTGCGTAACTTCACTTACAAGCCAATCTCTACACTTATACCTCTCCCCCCACCCCGACTATACAGTAAGGATGTCATAATTAACAACCATTTATATTGTGTATCCATTAACATCATTTATGATTGTTCTTTATACTTCCGTCATTTACTCACCACTGTAATATTAATACAGTATTCTGTTTTTATCTAGATTTTTCTTGGCCAATGAGTTTCATACCTTATGTTCTTGTGTTGTTATTTAGCATTCTTTCATTTCAACTTGAAGAACCCCCTTTAGTTTTTTGAGAGAGAGAGGGAGCGTGAGCCTAAGCGCGTGAGCAGGGGGAAGGCCAGAAGGCAAGGGGGAGAGAGAATCTTAAGCAAACTGCATGCTCCACCCTGAGTCTGACCCTTGCTAGGTCACAAGAGTCTGACACTTAACCCAGTGACTGCCCAGGCGCCCCTCCCTTTAGTATTTCTTGTCAGGCAGGTCTAGTTTTACTGAATTCCTTCAGCTTTTGTTTATCTAAGAGTCTTTACCTCCCTTTATTTTCGAAGGACACGTTTGTCAGGATTAGTACTCCCAGTAGGTAGGTTTTTTTTTTCTTTCAGCTTTCTGAATATACGGTCCCACCCCCATATATTCAGGACTGCAAGATGTTGCTGAAAAATCTGCCCAGTCTTAAGGGGGTTCCCTTGTGTGTGACATGTCATTTTTCTCTTGCTATTTTGAAATTGTCTTTAACTTTTGACAGTTTGTCTTGGTGTGAGTCTCTTTCATCTTATTTGGTATCCTTTGGGCTTTGTGGATCTGCTTTTCTATTTTTTCTCCCAGGTTTGAAAAGTTTTCAGGTATTATTTCTTTGAATAAGCTTTCTACCCACTTCTCTTTCTTCTTTCTAGGACTCCCATACTAAGTATTGCATAAGTCCCTTAAGCTACCTTCACATTTTCATTCTCTTTTCTTTTTGCCAGTTTACCGATGATTTCCAATGGCCTTTTAGTTTATTGATCCTTTTGTCTGCTTCATCCACTCTGTTAATGAAGCTCATTTTTTAAGTTTTCAGTTCAGTTATTATATTCTTAAACCCCATGATTTCTGCTTGGTACTTTTTAAATATTTTCTATGTTTACATTCTCACTTTGCTCATGCATTATTGTCCTGAGTTCCGTGAATATCTTTATGATCATTATTTTTCATTTTCTGTAAGGGTAAATCACAAATCTCCATTTCATTAGGGTTCGTTTCTGGAGATTTACCTTGTTCTTTTATCTGGAACAGTTGTACCTCTTTCTTCATTTTCCTTGACACTCTATGTTGGTTTCTGCACATTAGATAGAACACCTACATCTCCCAGTCTTCACAGACTGGCCTCATATAGGAGATGAGCCTCGCAAGTCAGCCTGGCTGGAGATGCTGGACGCCTCTCAAACCTCTGTGCTTGTCTAAGCTGCCATCCTTGGTTTTAGTGGCCCCCAGGAGAGCAGAGTGTGCCAAGTCCTGTTAGTCCCTCCAGACAGGTGAGGTAAAAAGCCAGTTCCTCACACAGCAGCTGGAACAGTTGGAACATTACGTGTGTGGTCCAATTCCTTCTCTCCTCAGGGAGAAGCTAGGAACTGGGGTTTATCACTGTGGCAAATTCCTCCTCCCTCATTTAGACCACACACTCTTTCAAATGGCTACTTCTGTTGCCCCAGGGTCCTCACAAATGCTGTGTCATGTTAGCTCTCATAGCTGGGTTAGAAGCCAGTCCCTTGGGTAGTAGCTGAAAAGGCTGAGGGGAGGGAGGTTAGGTGTGAAGTCCATCTCCTAGGGAGCAACTGGGGACTGGGTTTTACTGCTGCAGCATGCCGGGCTTAGGAGTTGCAGGAAGTAAGTGCCCATATACCTGTTCAAAAATCCCAAGAGATTAGTCATTACCTGTGCAATCAGCTCCCAGAAACGGGCAACTTAGAAGCCAGGTTGTCGAGCAGCAACTGGAAAAGTCAGGGTGGTTGTATAGTCTACCTTCCAGAGAGATGCTGGGTTTTATTGCTGGAGCGAGCTGGGATGAGCAGTTCCAAGAAGACCCTGCAGTTCCAAGAGGACCCTGCAGGACCAATGAAAGCTGTCACTTTCTCTGTACACCGGAAGGGACTACAGAAGGCCAGGCCTTGTCAGCTCCTAGAGAGAAGAAAGTTTGAAGTCAGACCCTCAGGCAGCAGCTGCAAAAGTCAGGGCTCTAGATGCAGGGTTCAGCTCCTTCCAGGGAGAAGCTGAAGCCTGGGCTTTTTCACTGGAGTGAGCCAGGGGTGGCGGGGTGGGAGGGGTGGTTGGAGGGTAACTACAGGAAGGAAGTATCCACAAGTATGGAAGTATGGTCATGCTTTCAGAGGACTGGGGACTGCCTACCCCATCAGCTGCCTATCCCATGCAAGCCAGTTATTAGGCCAACCCTCAGGCAGCAGCTGGAAGAGTTAAGAGTGGTAGATACGCAGTCAGACCACTCCAAGGTGAAGCTGGGAATAGAGCTTTATTGCCTGCCACTCAGCACACAGCCAAGGGAAGAGCCCTGAGAAGTGTTTGTGTGTCCACTTAAAACCATGTGCCTGTTATTTGAGGTCCCAGGACACTAGCAAATCCCAGGCCTCATCAGCTCCCAGAGATGATGCCTTAGTTAGAAGCTAGTTCTTTAGGTAGAGGTCATATAAGTTGGGATGCTAGATGTACGGGCCAAGCCTTTCACTCCCTAGGATGAAGCTGCTGGTTGAGGGGGAGGCATCTCCACCCAATTGTGTGGCACATTGCGGGGGGTGGGGTTTATGGTACAAGCGTGTCTCAGCTTTTCTTACCTGTTTCAATGTGGGTATTTCCTTAGTTTCCTGGTATGCAGAAGTCTCTTTTAAGTGTTTTTCTGGATTTCTCTCTGAGATATCGATCCATGTCCGACAGTGTATTGAATCCACGGGCAGTGCATTTCTTCATTTCTGGCCTACTCAGATACTCCTTCAATGTGGTTTTCCTTATCTCTTCAGAGCATCTTGAGACTGGATTTCTAAAGAAAACATTCTGTCCATCATCGGCAAGTCTAGCAGTATGTACTGACTGTGTAGAAGATACCATGCCAAGTGCTGTAGGGGAAACAGAGATAAACCAGATATGGCCAATGACCTCAAGAAACTTAGTGTAGTGGGACAGACATTTAAAAAAAAAAAAAAAGGTGTATCACATTAAGGTCACTAAGACGAAGCATTGGAAAACTTGCAAAAAACAAATCTCTTGTCTTATTTGAGAAAACTTAGAAAGATTTATGGAAGAGGGACATATTTGAGGCGAAGCAAGTAACAAGTCTGAATTGCAAATGTTACTACTTACGGAGAGCAAGTGGCTGCGGCCCAGCTGGGCAAGGCGACCAAGTGTCTCACCATCAGAACCACAGCCAGCTTCACAACAGTCGAACTTCTGCTCTTTCCCTGAGCGCGTCACTGTGCGCAGGAAGATGTCTGAACGTTTCACTTCGCTCCATTTCTGCGGTCACATATCACCTGAAACTTCAGAGATGTCAAATGTGTCCATTCAACCGAGGCATCTAGAACAAGCTGTCCAATTCAATTTTCTGTGATGATAGAAAGTTCTTTACTTGCACTGTCCAATAATGTAGCCACTAGGCAAATGTGGGAATACAATTTAATTAAAATTTGTTGAAATACCAATTGTGGCTAGAACCACCATAATGGTCAGTATAGGTCAAGAGTATCTGGTTGCTCTTAGTGAACCACTCACAAAATTATGGGATGATGTTGGGCCAGCATTTCCTATAAAGTTCAGAAAGTCAAATTCATGGAATCCTGTTCTTTTGGCAACACGGGGATCTATCTAAAGTGAGGTGGGATTTTATTCTCCATTTTTGCATATCTGGCACAGGAACTTCATTCATGTGATAAAACAAATATTTACTGAGCATCCATTAGCAGCAACAGACTTAAGCCTTTCCAAGACATGTTGCATGAATACAGAACACCTGCACTTTTCTAAAAATTTCACAATGCATTGTGACACACATGTAAGAATGGGAAATAAGGATGCTGGAAACAAGAAGACAAAACAAAACAAAACAAAGTAGCTTTAAAAAACATTGCTTAAGTAGGAGAAATTCAGGTGGAAAGTGGCAGGTGATATGACTAAAGGGCGGTATCAGGGATCTAAGTTTCTTCATCTTTGTTATTCCACCGTGCCTGAGGGTTGCCTCCTCACTACTGTTCACATCTCGTTGGCCAGACCTTAAACGGCCTCAACCTAGTTACAGTGGGGTCTGGAAAGTAGTTATTCTTCCCACCCTTCGTCATTGGATAGTGAAATCACAAGCCAAAATATGGCATTCTGCTATTAAAGGAAGAAGGGAAGAATGGATATTGAGGGATAAGTAGCAATCTCTCAAGACCCAGAAATATTGTGGATTTCATGATAATGGAAAACATCTAGGATCCCCATGGTGAAACTGGAGACATAAAAAGGGAACATCAAAAAATCACTTTTACACCTCTCCTCATTCACCAAAAAATTCAATGAAAAACTAAATTAGAAGAATTAATGCAATTATTTTTTAACAAACTAGATATTTTAAAACCTTTATTTAAAGCAGCGAATGAATGTGCAGTTGTACCCACTAAAAATCCACCATCACCATCAGACACAGAAATCAGAAAGTTTATTTAAAACAGTTCACAACTATTATATTGTATTGGACAATCATTTATTTAAAATAATATCCTAAATACTTACAAAAATAAATCAAGTATTGCTTCTATTTTTTTCAAGTGTCAAAGTCTTTGCCATAGAAAATAGAAAGATTTATAAACTAAACATAACATTTAAGCTACATCAAGTTTAATAACTGCACGCTATTTTCTTTAATGGTTGTGCTTTACAAATTCCCAAACTACTTCTTTGCAATGTACAAGTTCACAACAGGAATGTACGTATACAACCATACATACACATTTTTACATAGGAATGCTTCTCATTAAATATGCCTATAGAGAACCTAACATAGTACTGTGGCTAAAAACCACCCCAGAGAGCCAAATGTGCCACTAAACAGAAACAGGTGTAGATGTAGAAGCATTATGTAAACATTCAAATTAGCAATCCAGTTATCAGATGATGACATCTTAATGAGGGATACTCAGTTTACTGTTTCTAGATAAGACATTAATTCTTAGTCTGTACTAAATCATAAGAGTTCAACAGCCTTATTCACTGAAAAAATAGAATTAAACTGCAAATATTTCTCAATACATTAAGTGATCATTGTCAAATGTATACACACTTTTAACCAAAAAAGAGAAAGGAATATTAACCTTAGAGCAAATCCTCAAAATTAAAGATCATTTGCAAATTGGTCTGTGAGTTTACTCTTTTATCAGTGGGGCATTCAATTCCTTATCAAACAGATAGATGCTGGCTTTCTCTTCCCCGGCATATGCACTCCAGCCTCAAAACACAGACATAAATCATAGTTCGTGATGAATATTTATAATGCTGTGCCACCCACAGGGTGTCAATCTCACTACATTAACCAGATGTGGAAAAGACTCTCACTTCTGATCAGTTCCTGAATTTCCATAAGGTTAATCACAATAATACAGAACTTTATATTAGTCTTGTAAAAATACTTCTGTGTCAAGCATTTTAAATTCTACTTATCAACTAGAAAAGTGATAAATCACAAAATTTGCTTTTTCTCTATTAAAAAAGAATCTAGCTTTATGTCTTTATTCAGAAATTGCACAAATTGTTTAGAAATTCCTAATATAATAATTGAAAATTTATGAGCAATTGACTGAAAATACTAATTTATTGAAATTGATGCTTTACAACAAATTCCAATAAAAGGGAGCCTGAAGAGCTTGTAAAATCTCAAACATGAGCAAGTAGTAAACACCAAAGGAGCAGATGTCTTACACTGACAAAAATATACCAAAATGTCATAATATTTGGAAAATTTCAATTAGCATGCTAAAATATCTTCAAAGGGCTATTTCATTTCACTAAAAGTTGCAGGCAAGCAGACTATAGGAAAATACAAAAATGCAAACCAACAATATAATTGCACCAATAAAAACCATCAAAATCTAAGAGGTAGTCAACAGAAGCAACCCTGATGAAACAATATATCCAGACAGATGCTCCCTAATCGTAAAAGACCTAAATGCAGTATGAAATTCTTGTGTTTTCAGTGATTAGAAAAAATGTACCAGTAGATAATCTAAGAACCAAGTATGGAAATCAATAATACTGTAAATGGAACAATACTCACGTGTGCAAAGAGAGGCTGAATATAAAATCTGGACCAGGGTTCTACGGCCTGCAGGCCATATCCATTCCTCCTGCCAGTTTTGTAAATAAAATTTTACTGAAATGCAACAACACCCATTTTGTTTATATGTTGTTGATGGTTGCTGTTTTCACACTGAAAGCAGAGTCCAGTACTTGGGAGAGATCATATGGCTCAAAAAGCCTTGAGTATTTACTAAACTATTTACCATCCATCTCTTTACAAAAAGTTTGCTAACCCCTAGTCCAGAGATATGCCGACAGGTATGCAGTTGTTGAACGGCACTGGAAAGATTAACTACGAAGGTCACAACGTAAGGTATTCAGCTATAAGGAATGCAAAATACTAATTATGCCACAATTCAATTCCTTTTCATATCTGAGAGTCCAAACAGCTTTCTTCTTTTTCAGTTTGTGTTCTAATATCAAAGAGTATTTCCAAGTTACTAAAGAAAGGTTTAGTACAGCACTGTCCAAAGGAACTTTTCCCAATGACGGAAATTTTTTATATCTGCACTTTCCAATACTGGAGCCATCAGCCACATGTGGCTGTTGAGCGTTTCAAATGTGGCTGATGTGACCAAGGAACTGAATTTTTTAATTTTAATTAATCTTATTTAAATCGCCACATGTGGCTTGTGGCTATAATGCTGGACAGCACAGACTCAACCCAAGATCTAAAGTGTGACTCCAAAAAATGACCAAAAAAGTTAGAAAATAACACCACTGAAAATAAAAGCTCTGGAGAGAAGTGAACTGAATACCATAAACTCAGTCCCAGACAGATTCCTTAATTTGTAAACAAAATCAGACTGATTCCAGATGATTCCATCACTGCACCATGTCTTTGCAGTCAAGAGGAGAAACTATTACAGCATGTTTTTTTAGCAAATGCCCTGATAATTTTATGCTTAAAAGCAATAGTTATAATCATTATATTAAAACATGTGTGGACGTTTCACACAAATTATATTTTTTGCCTTACTTCCCCTCAGAAAAATCACTTATAAAAGTAGGCTTATTTCCATACCCTTAACATTTCAACCATGCTGTACAGAAGCCCTTATCTACAGTAGGTACATGTGAGAACTATGAAGTTTCCTGAATTTGCAAAATCTCTAATCAGTCACTTTTACTATGGCAAAAAGTCATTTCAATAGTCAAATCTTCCAAATGTTGTATCTTCCATTACATGATAAAGTAGATCCATCTGATGACAGATTTGAGGCCAGAGGTAAAACCTTGTATGTATCGAGTCAAAAAGCATAACTCTTGTATAGTTCTCCATGAACCTACCCAAGACTATTTTTATATGGACCCAAGCAAGAAACCAAATGTAGATATATTTGTAAATTACTTGTTACTGGTTATACAGTGCAAATGAACCAAGTTACTGGTACAACTGAGAACTTTAAACTAAAATATACAAAGTCAATTTGAAATTGTAATACTCTTCAACACCAAAAGTTTGAGATGTGTGCCTAATTACACCTTCCAGTTACTCAAATATACTCCCTTAGAGAAACAGCTAATTCCATATTTTGTTTTCAAAATTAATTTTGAAAGATTAATTTTGTGCACATTAATTTTAAAATAGCTGGTATCCAGCATCACAAATTTCTTTTTCAATCTGGCAGTTAATTGAAGGATACAAAATATTTTAAGGGCACTTCTGTTTATGTTTTCTTTTGTAGTTTAATCAGGTGTTGTAGCAGGAACCTTAACAGAGAGATTTCTTCTGGTGTTGGTGATGTGCCGTTGCTGAGCCAGGAAAGACCGAGCGGGAACGCATGCGCCAGGGTCCCGGCAAGAACTGCTGCCGCTCACGAGCCTAGATTCCATCCCCAGCTTCTGGAACGCGAGACTCTGTACAAACATAAGCAAACAACCAACAAGCCTATTCAGTCTGTCAAGTGCTTTTCACCTGACCAATATAAAGTCATTTCCTCAAAACAATACTATAAGGCTGATGTTTTCCTCATTTTATAGAAAAACGAAGCATTCAGAAGCTAACTAATCTGTACGTTGCCAGGCTAGCAAGAAGCAGGAAACAAAGGCATAAATTCCAGTTTCTCTATTTTAACTCACTAAATTTGAGATCATCAAAAATAACTGCTTAAATTAATATTCTAAAATTAGGCTTAATTATCACAATAAAAACAGGTTCCAAAGTAAATTTTTGTGTTTGGACCTTACTCCACCCACTGGGAGCACACATAACACATCAGAAAAGCTTAGATCAAAATTCTCAAATGCAGTCCTCAGATTAACATCTGCACCACAGGAAATATGTTAAAGATGGAAATTCTCTCTTGTACATTCTACCCGGACATATTAAGTCATAAGTTCAGCAGCTGAGTCCCATAACCTACGCTTTAACAATTCTTCTGATGCATGCCAAAGTGTGAGAACCACCACAGTTCAAATTCACTATCGTCAATCTACATACTGAGACATGACAAGTTACTGTAGTTGGGGATATCGGGTTTTTATTAAGAAAAGTAGTTACTTTTTCTCACTAAACCACATAACAGAATTTTACAAAGCTTAGAATTAATAGGAATTAGTATCACACAGAATATAATAAATGCTCAAAGGAAATGGGTAGAAAATGAATAAGTAATGCATTATTTGGCTCTAATATCTTTAATGATTTATGTATCAAGAGGCTACAGAGGAACAAAGGAAATAATGCACAGCTACCAATGTTAACTAGGATGACTGACTCATGAGGGAAAGTTCTGGGAACACTTCACATAGAATTTCCTTCAAGGCCTTGCTAAATTAAGCCAGATTTTATCAAACAGAGAAGGAGAGAAAAGAGCACAGACTTGAAGTAAGGTGGCATGAAAGAATAGGCATGTTTGAGGAAGGACACCCTGTTCTTTGCGGTGAAGCATGGGGCTCAGACATGGGGAGTCCATAAACTCATAGTCTCTCATATTAAATAAGCAACAGCTAAGGCAGATAACAGCTGTTTTGTTCTCTCTTTTGATGAAAATAATCCAAAAGAACCATATACATCATGAAATACTTGAAAACATCACACTGATAGTAAGGATGACAAAATAAAATACACTTCAAATAATTTTACACTATTTTCTCCTTGATAACACAGATGTACAACTACTGAACAAAAGAACAGTGAAAGACACACTCAGAGGCTTCATGCGTTGTTAACACAAATGCTGAGTACCAGAAACACGTGATTTTCATTTCACAGATATTCATATTTCTGCAGAAGCCCTTTATGAAGCAGAAATTAAATATTTTAGCTCAAATAAGGCAATTTTAAAAATTGTGAACTATTCACAAAGTGTGAACTGTTGTATGCGTGCTTCATGTGCATCAACTAAAAACATTAAACTAAAATATATAATTTGGATTAAAACTAGCATTAGAAAGAAGAGAATAGGTGAGGAAACACCTGAGTACAAAGCACACAGGGTACCTTCTGTGCAGTTATGTATGTAAACACGCATATGTAATGATTTGTGGTAGAAAATATATTTCTTTCTATGGCTCCTGGTCAAACCCTTGATAAACACAACATTCAATCACTGGTTGAATGTCAACTCACCTTATTGTACCAGGCAGAAACAATGAGTTTTTCTTCATAATCACGGAATTTTGCTACTTTACATTCACTCTGGAAAAAGACACAAGAATTATCAAAATCCCAGAAATAAACCCAAACTACCAAAAATGGAATAATTTCTTCACTATGCTCTTTGAGAGAATTTGAAAGACGCATTGTGTGGCACATAAAAGAGTCAAAATCTGAGCTGAATCATGGAGAAAGCATGTACGATATCTTTAAGAAAGAGTAAGACTATGACTAGGAAATCTTTATTTCAGAAATTTTACTGGTAGGACAGATCTTAAGCAACAACAACAAATAAGAAACTCATGATTCTCATGCTACTGTCCCCTGTAATGAAGACGAAAGTAATAAATGGGTTAAATGACAAAACAGACCAGCATCTCTGGAGGACTCAAAACTAAGGAGAAGGAGGATGTAGTAAAACATATCCCAGAAAATTCTTAAAATCTCCTATAACACTTAACCCCGATTTTTCTCTCTCAATCCTTGGTCATCTGTACACTAGATGGCCTGCAGCCATATTTGCATGCTGCCCTAGAGACTGACGTCCATTTCTTAATTCCTCAGATGTAGGAAGTTTTGTAATTTCATGGAGAACCAGGTATAGTTGGCTCACATAAAAAGTTATAAACGAACACATGCGAGTGTTCCTACAGAGAGGTGCTCCCAACACAAAAGGACACGAGAAATGACGGGGGCAAGACGGCCTTTTGCTGGCCCACGCCGACGCCGGACAAGACTCCCCAAGAGGGATGGCAGACAGAGTGACATCTGCTATTGATATTACTCTTCTCATTTTTGCGTCTTGCAGAGTATGTACAGAAAAGTACACATGAACTAAAGGCCCACATGCTGTGACGTAACCGCAGTTTCTCCTCACAGCCCTGTGAGGGGTGCCACTCTGTCTTTCTACTTGGTAGGAAGCCACACTTAGAGCATCAACAAAGGTGTATGCTCACTGGCTTTCACTGGGAGGTGAATAATCAAGGCAACTCAGAGTTCAGAGATTTTTTTCAGTCCAAGTCTCATTATTTTACAGATGAGAAGATCTAGGACCAGAGAGGAAAGGTGATAACTTTAAGAGAATTTACCAATAAAGCAGTAACCCTGGCCTCTTCCTTTATGTGATATTTAATGCTGGGAGTACAGATACATAAGATACATCCTCTGCCCTCCAGACAGTGTGACACACAGCAAGAACAATGCTATTGTGGGATGAATTCATGAGTTCAAAATATATGGAACCACTATGGAGAAATTACCAACTTTGTCTAAGGAATTCAGGAAAGCTTTATGGAGGAAGACACATGTGAGTTGGATGCTGAAGAACAGATAGTATTGATACAGAGAGATGCACCTATCCAGTGCTTTTTACAGTACCTGACACGGTCTGGACAAGCACTTAGCAAGTGCACAGAAGGCTGGTATGTACTCTGAATGTTAAGTCTTTAAGACTTTAAACAAAATATTTCCACTATAGTCCATTTCTACTGGCTCAGATATAACATGAAAAAAATGGTAAATGAATAGAACGTGTTTCTCTGAAATACAATATTCTAGTTGATTTAAAAAGAAACCAACTATTGATTATGAAAATTTCAAGGCTAGTATTCAGAACTCATCATGGCTCTGCAATTACATATACATTATTATAAGGAAGCACATACTGACTTCAAGAATAGTATCACATCTCACCATAGTATTAAATCATTTTGTAAAATACTTTGCAAAGGAAACTAGAACTTGCCCAATTATAAAATCTATGAATATACAGTTCCAGACTGACATACTTATTAGCGCAGCCAGTAAAAATGGTATCATCATTAGTACAAAAATCAACTTTTAAAGACTCAGCTAATTAATGTGAAGATGTCATCACTAACATAACTGTGCATGATTAATAACCAAGACTGCCACTTTAGTGCAAGTGCTTACTGGATTTGATGAGCACTTTCTTCCCCCAGGAACTGCAACTAATGAGTTTACTCAGGTTTAAGTGAGGAATAAGGAGAAGAAAAGAGAAGGAAAATCTAGTTAACAGAGTGGAGTGGAGTACTTTTTAAAAGGTGAGTTTGGTTCCTTTTTTTTCTTTTATTTATTTATTTTCTGAATGAACACTAATCCACATAATTTTAAAAGGAGCTAATATTATAGCAGAACTCTATCAGCCACTAAGGGATACCCACCTGATTGGCTGTTGTGGAAGAGACAGAGACAATGTAGCAGAGTACACAAACTCCTAGGGGCTAGTGGGATGCTTTGTAATAAACACACTACATGCGAAAACATGACACTGCCACCTCCTGATTTCAACTTTTTGTGAAACTTGATCATTAATGGCAGATACTGGACAGCAATGAATTACCAGGATTACACAGAACACTTAAAAGGAGACATGTGAAAATGAAAATTTTACCTCCAGAATCTCAATTCTTCTCTCTTTCTCTGCCAACTGCTTTCTAAGTAGCATTATTTCAGCTGATGCTGGATTTAATTTGGGATCTAAAGTTTTTATTACCTGTTTAAAGAAAAAAAACCAAATATTTTTATCTGCTTTATCAAGTATTGAAATATAAGAACATAACCTATAAATCTCCATAAATAAAGTGGAAAATTACCCAGAAAGTGATCCAGGTGTGAACCATGACTTACTTTACAATTAAATTTGAATAACAAAAACAACATTCTTTAGAGGTAGAATGGTATTATAATTAAGTACAAAAATGGGAAGATCTCTATTCCAAAATAAAATTTCCTTCCTCCAAGGCTCAGTCCTCAGGGATAGTAATTTAGTCTTATTAAACTTGGAGCACTGAGAGGGGCGCCTTGGTGCCTCAGTCGGTTAAGCGTCTGACTTCATCTCAGGTCATGATCACACGGTTTGTGGGTTTGAGCCCCACGTTGGGCTCTGTGCTGACTGCCAGCTCAGAGCCAGGAGACTGCTTCAGATTCTGTGTCTCCCTCTCTCTCTGACCCTTCCCTGCTCACGCTGTCTCTATCTCTCTCTCCAAAAAATAAATAAAACATTAAAAAAATTTTAAACTTGGAGCACTGAGGTCCTGAAACAACACTTTCCATATTTATCTGATATATTTTTTAAAAAATTAAAATGATTTTGCTACTTATATAGGAACTTACTGTACAAAGTAACAAATTCTTAGCAACAACTCTCTTTACTACCATTATCTAGTTAAACGTAATTCAATATCTAAAATCAATTTATTAGAAACTGATGACTTTGTCTATAACCCATAGAGTAGCTCAATCACATTTATGGAAATCGCTAAAAGTTAGTTAAAAAGAGGTGTCTGCTCAGAATGCAGTTCATAGAGTCAAGTAAACTATGGAAACAGCAGTAGAAGAGGAAATTAACTTGAAAATTTGAAGTGTAAATTAGAAGCAAAAAAAATTTTCCAATTATAAGGTCAGCTGTATGATGTAATTACAAACCTATTTAAAAATATGTAAACTGATTTAAAGATTTCACCTACATTCACTGAGGTAAAGGAAAAAGAATGAAAGTTCATATGCCTCAAAATTACTCTGGTTCATTCAAAACAAAGTGCTGAGTGCTGAATGTGGCAGCCACTGACTCTGGCAAGTGGGATTCAGGAGACTTGGTCCCTGCCTTTGAGGAGTTCACATTATAAAAGCAGAGTTTAAGTCACAATTTAATTACAGAGAACACATCATAATTTGTTACATCTAAGTGATAAAACGTATGATCGTGACTTTTCTATATTTTCTGAAGTTTTGCAAGGTGGGCATTATGTTATTATAATTAATATCTCCCTCTAAATAATGTAAAGGTAAGAAATGAAATCATGTTTGTCCTACAAGCAATTGTATTTTATTTTTATATTTTAAATATTTATTTATTATGTATTTTTGAGAGAGAGAAAGAGAGAGTGAGAGAGAGATAAGCAGGGGAGGGGCTGAGAGAGAGGGAGACACAGAATCTGAAGCAGGCTCCAGGCTCTGAGCTGTCAGTACAGAGTCGGACAAGGGGCTCAAACCCACAAACTGTGAGATCATGACCTGAGCCAATCCAGGTGCCCCAGCAGTTGTTTCTTTAAATGATAGTACTTGATGATGAAAAGTATTCATGGTTATTTTTTTTGTCTACTTAATTGTAACCTTCTTAGAATATCATTTAGATATATGTATCAAGCACCTTATTAAAACGTTCTTATCCTTTGACCTAAAACTTCTACTTGGCCCATTAACATAGGAACAAGGCTATGATGATAAACCAAAATAAGGGGCAAGCTTTCTGTAAAAATAAGTTGCCTACAGTCTTATTTCTAGGAGTAAGAAGGAAAAATAAATGGAAACAAACTATTTCAACAAAAGGATGATGACTAAAATGATACACTGCATTCAACTGAATATTATATAGCTATTTTTTTTACTTTGCAAAGTCTGCTCTAGAAGCGTCTGTCTTGTTTACTGCGGTATTCCCAGTGCTTAGTATAAACAGGTGCTCAATAAATATTAAATTATATTTAGATAACATGAGAAAATTATTATTTTAACTTTTTTTTTTTTAATTTTTTTTAATGTTTTATTTATTTCTGAGAAAGAGACAGGTAGCATGAGCAGGGGAGGGTCAGAGAGAGAGGGAGACACAGAATCAGAAGCAGGCTCCAGGCTCTGAGCTAGCTGTCAGCACAGAGCCCGATGCGGGGCTCGAAACCACGAACCGTGAGATGACCTGAGCCGAAGTCGGACACTTAACCGATTGAGCCACCCAGGCGCCCCTATTTTAACTTTTAAAATATAATCCTATGTGCTATGTGTGTGTTTGTCTGTGTCTGTCTTATGGTCATTAATCATGGAGATAGTATGCACTGAGATAAAGGCACCAAGAAAGGTGTATAAGAAAATACACCAAAAGGTTAACAGCAGTTATCCCTGGGAATCTTTCTATGTTTTGTATTTTCTACTAAAAGCACTTAACCTTTTGTGGTTGAGAGAAACCAGACTGTGGCAGGGATGGCCTGGATACTTACCCAGCCTCCCTAGAAGTGGGGGGTAGCTGTGTGCCTAAGTCCTGCCTACTGGCGTGAGGCTGAAAGCGGCTCACGTGGCCCCCAGGCCTGCCGCACTACTACCTCCGGTGCCATCAGGCTGGCCGCCATCAGGTGCCATCAGGCTGGACCAAGTCAAGTGCACCTGGGAATGCTGTGTTCAAGAAGGCAAAGACTCTGTCAGCTGGGGGCTCGGGGACGCTGCACAGAACAGAGTCCCTCCCCCACTGAAAAATGGACTTCCTGTGAAGCCTTGGGACCTTGAGGTTTATCTGTTGTGGCAGGTACTATGGACAACTTAATAAACATAAAATTTAAACATAAAAAGAACAGACATATTAGCAGTATTTTAAAGTGTCATCATGTAATCCTCTTTTTTTATTCAACAAATAGAAAAGAGCATATTAATATTCTCTAAGAATACTTTAATTAAGAAAATACATGGTATTTATGGAAATAAAATCATTTATGAGAATGTTCTTACAGATATTTAAGTTGGAAACAGGGAAAAAGAATAGTCTGGTAAACATTAGAGTAGTGTGTAACTATCTAAACTAAATGGTAAAACAATTTTAAACAAGTTTGAAGAACAAAATTTTCACAAAGGCAAACAAACGTTCACGTTAAAAGCTAAAGATTACGGGATGCCAGGGTGGCTCAGTCAGTTAAGCGTCTGACTTCAGCTCAGGTCATGATCTCACGGTTTGTGGGTTTGAGCCCTACGTTGGGCTCTGTGCTGACAGCTCAGAGCCTGGGGCCTGTTTCAGATTCTGTGTCTCCCTCTCTCTCTGACCTTCCACTGCTCATGCTGTCTCCTCTCAGAAATACATAAAAAACATTAAAAAAAAAAAAAAGAGCTAAAGATTCCATACTTTCTAGTCATTTCCTCTAATGAAATCACTGCATTCTCGTTGAAACTAAGGACAGCTGTGTGTGTGTGTGTGTGTGTGTGTGTTTAATGTTTATTTTTGAGAGACAGAGACAGAGCACGAGTTGGAGAGGGGCATGAAGAGAGGGAGACAGAATCCAAAGCAGGCTCCAGGCTCTGAGCTGTCAGCACAGGGCCCAACGCGGGACTTGAACTCACAAACTGCAAGATCATGACCTAGGCTGAAATCAGCTGCTTCACTGACTGAGCCACCCGGGTGCCCAGCCCTGTCTATGTTTTACATGATGCTGATGAGTGAGAGGCAGAGTGTGTGAAGACTGACCCACGAAGGGGGAGAGGGAAGTGACATGATGCATATTTAGGAGGGATGGCCTCATAGGCGGATGGGCCTCATGAGAACCTGAGTCAGAAGACTTGAGCTCTGAAGGGTAAGTCACTCACATTCCTTGCTTTCTCCAAGTACATTTTATATCTTTCCTCCATTGCTTTCATATCTTCATCTTTCTTCTGAAGAGCAGCTTCAAGTTCATTGATCTTTTGTACTATTATGGAAAATGAAATGAAACGTGACCAATTTAAAATATTCCCTCTTCACACAAAAATTATATTTATCTGATTTTTTTTCTAAAGACTGATGAGAACATAAATGAGAAATGTTTATTTCTTCTTGTACTAAATTTGTATCTAAAACTTTTGAACTATGACTAATATATTCTCAATCATTTCATATTATTTTTTCTTACAAATATCTATAATCTGCATAGCCAGATATTTTTCTCCCTTCATCAAGTGTTTCAATGAGCAAATACACTTTACCACGTAAACACAACCATCATAAGAAAATAAAGCATTCCCTCTATATACTATTTAAGTCTTGATTTAATTAGATTATAAATTATTTTACTTACATTTTCATAGTATTAATCCTATTATATTTTACAATGTTTGATACTCCTATATATCAACCAGTTCATTGTATTAGATTTTTTTTTTTTTTTTGCTTTAAAATCAGCTTAATTATTAACTACTGAAATTGCTAAAATGTTAGCATGGTTCTTATTTGCAACGTATGTATTAATGGAGTGTCTGAAAACTTATACACAGCTCTTGTATCTTTGAACTAAAAAAGGCAAGTCCTCTGATGTAGTCTGATTCAGGTTTTTACAAATACCTACCATTCTGGTTTACATCTGGCTGGAGATCTTCGATGAGTTCTTGTTTCTTCTGTAATTCTTCCTGGACCTCAGTTAGTTTTTCCCTAAGTAGTGGAAAGAGCATGGAGTTTGGGAAGCAAACAGACCTTAGAATGAAAACTGATTTCTGCCACAGGACATTTGTGGACTGTGGGCAAATCACTTTCTGATTCTGCATCTCCTCACCTGTAAACCGGGAGTAAAACCTGACACACATCACAGGGCTTGCTGTGAGAAGGTAAGCCGCCCGGCACGTGATGGGTGCTAATAATGCTAATGATGTCCCTTTTTCATCCTTGCCTCCTAAGACAGTCAGAGGAAATATTTTACTGGCGAAACATCCCACATCTCCGCCAAGTTGTGACAGTTGTTTGCTTTTGTAAACTCTTCAAAGGACATTAGTGATGGCAAAATGTAGGATTTGAGATCACTGGCGAGCAGGCTGAACATTTTAGCACGTTTTTCTTTTCACTGCTTGGTGGTGGTGGTGAACATTCTATTGGCATCAGGGGATTTTTCTCATAAACAAAATCAGATAAAGGATACTAACTTCAGAAGTTTTTACAACCTTTCCCCTTTCATATTTGAAATGAAATATCAGTTTTACTTACATATGAGCTTCCAACTTCTGCTTTAGTTTGCTGGACTATAAAAATTAAAAAAAGTTGCTGTAAGATGACTATTGTGACAAATTTTCCAGATATCAAAATCTCTTTACCTCCTTTTGAAGTATATTATTTAAAATTATAAATTTTTTTTAACAATTTGTATTTCTAATAACATACTTATAAAGACATAAAATTTTAGGTGTTTTTTACTTCAAAGGGAAAGGAAAGGAGGTTAGGAAATGAAATAAGGATGAGTACAAGAGTAAAAACAAAAGTGCTTCATATTTCTGAATACCATGAAAATAAAATTTGAACTTGAAGAAAAACAGCAAATGCAAGCTGAATGTGATATATTGAGGAGTATCAAACATTTAAAAATCATTATTTAAAATACATAGTTTAAGATGTTAGGCCCTTGATGAAGAATAGACTTAAATAATTATCTTTATAATAAAGCTTTCTCATTATAAAGCAAGCACTTTAATATTAACATCAAAATGAAGTGGATTTTATTAAAAAATAAAATTCAAAACATAAAACTTCCTCTTTAAAAAGCAGGAGTTTAAACTGCAATAGTAGTTACGTATCATCTACTGAATCGTTGAAGGGTCTAAAAGATATAATCTGAAACATAACTCAGACACTAATAATTTATTTTAAAAAGATAAATAGAACATCTTTAAAAACACAGCAATCCAAAATGTACACACCCAGGGGTGCCTGGGTGACTCAGTCAGTTAGGCGACCGACTTCGGCTCAGGTCATGATCTCACGGTTTGAATCAGGCTCTGTGCTGACAGCTCAGAGCCTGGAGCCTGCTTCGGATTCTGTGTCTCCCTCTCTGCCCATCCCCTGCTCTCTCTCTCTCTCTCAAGAATAAACATCAAAAAAAATGTACTCTCCCAAAGAGATCACATTTCAAAAGTATTCTCTAATGTGGCTTAAAAAAAATATTCATATTAGAGAGGTTACAATACCGTATATATGCACATATGAGATGCCGCCATGCATGAGACGATTTCTATTTTCCAAGCCCCCAGGGAAAAAAGAGAAAATCATATAAAGCATATAAAAGACAGAGAGGAAACACAGCCCTTTCAGTCTTCTTTCTCATCCCTTTTCTCACTCTCCCAAGCTTTCTCGCCCATCAACACAGGTATAACCACCTCACCTTCTGTCTGCCAGGTATCCAGCACACATGGAGCCCTGTCTTTCTGCTGTTGTTCCTCCCTCCACTGCTACTTCTTTCCCCCCTGAAGACGGAGCTCAAACTACAGACACACGGCCAGGTGTATTCAGGTTGGGGCTGTTTGAGCTCTGCTGAGTCCTCTTCTGTCTGCCCTCATGATGTTTGCCCTCAGAAACCCATTAGAAGCAGCAAGGTCATGGGTCAGCATGCAAGAAGGGAAGAGATATGGGGTGATGTCTTCAAAACTGCATTAAGGTTTCTGTCCTTTGGTGGTTACTATGATCCACTTCTTTAATGCTCTTTGGTAGAGATCATGTTCTCCCCCTCCCTTTTCCTGTTAGAAGTTTTCTTCAATTCTGACCACCCGGTACTCTCTACCAGGACTTTTCTGAGACCCACCCTGTTGATGTCTTAGCAGAGCCGTGAAGGCCTCACCTGCAGCACACTCACAACCATGAACTTAGGTGTAGCTGTTGAAGTAGGACAGAGAGAAATCACCTTCCAATACATACAATTAATTTACAGGCTCCAAGCTGGCAAAATTGCAGCATCTGTTATGCAGATATATACGGTATTCATGGGTACCCTCAGTGATAAGGGCAATTTCAAATACGAGACTAATTTGGGTGTCAGGACCTATCGCAAAGAGTCCTCACACAGCAGAATTATTACAGTTTTCAAGTTACTTACACTTTCTCCTTCAGACTTGGAGCCTTGTTCCTGTAAAGATTTCTGGAGGTCCTCAATCTGCTGCTGCAACTCTCGGATGCGCTCTTTGCTCAGCCTGTTGTAAGATGGGTCATATGCACTTATTTGTATTGAAAGTCAAAGTAGTTAAGGATCTGTAAAGATGCATAGGTGCAATTTGTGCATTTAATAGTAACAATGAACGCTGAACAATTATCTGTGGCTAGGTATAATATACAATACAGAGGGCTACTTGCAAGGAAGTATTTTTTACAAAAAAGACAATTATCCCTGGAAGTACATATACCCACATGTAAAAATTTGAGATACTTATGTGTCAGTTGCAAAAGCACATCATTTATGCACAGTACTTACTGGTAAAAAAAGAAAAAAATTAGAAAACTAACTCAATTTTCCTACAGTTGTATTTTTAATGATTGGGAACTAGGGTTCTTTTTCTCGTGTCAGATTTCATAGTGCACTGACAAAGGTCACCATTTTCCAACCATTTCCTCATAACTTTTTGTTTAAATTAAAGAGACTGATGCTAGCAATTCATGCAGACTTTTAAGTTGACAAAATCTCATTCTTTAAAACCCTGCTTGAGAACTTCCTCTGCTGAGGTTTCCAGCAAAGGAGAACATCTGTCTCTCTTTTCACATATATATGACCCAGCACACCTGCCCATTATAATGCCCTACTGTTCCAGTTATCAGATAATGTAATTATCTATTTATGTCTATTTTCCTGTATTAACTTTCTAAGAGCTGAAACTTTGTATCTCCAGTGCTAATACTGAACTACAGAGGATAGTAATATTTGATGATCCTGTCACAGAGCTAAGATGTTATTCTTTTTTTAACCACAGTTGATGTAATACCACATATACAAGTTTGAGAAATGAGGTTCAAGTGTATCTAAAATTTCTGATGGTCTCAAAGATCCAATAAAGTTTGGTCAAATAAAACTAAATACTTTTACTGCAAAATATGCCATATATAAGAGGCAAGTTAGCATAGTGGTGAAGAGTCCAGACTCTGGAGTCAGAATCACAGAAAGTTCAAATGTGAACTTAGTAGCTTATGACCTTAGATGAGTTACTTAACTTCCTTGAACCTCAGCTTCTTTATCCATAAAAGAGATAATTACAGTTTCTACTTCATAGAGTTACTGTGAGGATTTCTGAGTTAATACCAAACAAGTGCTAATAAAGTGGCTGGCATATAGTAAACACTTTATCAATGTTATATATTTTTAATATTATAACTTTTAAGCACCTCATTGGTATTGGGTAAGTACACCATTAGTTTTAGGTACCTTACTTGTGAATCTTCATAACAACCTGCAAATAGGTATCACCTCCAGTTTACAGCTGAGGACACTAGGTGTAAATTTAAGTAACTTGCCCAGAACAAAACAGTTAACAGGTTTAAATAGAAGTGGGACTCAAATTTGACCTGTAGTCTATGTTCCATCCAAGCACTGACTGAAGTCGAAACCCAGAATGTAATTTACTCATGTGTTAAATTTTCTGAGAGTTATGAATACATATAAATGAAATTCAAGAATAGGAAACCTGGTTACTAAAGTGTGCTAGAAGCAATGGGAGTGAGAGCATAAAATCCTAACTATTTTCAATACAATGATATGCCCCGCGTCTGTGAGTCAAGACTTGGTGGTACCTAATGGGGTCACTATGACAATTACAAAAGAGCATGTCACCTTTGCTCGGTTTCCAGTTCATTCATCTTGCGCTGCTTCTGCTCGAGCTGTTCCTGAAGTTCCTCAATACGCTCGTTCTCAGTACCTTCCTGTTGTAAGCGAAGCATTTTGTTTTCATGTTGCAGTCGAATAAACACTTCCCTGACATCGAAAAGCAAAATTTATTTGTAATTTTTTCTAAATATACATTTTACATTTTTTTTACTTTTTAGAAAAGAAAATTCCTTGTTCATTCAATAGCTGTCCTTTAAAACTGTTAGCAATATTTCTGAAAGTTTTTAAGAAAAAAACTATATAGTAAGACTGTCTTGAAAATCAAGTAGTAAATTTTTAAAAGCACAAGTATTATATTATATTATATTACATTACATTATATTATATTATATTTATTATGCAAATCCCAAAGAGAAATAGTTCTTTTACTGGTAACTTAAAAACTATTTACTAAACGTAATATATATTACATCCCCAGAAAGCATTAATTAAATGTTTAAGAAATTTAATTTCATAAATTAAATTATGGGGTGCCTGGGTGGTTCAGTTAGTTGAGGTCTAACTCTTGATTTTGGCTCAGGTCATGATCTCATGGTTTCTGAGTTTGGGCCCCACATCGGGCTTCACACTGACAAAGCATCTGTGCTCACTCTCTCTCTCTCAAAATAAGTAAATAAATTTAAAGAAAGAAATTAGTTTGCTTAATATTTTTTATTTTTTAAAATGTTTATTTATTTTAGAGAGAGAGAGAAAGAGAAAGAGAGCACAGGGGAGGGGCAGACAGAGAGACACAGAATCCAAAGCAGACTCCAGGCCTGAGCTGTCAGCACAGAGCCCAATGCGGGGCTCAAACTGATGAACTGCGAGATCATGACCCGAGCTGAAGTTGGATGCTTAACCAACTGGGTCACACAGGCGCCCCTATTTTGCTTAATATTTTTAAATATACTTTTATGATGACAGGCCTATGACTGTCTCTAGATTATTTGTTTTCAAAAAACAATTTTATTAAAAGTTTACATATACATATATTCTAAAATGCAAATGATAGGAATGATATTAAATAAAAAGGTAATGTTCTCCTACCTGCTGCCTCCCTAAATGCAATTTCTCAGAAGCAACTAATTTCAATTAATCTCAGTTTGTGTTCTTCTGAATGCCAGCATCATGCCTTTAAAGTATAGACTCATATGGCTGTTTTAAAGGGATATTAATATCACTGGATACTAACTAAAAAGTTGCTCTCCAGTCCAGCATGTAAAGAGCTCTATCTTAACAACAAAACTTGAACAAAAGGAAAATCAGCACATTTGTGAACTATATGCTAAGTGAATCAAGTCAGTCACAAAAGGCTGCATATCGTATGACTCTATGTATATTAAATTCCGTAACAAGCAACTGGACAAAGAGTCAGCTCTTGGTTGCCTGGGGCTGGAGCTGTAGGGGCAGCAGGGATGAGGAGCGACTAGTACAGGGTATCTGGCGGGGGGTGAGATGTTCTCACATTAGATGGCTGCACAACCGAGCTGTACAGGTTTTAATTTTTTTAATGTTTAGTTATGAGACAGTATGTGTGCGCACGTGCATGTGCATGAGCGGGGGAGGGGCAGAGAGAGAGAATCCGAAGCAGCTTCAGGCTCTATGCTGTCAGCACAGAGCCGGACATGGGGCTCAAACTCACGAACTATGAGATCATGGCCTGAACCGACGCTGGACACTTAACCGACTGAGCCACCCATGCGCCCCAGAGCTGTACAGTTTTAAATGGGTGAGTTGAATCTCAATAAATCTGCTATAAAAAGTAGAATATAAAGTAATAAATAAAATTGTGACCACAGAAAGGAAAAGAAAACCATAAAAAATAGATTAGTCAAATGCCTATAAGTAAACATAGCAGTAAAATACCAAGATAACTGCTGGTGAAGAGGAACTTAAAATTTACATTTTATTTAACTTCTCCTTAATCCTCCTGCTATAACTGACAGCCTCTCTCCTATTTGTGTGGATTTAGAGGCCATGTATAAAAAGGGTTTTCCATAGAGTTTATGCATAGGAAAAGAAGTTCAACACAGTAGAAGTCATATTATAAAAACTAGAATAATATCTCATTCAGCTAGTTTGTGAAATTTTACTTATGATAAGATCTAAAACTGCTAGAGTAGCAATAACAACCTAAGAAGCTCAAACAGACAAGACAAAGTATTTTGAGCTCTACGACTCATAAAATGGAACATTTTAAAGGCTAATACTTTTTTTTTAAAGAAATCACATTTCTAATATTATCAGTTAATAAAAACACATTTACCTGTATTCCACAGGCATAATCTCAGCAGCGAGATTCTCAAAGCTTTTTGTAGCCGATGCATCTAAACGACAACAACAACAGATCAACATTTCAGTATTTTTATCATTTAAAAAAAACTTTCTTAAATCCAAGAAAATTCACCTGTTTGGTTCAGGTGGTCTTGTTGTACTTGTGAACATCGAAGCTCTTCATTCGTTTCTTTCAAAGTATCACGTTGTTCTATTAGTCTCTAAAAAATAATTGTTTATATGAGCAAAATATTTAATTCTCTCCGCAAGAAATGTACTTTATGCTTATAATAACGTACCTTCGCACACTGATTTCCTAATCGTTGCTTACTTAAAAATGACAATATTTTAGTTGTAGTGCTAAATCACATAAATAATCTTTATACAACACAAATCTCATGATTTCAAAGGTTATATACCTTTGAACCAAACTGATGTAATTATGCAACAGAGTACAACTATGCAACTGTGGAGTAATTTTAAAAAAAGTATGGACTTTGGGGGCAAATAGATCATGGCTTGAATTCCAGTTTCACTATTTCCTAGTTATATTATGTAGGGTGAGTTATTTGGTTCTTTGGCTTTAGTGTCCACACCATCAAAATGGAAATGCTGATACTTAGGCCTTTGCAAAGGTGTTTTGAGTAATGAGTGAGGTAAAGTTTGTGGTTATTTGTAAGAATTGATGAGAGTGCACTTGGGTGGCTAAGTCAGTTAAGCTTCTGACTTCGCTGAGGTCATGGTCTCACAGTTCTGAGTTTGAGCCCTGTGTCAGTCTCTGTGCTGACAGCATGGAGCCTGAAGCCTGCTTCTAGTTCTGTGTCTCCCTCTCTGTCTGTCCCTCCCCTGCTCATGCTCTGTCTCTGTCTCTCTCTAAAATGAATCAACATTTTAAAAAGTATTAAAACACAAAAGAATTGATGAGCCATTATTGATACACTATTATTAACATTACGGTTAACTTTTTCTTCTTTTCTTCTGTGGGTTCTGACAAACGTACAATGTATCCATCACTACAGTCTCATGGTCATCTGATTTTCAACAAGGGCATCAAGACAATTCAACAGGGAAAGAACGATAGTGCTGAGACAACTGAATATCCACACAGAAAAAAATATAGTTGAGACCCCTGCTTACACCACATACAAAAATTCAAAATCGATCACAGACTAAATATAAGAGCTAAAACTATACAATTAAAAGAAAACATAAGCATAAGTCTTTATAACTTCTCATTACTCAATGATTTCATTAAAATATTGCCAAAAATTACACAAAAGAATAAAACAGTTAACTCTGACTTCATCAAATGAAAAACTATTCTGCTGCAAACAATACCATAAAAACATGAGAAGACAACAGCTCACAGAATAAAAGAACATGTTTGCAAATCACATATCTGAAATGGAGCTTGTATCTAGAATATATAAAGAATTCTTACAACTCAAAAATAAAAATGCAAATAATTTAAATAAAACATGAGTAAGTGATGTGAAGAGATAATTCTCCAAGAAAGATATACAAATGGCCAACAAGTACATGAAAAGATGCTCGATACCATCAGTCATTAGGGAAATACAAATCAAAACCACAATGACATACCTCTTCAGAGTCACTAAGATAGCTAAAATTAAAAGGCTGGTAAGAGTTGGCAGGATGTGGAGAAATTGGAAACCTTTACAAATTGCTGACAATGAAAAATGGTTCATCTGCTTTAGAAAACAGTCTGGTAGTTCCTTAAAAGGTTAAATGTAGTTAGCCTATGACCCAGTAGTACCATTCATAGGTATATACTCAAGAAATGAAACACGTGTCGATAAAAACTGTAAATAAATATTCACAGCCACATTATCTGTTCAATAGGCAAAAAGCAGACATAGCACAAATGTCCATAAAATGATCAATGGATAGATAACATGTGGTATAACCACAGAATGGGGCATTATTCAGCACAAAATCTAATGAAGTACTGATTCCTGCTATGAAGTGGATGAACTTTGAAAGCATGAAGCTAAATGAAGGAGTCCAGTCACAAAACCCACAAAGTGTATACTGACATATCCTGGACAGGCTGGGCAAATCTACAGAGAAAAAAAGTGGAGTAAAGGCTGCAGTGGCTGGACGGGAGGGAGCCAGAATGCAGAGTAGCTGCTGGCAGGCACACTGATGGTGTGAGGAGAGTGTTCTAAAATCTGAGTGTGGCGATGGCTGCACAACTGTCAATGTACTAAAAACTACTGAACGGTACACTTTAAGTAGGCAAAACTGATGGTATATAAATTGTATCTCAATAAATCCATCAAAAAAGTATCATCTGGGGTGCCTGGGTGGCTCAGTCGGTTAAGTGTCCGACTTAGGCTCAGGTCATGATCTCACAGTTTGTGAGTTCGAGCCCCATGTCGGGCTCTGTGCTGACAGCTCAGAGCCTGGAGCTGCTTCTGATTCTGTGTCTCTTCTCTCTGTGCTCCCCTGTTCACACTCTGTCTCTCTCTCTCTCAAAAATAAACAAATATTAAAAAAAATTTTTAAAAAATCACATCTATGGTGCCTCCTCTCAAGGAGCCAACGGTCTAGAATGGGAACACACACTGAGATGTATAGCCTTGCCTCTGTGACTCCGTCTTCCCTTGTGAAGCAAAGTAACAAAACTGCATGGTGAATTCTTCCTACTTTCTTTGACACCAACACTCCAATTTGGAGAAAGAAGAAGAACTGACTGACGTGACTTCCAACCTTAGAATAACAAATATAATATTAAAAACTGAAAGAAGACGGACCTTTGACTTATCAACTGTATTTACGTTTACCTCTTTTTCCTTAAGTAATGCTTCATGTTTTTCTTCAAGCCGCTTCATTTCAAATGCTAGTGTATCTGCCCTTTTGGATTCAGAGGAAAGTTTATTGTGAAGATCTTGAACCTTTTTGTCACAAACAAAAGTAGAAAACAAGAGTACATAACATTAATAGTTTTTCAGAGGTCAATAAATGAGAAATGGATTGGAAATAAAACTTATAGTAAGAATATAATCTAGTAATCCTTAATAGTTGCGAAAATAGCATTTAGATAAAAGTTAACATAAATTTTAAAATACTCAAATAATAATTTAGTAAAAAAATCATTCTACTAATGTTTCTCGAGGTTGCTTGATAAATAGCAAAACAGCATATTATTGGTATGGCTCCATTCTCAAGGCAATTATTACTGGTTACCAGAAATGCTAACAAGCGATAACATGCCTCCCAAAATATACAAGTTCAGAAGACAATAAAAAGGGGAAAGACCTAGGTAGCTCAAACTTCAAACTCAACTATCAATCCTAGAATTAAAATTTCAGGTAGGAGAAATCTATCATCTTAAGTTTATAGCTCATTATAGGTAATATTTTTCCTATCTCTATCATTCTTAAAGTATCAAAAAGAATAAGAAAGTTGAGCCCTTCAATTTCATTGACTAAAAAAATGGAGATATTTTCTTACCTGCCTCTTGTACGTTTCTAACTGAGTACGTGCTGCATTTGCCTTCTTTAATTCTTCTTCTAAGCTGACTGTGTTATGCATATACATCATGTTTGTTTCTTGTAAAGTTTTCACCTGCTTGCGAAGGTCATTCAGATCTTGTAATTTCTGACGATATATCTCCACTGTTGATTCTAGTTTATTTGCTTTATCAGAGGTAGCCCTATGATAATAAAGACTGCACGTTACTGGGTAAAAGCTAGTAAATGAACATAACATTTTTATTCTGGCTGTAAAAGTAGTCAGCCAGATGTACGATCAATTGGCTGAAGCAAATAAAAAAGAAAATCAGAGAAAACAAAAGAATTAAACTTTGTGAGAACTTTGGAAAAAGACTCAAGTCCAGTGTTGAAGCTTTTTGTTATAAAGGTATCAAAACAAAAATGCCTTAAATGTAACACACTAAATTATCAAACCATTTCATACAGCACAATGTATAAAAAAGAATGCTTTTGCAAATGTAACTGAACAATTCTAAGTCTCTCTGAAGCTTACAGGCCAACTATGCTTTGTGTTTAACATTTAGTACAGTTTTGTTCTAAGCAGTTGATATACAAAGGTAGTTAATTCAACTGATAATTTGTTTGACAAAGCACTTCCCTTTAGAGTTGTGCTTACCTGGCCAACTAGATAAAAAATAAATACATAAACCAAATCACTTTCCATTTCGTGCAGGTTCAAATAAATAGCAAAAAGATTTTGTTTCAAATGGACATTAAAAACAGTGTAACAAAAAGGCTAATTAGGAAAATTTAACAGAAAAGGCTCAGTTGGTTAAGGGTCTGACTTCAGCTCAGGTCATGATCTTGTGGTTCCTGGGTTCGAGCCCAACGTCGGGCTCTGTGGTGACAGCTTGGAGCCTGGAGCCTGCTTTGGATTCTGTCTCCCTCTCTCTTTCTGCCCCTCCTCTGCTCGTGCTCTGTCTCTCTCTCTCTCTCTTACACACACACACACACGCACACATACTCTCCTTTTTAAAAAAAAATTTTTATAGTTTATTTTTGAGACAGAGAGAGACAGAGCATGCGCAGGGGAGGGGCAGAGAGAGAGAGGGAGACACAGAATCCGAAGCAGGCTCCAGTTTCTAAGCTGTCAGCACAGAGCCTGACGCGGGGCTCGAACCCAGGAACTGCGAGATCATGACCTGAACTGAAGTTGGATGCTTAACTGACTGAGCCACCCAGCTGTCCCAGACATACACCCTCTCAAAAATAAATAAAACATTAAAAATTTTTTAAAAAGAAAATTTAACAGAAAATATAAACAGCATATGAATAGTCTGTTGCTTGATTAACAATTCATAGGCAAAAACTAAATATAAATTTTATATTGTCTAAGACAATAAGAGAACCTTGAGATAATCCTGAAATAAATGTGAAGATACTTACCTATATCTGTTTGATATCAAATGCTAAATGGACTGTCAGAATACTTTCCCTCACATAAAAAGCTCACATGATACACTAACAAGTACAAGAGGGTCAAGTTGAACGTATCTAAAAGTAAGTCAGCTTACACAATTTTTAGAAAATGACATCACTCTCCATCGGGCTCTGTGCTGTCACATATGCTTGGGATCCATTCTCTTTCTCTCTCTGCCTCTCCCTTGCTTGTGCACATGCATGTGCATATGCTCGCTTTCTATCTCTCTCAAAATAAATAAGCTTTAAAAAATAAAAAGATATTATTTTGGGTTTATGAATTCTAATATGAAATTATGCTAAAAAGAATTGAATGCTATCCTTAATCTGCAATTATTATCAAAGAGCATAAAATAAGTAAAGACTAGGAGTCTGGAAAAAACTGATCAGTATTTGATATACAGAAATAACCCTAAGAATCCCTGATTAAAATATGGAATACTGAAATGACTAAGTAATAACTTAGAAGTGATGTAATTATATTTAGACACGGCATACCTAAGGACGTCTATTTCATCTTTCAGGGCTCTTGTTTCTTCAGCAAGACTAGTCAGTTCATCATTCCTATGCTGGAATTCAATTAGTTGCTTTTCAAGTTCTTCACAGTGAACACGATAATCATCTTTTGCAGCTTCAAGCCTTGCATAAACAAAGTATTTATTATATAATTTCCATTATTTGTTTTCTTACTGAGATATGAGCTTAGCAAGACATACTTTTAAAATGTTCTTTAAAATTCTACACTCAAAAGAAAAACTAAAAGAAAGAATAAGAAACTTATGGCTCTTGGATTTAAAACTGGCTAAGAATAAACTTAATGTTCTGAATTTTCATTTTTCACTTCTGAAACATGGTGCATGGCTATTGCTATTCTATAAGAGGTTTAATCTCAAAAGATGAAGAGAAAATGTATAAATATATATTAAAGTTACTCAAAAATATACATCACATGTGAAATGTCTACTCTAAGTAGACTATGATAAATTATGGATAAATACTTCAAACTCTATAGCAAAAACAAAAAGAAGATGGGGGGGGGGGCGGGAGTGCGTGTAGTCTGGTGCTCAGTCAGTTAAGTGTCTGACTCTTGAACTCGGCTCAGGTCATGATCTCACAGTTCATGACTTGAAGCCCTGTGTCGGGTCCTACACTGATGGTAAGGAGCCTGCTTGGGATTTTGCCCCTCCCCAGCTCATGCTTGGTTTCTCTCAAAAAACAAATAAAAAAAAAAAAAAAAAAAAATGGAAAAAGACAATACAGTCTTTAAAATCAAATATTAAAAAAACTTATCTAAAAAAAAAAAACTTATTTGATTTACCTAAAAGAAAGCAGGAAAGAAGGAACAAAAGAATAGATATGACAAAAGAAAAACAGCGAACTGAAAAACCTAAAAACCATAACAAAAATTACATAAAAGGCCAATAGATTAAACACCAATTAAAAAGGCAGAGACTATCAGACTAGGCAAAAAAGCAAGGCTAAAATATATGCTAATTATAAGGGATATTTTAAACATAAAGACACAGATTAAAAGTAAAAGGACTTAAAAACACCATGAAAAGAGTAAGCACAGAAAATTGGGGTGGTTATGTTAATGTCAAACAAAATAAATTCCAAGACAAAAAATATAGTCAAAGATAGAAATATTTCATAATTATAAAGGGGTCAATTACTAGAAAGCCATATTATAAATGTATATATACCTAAAAATAGTTTTAAAAGACATGAAGCAAAAACTGATAGAATCAAAGGTAGAAATCCACAAGTCAACAATCATTGCTTAATACCAGTCTCTAATAAATGACAGAACTAAACAAACAAACAAAAAAACTAAAAAGAAGAGATTTGAACACTATTAACCAACTCGATTTAGCTGACATGTGTACATGTCAAAAATGACAGAATACACATTTTTTGCAAGTGCACATGGAACACCCTTCACAATGAAACATGAACAACAAAATAAGTATTAATAAATATCAGAAGACTGAAATCTATGAAATATGTTCTCTAACCATAAGAGACTTAAATTAGAAATTAGTCACAATAAGAAGTCTAGAAAAGCCTTAAATACTGGAAATGAAACAATACATTTCTTTTTTTTTCTTAAATAGTTTATTGTCAAGTTGGTTTCCATATACCACCCAGTGCTCATCCCAACAAGTGCCCTCCTCCATGCTCATCAGCCCTCAGTTTGTTCTCAGCATTCAAGAGTCTCTCATGGTTTGCCTCCCTCCCTCTCCCCAACTATTTTTCCCCTTCTCCTCCTCCCCCATGGTCCTTCGTTAAATTCCTCCTAATCCACCTATACATGCAAACATATGGTATCTGTCCTTCTCTGCCTGACTTATTTCACTCAGCATAACACCCTCAAGTTCCATCCATGTTGATACAAATGGCCAGATTTCATTCTTTCTCACTGTAAATAATACATTTCTAAACAACCCATACATCAAGGAAGAAATCACAAAGGAAATTAGAAAATACTGAGGCTGAATAACAACAGAAGGACAACCAGTTACATTTTGGGAACACAGAAAAAGTGCTTAGAGGAGAATTTAAAGTCTTATATATTAGAAATGAAGAAAGACTTAAAGTCAGTCCGAATTCAACCTTAAAAGGCTAGGAAAAGAAGAGCAAATTAAATCCAAAGTAAATAAAAGGAAAGAAAGAAAGAACCAAGACACACAACAATATGGAAATCTAATAAAGTACTTGAATAGATTAATAAAACTGATGAAACCCTAGTAAGAGTGATCACTAAAAATGAGAAAAAACAGATTACCAGTATCAGGAATGAAAAAAAAAGTATCAGTGTAGCTCCTACAGTCATTAAAAGGACAATGAAAGAATACTACAAACAACTTAATGGCAATAAATTCAATAACTGAAATGAAATAAACATATACTTTGAAAAGCACAACTTAACAAATTGACATAGATGAAACAGAAAATCTAAGAAGCCCTATGACCACTGATGAAATTGCATTTGTCATTAAAAGCCCTTTCACAAAGAAAACCATAGGTCCAGATTGCTTTATTGATAAATTCTATCAAACATTCAAGGAAGAAATAATATCATTCATACATAAACTCTTTCAGAAAACAGAGGAAGAGAGAATTCTTCCCAATTACTCTGAGACTAGCAGAACTCTGACAACCTAAAAAAGGCATTAAAAATCAAAAAAGTTACAGACCAGTATCTATTACAAAGACAACCAAATAAAAAACACAAACTTCTCAATATATTAGCAAACTGAATCTAGTTAATATATATATATTATGTACAGAATAATAAGTATGACCAAAGTGGTCTAACCCTGAAGTATGATTGTTCAACAAACACTGAAAGTCATAATGAAAGAATGAAAAAGAAAACCATGCTGTCATTTCAAGATGTAGAAAAATCATTTGACAAAAATGGGTAACTCCTTCAAATTGATAAAAAAAAAAAAAAAAAAACAATTACAAAACTTTACAGCAAGTTCATACTTGATGGTACTTAACTGAACATTTTCCCCCTAAGACCTGGAATAAAGTAAGATGTCTTCTCTTGTTCATTGCAAGAAAAATAAATACAGTGCAGAAATAATAAAGAGAAGATGTAAAGCTCTATCAATAGGTTAGATGACTATTGATGCCTTAGAATTTTCTATTTAAACCAATTCCTAGAATCAATAAGTGAAATAGGAAACTTCAGAAGACATAAAAGTTTCAAAATATAAGCTCAAGTTTCAATATATAAAAATGAATTGTACATGTTAGCAGCCAATTTTCAGAATAATTTTAATTGTATTTGTAATAGCATCTAAATGGGAATAAAGTTAACAAGATACATACAAAACTTCTCTGCTAGAAACAACACAATCTTGGTGAGAGAAATTAAAGTCTTAAATAAATGAAGATATCACATTCATAGATGGAAATTCTCAATATAGTTAACATATCAATTTTATACAACCTAAATCATATCACAAAAGGTTTTTTTAAACAGAAACTGACTGGTTGATTATCAATTTTAAGTGAAAATGCAAATGACTTGGAATAGCCAAAACAAATTTTGAAAAGAAAGAACAAAGGTGGAATACTTAAACTACCTGATTTTAAACTTACTTTAGAGCTAAAGTAATCAAGACCACATCATATAGGCATAAAGGCAAGCTGATCAATAGAAAGCAACTAAAGAGCCCAGAAAATGACCCAAATTTTATGATACCATTTTCACAAAGATATAAAGCTATTTGGAGTAAAATTAAAATCGCTTTAATGATGCAATTGTAACAATAGATATCCATATGGAAAACAAAAATAAAAATAGTGACGCCTGGGTGGCTCAGTCAGTTAAGTGTCCACCTCTTGATTTTGGCTCAGGTCATGACCTCACGGTCCATGGGATGGAGCTCTGTGTCAGGCTCTGTGCTGTCAGCACAGAGCCTGCTTGGCATTCTCTCCCTTCTCCCACCCTTCCTCTGCTCATGATCTCTCCCCTCTCAAAATAAATAAATAAACTTCAAAAAAAGTAGTAACAAAATAAATTAAAAAATAATAAAGCTTGACCTCCGTACCTTACACTATTTTTTTAAGAAGATAATTCAAGATGCACCATAGCTTTAAATGTAAAAGATATTACTGTGAAGTTTCTACAACAGTATAATAGAGAGTATTTTCATGGCATGGAAGTAGACAAAGACCTCTTGGACAGTACACAAAAAACACTAATATCAAAAATACTGATAAATCATCTAAGAACTTTTCCTCTTTGAAATATGCCATTTAAAATATGAAAAGACAGGTCAGAGAATAAGTGAAATATTACCATGCATATATCCCACAAAAGGATTTGTATCCAAATTTCTGAAACTTCCTACAACTAATTGATAACGACAAACAACCCAATTTAAAAACAGTTCAACAGTGTGAAGAGACAATTCACAAAGTAAGATATATTGCCAATAAGCACATGAAAAGGGGATTATCACATCATCTGTTATCAGAAAAATGCCAACTAAAGCCATAATGAAATACTACTACACTTTCCCTGAAATATTTAAAGTTAAAAAGACAGATAAGAACAAATTATCCTACACAGGACAACTAGAGCAACAAGCAGCAAACTCTGCTCATGGAGTATAAAATGTTGTGGCTGCTTTGGAAAATTGTTTGGCAGTATCTTTTACATTTAAACAGAGAGCTATTGCATAACTCAGCAGTAATGCTCTATACATTTACTAATGAGAAATAAGAAAAAATGTCTATAAAAAGTCTTATAATGTTCAGAATACTTTTACTTATATTAACCCAAATGCCCATCTAAAGGGAAATGGATAAATAAAAGTGTGGTATAATATAGAATAATTCCAAATATTTGAGTACTACTTAGCAATAAAAAATAATGAATTATAGATACATTCAAAACATAGATGAAGCTCACAAAAATGCTGAGCAAAAGAAACCAGTCACCAAGAAGTTCATGTTGCATGATTTAATTTATATGATGTTCTAGTTCAGAGAAAACTAATCTATAATGGAAAATAATCAGAAGAGTTAATTAGCCTCTGGGAGGTAGGGGTTGACTGGGAAAAGGCATAAAAGAACGTTGTTCAATGACTGAAATGAACTATATATTGATAAAGGTGTGATTACACAAATGTATGCATTTGTTAAAACATCAGACGTCGAATTTATTCATTTCGCAACACGTATACATTACCTTGTAACAGAAACATAAACATACTGAAGTCTAATAATATTTTGCTTTTTACAAAGGTAAGGTTAGCAATTCTTAAATTACTTTCTGTGTGTTTTAGGATTAAATATATGAGTAAATGTATTGAGGGAAATGGGAGCCAGGTTTCTCACTGCTGGAGGAGTTGACAATATGGAAATGCAGATCTGAATGAACCCCAAAGACACAGGACTACAATGAAAGATGTCAATATGAATGCACTGTTCACACTGAGAGAGAGAAGAAGGCAGATGTGTGTATATTCCAGTGTGTGGACACAGGCAAGGGTGAACATCGGCTAGTAGGAACCTGAGCTAGTGTACTTCCTAGCTCTGTACTTCACAAGAATCAAATAACAAGTCTGGAGCACAGATCTTTGTTTCTAAATAACATTCTCCACTAAAAGAAATTAGGAATCCTTGGAGAAATGACTGATTGCAGAGTCTGGAAAGAAGGAGAATGAGTCTAGAATATTTTGTTGTGCAGGAAAGTAAAAACGTGCTCAAAGGATAGCAGCAGGTTAAAAGGACGTAGGGGCCAACTGAAAGGCTTCCCAGTGGTCAAATCTGGGACTCCAGCATCAAATAACTGATGACAGTAATGTCTTTATAGTCCATTGAGTAAGAATACTACTAAGTGCAGTGCATGATCCTGGACTGGATTCTGATACAGGAAAAATAAATAGCTATAGACAATGAGACAACTATTGGAATTTGAATACAATCTGTGAATTAGATGGTAATATTTTATCAATGACAAATTCCTTAATTTTAATCACTATATTGTCGTTTATAAGACAGTGATCTTGTTTTAGGAAATGTATGCCAAAGTATACAGGGATAAAAGTGCATGACTCCAAAGTACTCTCAAGTGGTTCAGAAAAAAATATATGCATCTATAAGAATATGTAGAGACTACTAAAACAAATAGAAAACACTGCAAAACAATTGCAGAATCTGATTAAAAGGTATACAGGAGTTCTTCGTACTATTCTTGCAACTGTTTTTGTGTTTAAGTTTGAATTATATTTTAAAAAGTAACAAAAAATACATATAGTACAATTAGAGTGCCTATTCCCCAGGACTTAGAGTCCAAGGCTCAGCCACAAGCACATAAGAGACCGTGTTTATTAAAGGTAAGATGTACACCCTTTTTTTTTTTTCCCAAAGAAGAAATATAAAAATTAAAATGAAAAGCATCTCTTTAGCTTAAGATTTCCATTTCTTCCATTTATTATCAGATTCCTTCTCCAATGTAAGAAACACCCCTTGTCCCCAGGCCTCAGGGATCACTCCCTTAAACTCCTATTGAACTAGCCTATAGCTTTTATGTGGCCCCAATCACAAGTCATTTTGAACGGTTTTGTTTATATGCATATCCTACTTGCCTAACTAGGCCACGAGCCCTGTGAAAGCAAGAACCACTTAAACGATTTGGTATTTTCAGAGCTTAATCAGTGTCCTAAGCATACTATAAAATGCTTAATCATTAGTCACTGATAGGACTTCTTAGCTCCTGATTGCACAGAAATCTATGGAACGATTTTGACTAAAAATGCTACCTGAAGTTTTCTTCCTGTAATTGCTCTAGTTGTAACTGTGCATGAAAATACTTTTTTGCAACCACTGTATTTGGATCATCAAAAGAGCCATCCAACTGGTCAAGTTTTTCATTCATCATCTCATTCTCAGAAACTAATGAATTCTTTTCATCTTGAAGTGCAGTCACCTAAAAAACAAATATGTAAATATAAGCATCAATAGCAAAAAAAAGCTTAGAGTCCAGAGTCCCACATTATTATTATGACGGAGTCATTAAATTTGCTTGGTCAATCAGACAACATAATTCCTAAGTATCCTTCCAAATCTGGAATTTTGGGTCTAGGAGGTTTGAGTTAAACAAAAGAAATCAAAATAATTTAATACAGAAAAAAATCAAGTTAATATTTTCAACCAAGGAGAATATTTTTAAAATGTTGTGCTCATCCTAGTTTTGGTAAGAAAATGTTCCTAAGTCTTTAAAATCTGATATACTGATAAGCTTTGAAAAATGGATTTGCTCCTCTTTTAGTTACAAATTTACTATTAGGATGCTGTTACCTAGTAAGCTAAAATACACACACATATGCACAAAGTTATTTTAGGTTCATAGCAGATAATTATCTGTTACATATCAAGTCTACAGAGACAAGCACACTGCTTGGTTAATGAATCAACAACAAAAAGCTGAACTGAATCCATCTGCACATTGAGACTGTTTGCGTATAATTTAAAATGACTAAAAATATGTAATTTTAGAATCACATCAGTATCAGTATCTGATACATTTTTACTTTACTTACATATTAACGCAACAAGCATGGTTTGCTCCTTCAGTTCTTTTTCTTTTCCATTTAAAAACATCTTTACAAGCCTTTTTAAAAGGCTGTAACCTTTTAGAAGATCAAAAGTTTACAAGTGATTTTGTTAAGATTCGCTTGAAAAAAAGTCGACCTATTCTGATTTTCAACATATGACTACATAGGTTTGTGATTATTTTGTCAATAGATGTAACTAACTCAACTGGGTCAAGTGAATCAGACTATATATTGACACAGTGAACTAGTAATAGGAAATTAAAAGCAAGTGAGTGCCTTAGACACAGTACAGGCAAGTTACAGATACTGTCCTCCAAACAAGCAACACAAAGGCTCAGAAAACTCTTCCCGGGCAGACTACAGGAGAAAGCCATTTCTCTCCCTAAATTTAATGTATGCCTCTATTCTTGTCATGCAAGCAGCTTAGTGACTATTACCTGTCATGTACAATCCTAAATGACTGAGATATGAAAAAGAATGAGAATCTGTACCCTTAGGATCCTTATGGTAAAAATGTAAATAATTACACAACAGAAAATGTCCAAGGTGCTCTGACGGAAGCATACCATAGGGTAGGAGTTGGGACACAAAGAAAACAAAATCTCATTCTAGCTGGAGGGAAGAGGCTGTCACAAAAAGACTCGCAAAAGAGAAACAACACTCCCAGTCTTCCAACCTGTGTCAGAACCACATAAATACATTGAGGTGTAAGGGAAGATCAGTTTTCAACACCTGGTGGGTAACCAACCTGGTTCCTATCCATGTTTTGCAGTGAGACTCGAGAGCTACCTTTAACCACAGACCTAGAGGAGTGGGTAGTAAACATGCAAATTCCTTGCACACTATCCCTCTCCCCCCCTCATCTAATGACACAAGAGGTCCAGCAGAGGTTCTAGACATCTCCTTTAATATCCATAGTGATATTCTCTTTCGGTTCATTATGTACCTGCGTCTGTCCTCTCTGGGTTTTTTTCTTCTCCATTTCTTTTATCTCTCTCTTTGTTGTCTCTGAGTTATTTAAAAATGAGACAGAAAAATTCAAAAAGCTAAAAAAAAAAAAAAACAAAGGACTCCTTTTCTCACATTACCCAGCTTTAATGTAACACTTGTGTCCTAAATGCTTATCTAAAAAAAATATATGGAGTGCCTGGATGGCTCAGTTGGTTCAATATCCAACTCTTGATCTCAGCCGAGGTCTCGATCTCAGAGTCACGAGTTTAAGCCCCACATTGAGCTCTGCACTTGGCACGAAGCCCACTTAAATAAATACAAACTTCATCACATTAAAGTTTGAAAATACTGGGGCGCCTGGGTGGCTTAGTCGGTTAAGCGTCCGACTTTCGCTTGGGTCATGATCTCGCGGTTCGTGGGTTCGAGCCCCGCGTCGGGCTCTGTGCTGACTGCCAGCTCAGAGCCTGGAGCCTGTTTCAGTCTGTGACTCCCTCTCTCTCTGACCCTCCCCTGCTCACGCTGTCTCTCTCTCTCTCCTAGAAATAAAAAATAAATAAATAAATAAAAAGTTTGAAAATACTGCCTCAGATATAAACTTATCTTGTACAATGGTGGACAGGGGCATGTCTTCGCTAACACGCCACCGGCAAGAGTGACCGCTGCTATGGCCCTCCTCCTGCAACAGCGAAGGACTGTTTCCGACTGAGGCCGGTGGCACGAATAGTGGCTGGGAAAGGCAGGGTCAGAGCACCTGGCAAATGCATCACAACTGGCCTGAAGGTCCCGTGTTATCCTGATTGGAACAGAGTTTCTCAAAACTTCCTATCAAAATACCATGTGGAGATTTTTCTTTCTTTTTTTAAAGTACACAGAATTGCGCCGGCCTCCTGACTTAGTGAATCAGAATTTATAACCATAATCTGCACAGAACCAAAACAGTTCTATATGTAAAAGGACTCAAGCTTCACCAGATCCTTCACTCTTGCCGTCTTTATTTTGCTGAAAACAGGTTTGCCAGCTAGACTGAGTCAACAAGGAGTCTTTTCAAGAACGGCTCAGGAGTCTGCATCCAAGCCTTTTCCCTGGCTTCCCGGCCTAAGCACACGGTAGATGTTGTACTTCCATGTCGTGCCACTGAAGCTGTAGGGGGGCCTGCGTGTCTTGTCTTTCCGGGCGGTTTGCCTTTGCTATCTGAACAACCAAGGACTAGTTTTTCTCTTATTCATGAAGTTCAATAGCTTACCTAGGATAAGCTTACTGTTTAACAATATTCAGTGATTTGTTTTTCTATATCTGGAATTTTTTTTTTAACCTCACTTTGTTGTCTTACAACCCAATCTATTTTACTGGTATGTTCTTATGAAGCGGTTACACAAGAGGAAGCAAACGTTATTTTTCTAAGCTTGGCTAAAGTCTTTTACATGCTCTTTAATCTGCAATGTTTGCACAGATGTCAGGCTTCTATTCATTTCATCTAACCCATGCTTTGTTGGCAGTCAGGACACCCTAGGTTTTCCGGAGTGGGTTGAAGACTTCTCGACACCCTGTCCACTGCAGTGAAGACCCAGTATGTTTTCCTTTCTCAGTTATGGTTGAGGTGGTTTTCCCTCCACACCACTCTAGGGCTTGTGAATGGTCAGGGAAGGGGCTGGCGAGCCGAGGCAGTGTGCAGTCTTTACAACACCTGGGCTACGCTCTCACTTCCGAGGTTTAACTACCTCATATCAGAGTGGTGAGAAGTGGATCCCATTCCCAGGGAGGGACTCCATTAGGTATCAGACCATCCCCCCGATGCAGTGTGTACAGCCTCTGTTTCTATCAGAAGGAGTTATGCCCTCAGTGTCTTCGCCGCTCCTCCTCAGTCCAGTGAAAGAAAACAAAATAATCAAAGGGTGACTTTTCCTTCGGATTGGGTAGACTGCAGGTAGAAGCATCAGGACGTCTGAGGCCCCCCTGCATGGGCCAGGGGTGAGGAAGGAAGAGCAGATACCTGCTATGCTGTACTTCTGTCAACATCACACACCTGCTTCCTTCCTTGACTATCGGCTTTTTAACTTCCATTAAGTTATGTCCTTTTTCTTGTTTACCTGTCCTTTGTGAATTTCTTTGCAGCTTATTTTACTTTTTTTTGTTACATTTGGTCACGTATTAAAAACAATGCTCCTCTGTCCCAATTTAAAAATGACTCTCAAGGAACATATGATTAAAAGTAAAGATTTCTCAAAAACAAATTCCCTTATGGGGCACCTGGGTGGTTCAATCAGTTAAGTGTCTGATTGGTTCAGGTCATGATCTCATGGTTCATGGGTTCGAGCCCCACAATGAACTCTGTACTGACAGCTCAGAGGCTGGAGCCTGCTTCAGATTCTGTGTCTCAGTCTCTCTGCCCCTCCTCTGCTTGTGTTCTCATTCTCTCTCTCTCTCTCTAAAATGAATATACATTTTTAAAATTTAAAAAAAAACAAGGTCCCTTATAAAATTGGGATATATGTCATGTATACTTATGTGGATTCCATGTTGTTAATAAGTTACTTTTTATTCTAATTATATAAGCACTCATTTCATGTGTGCAGATAATCTGAGGGTTTTAATACTGGAATCAAAATGCTAAAACTTGAGTTTCTGTACTTTTCTGCTAAAATCAGGTGATCACATGACCTTCACTGTGTATAACAAGTACATCTTCTAACATAGAATTTTGTGTTCTTTATTAAATAAGAATTTCTAGAAAACTGTACAGAGATCCTATATAACACTGGTAATGCTGGAATGATTCAATCCTCTGTTCTTTATAGGATGTATTCTGGAAGGTGAGTAAGATCCTATTTGGTAATAATACATCTCAGATGCTCTGTGTATGTGTGCACATGTGTTATAATGTGTGACATGAGTGTGATCAAGAAACATGAAGGAAGAACAGACAGAAATTCCCCTAATTCTGAGACACTGGCTTTGTTCAAATATAAACATTAGCTGTGTTCAAACACATAGGGAGGGACTGATGTTTTAAAGATGAAGTTACAGGACCAGAATTGCAATGCTGTCACTGCCCTAAGCAGCTGAGTCAGCTTGACCGAGTTGCTTCTCTTTTCTTTATGTGCAAGCCCTTATGGGTTAGAAATATTGCCCAGTCCTGTCAGTCTAGATCTTTATCTCATCAAGCCATGATGATGCTCTCACAACCCTTGTTCCTTGTTTTCATACTTTTCAGGGAGTAAATTATTTATGTAACTCACTATTTGAACAAAAACATGCAATTTACATATAGCGTATTATGACAGCACATTTACCCTTTTGCATAATTTTTCAAGACTTACTGCATAACTGGTGCATTTACACTTTCATATAATAATAACATTCACACAAATACACCTAGGGCTTACATGTGTCAGGTACTGCTCTAAGTGCTTAATGCATGGTAACTCAATCTTCATAGTCACTCTGGGAGATATACACTATCATCACTACGTTTCTCAAAAGAGAAAGCCAAACTATAAAGAAATTAAGTCATTAGCTTGAGAGGATACAACCAGGTAGGTTCTGAATACAGGTGAGTTAATCTACCTTATTAACCATTAACTCTTGTCTCTCGTGTCGAGTTTACTTTGCTAGCATGTACACACATATGAATGTAAGAATTATACACACATATATTTAGATACATGTACATGTTAGCAAAACAAACTTGGTACTTGCATTTAACTGGGAGGGGGAGAGAAGCATTTCTAAATACTTCCATAAATGACTTCACTTAAATATTCGTTCGTTTAGTAGATATTTTAGTTTCTCCGTTTTACAAAAGAAACTAAGGGCTCATCTAAATACTTGAAATTCCACAATTAAAATGATTTTCTCAAAGAAGTAGTTTGCAATTTTCAACTCTAAGAGAAACGTAATTAGGAAATTCATGCTTGAATACTCAAGCCTATGACAAATATTTTAAATTTTCCCTCCATGGAGTGGAACCCAACCTCCAAAACACTTTGCCAATGAATTATTTAAAATAAAACCTTTGTAAACTTAGCAAGGAAATTTTCCTCATATTGGTTTCTCTTCCGCACCTGCAAATCCAGTTCTTGGCACCTTTGCCTCAGTTCTTCTTTTTCTGCCAGTGCTTCCTGAAGTTCTTCCAAGGCCCTTTTAAGCTGAAACAGAAAATGTTCTAATTCTTAGAAAGCTGTGTTGTGACACGAATTAAAAAACAGATGTATGGACATAAATACATGGATATTAAAATGGTTATTAAAATTTATTAACAAGTCTACTCTCTCTAAGTCTCCATTTGAAACTTACTGTTCAAATGAGACAACACAGGAAAAACACTCAGCAGTGTCTCTGGGACACAGTGGGCACTCAAAAATAAGTGACTCCTAGTCAGAGTGAGGGGGAAGACTGTACTGTGGTGACCTGACACAAATGGATAGTCATGTGAGATAGCTGTTTGGTCCTGGGAGAAGGTACTGATTAGTATAAAACACTGCTGAAGACCTAACTGCAGATGGAAACCATGCATCCGTAGTGACTTCAATTCAAATAAATGGCTGTGCTTTTCTCTAACATAGCTCAGCTGCATGGATGCAGCAGTGAAGAAGGCACTCATTATTGTTCTGGTCTGCATCTCCCTGATGATCAGTGATGCTGAGCATCCTTTCATGTGTCTGTTGGCCATCGGCAAGTCCTCTTTAGAAAAATATCTACTCATGTCTTCTGCTCACTTTTAAATTGGATTATTTGTTTTTTGGGTATTAAGTTTTATAATTATAGAGAACTCACTGATGGTCATCAGAGAGGAGGTGGGTGGGGGGGTGGGGGAAATAGGAGATGGGGGCTAAGGAGGGCACTCGTGATGGGCACCAGGTGATGTATGGAAGTGCTGAATCACTAAGTTGTATACCCGAAACCAATATTACACTGTATGTCAACTAACTGGAATTTAAATAAAAACATTAAAAAATTTTATCTATTAATGAGTAAATCTCAATTTGTTGTTTTTGTATGAATATTTACATAGTCTCATTAATATTTAAAGCAAAAGTTCCACAGAAATAAAATTTTAGGTAAATCTTTAAGAAAAAAAATTTGTTTTTCACTTCAATGTGCATTTTTTAAAAAAATCTGAAGTTCTATTAACATAGAATGCCATATTAGTGAGACAGGTCATACAGGGATTCAACACCAAAACGATGGTCAGCTGCCCTGAAGTGGTGGCACGGCCTTAACTGTGCTGTGTGCTGGGGGGGGGGGTGCTCTTTATCCTTGTCATAGGGAGTGTTAACCTTCTCCCCTGGGCACACAGCACTCATTATGAGATGTTCAAACAGCAGAGTATTAGAGGATGTTGTTTAATTTCACTACACAAGACTTTGAAGAAACACAGTGTTTAAATTCAAATAAAAATCTCACAGGAAAGTTTTAGTTTGAAATACCTGGTGAGATGCCTGGTGACACTCATGAAAAATAGGTGTTCCAAGGTAAAGCAGGAAAAGTGCTAGATGCAACGGCCTCTCCTTGAGCCCCTCCCTACAGCCCAGGACAGTGTCCTCCCCCATGTGAAACGGTATGCAGTAGAACCGGGGAAAGGAGCCTTGAACACAGCGCATGGAGCGGCTTCTTCACAATCAGGAGAGAGGACAGCAACATGACGGAAATGACCTTACTAGATAAATTACAGCTTAGCAGAATTTTTTACACTGTCTGCTATTTAACTGTGCAACCATCTAGAATGAGCCACATACATATTAGAAGGTTCAGAAGGAAAGTTCAATGTCACTCATCTCTTTGAACACGATCATAAAAACTTCTGGAGACCAACACTACTTGCATTCATGAAGGAATTCATAATACTATTCAGTTGAGATATTACAGAATAAACAAGCTACGTTTCATGGAGGCAAGTATTCTTCTATATGTTCTCCTATGTATGCATTACGACAGTAATTGCCTAAGGAAGTGCAGGACTCTTTTCAATACTCTCCCCACACACTAGGATACTTACCTGTTGCTCTAACTCTCCGACAGCATCATTTGTGGGACAGCTCAATATTTCTTTGCTCATCAACTAGGGAATTAAAGTAGCAACGTTAAGTACAATAAAGAGACATTATGAAATAAAAATAGGTTTACTTGAAAGGGCAGTAAATGCTTTATATTTAGTTTTCCCTTGCCATAATTTGATGATCCTGAGAATATTTAAATAAAAACTTTATTAGAGGCTTAAGCTAAATAACACAACATTCAACTATTACATCAGTGGGGACATAAGAAGTAAAGTGTACTTGAAATACACAGATATATTTAAAATCCTTGTATACTGTGGGGCACCTTGGTGGCTCAGTCGGTTAAGCGTCCAACTTCAGCTCAGGTCATGATCTCACGGTCTGTGAGTTTGAGCCCCGTGTCGGGCTCTGTGCTGATGACTCAGAACCTGGAGCCTGCTTCAGATACTGTGTCTCCCTCTCCCTCTCCCCCTTCCCCACTGTGTTCTCTCTCTCTCTCAAAAATAAATAAAAATTTTTAAAAATAAAATACCTGTATACTGAAAAACTACAATCCAAGTTCTTTACTAAAAACATTTTATAGTGTTTATTTTATTTTTGAGACAGAGAGACACAGAGCTTGAGTGGGGAGGGGCAGAGAGAGAGGGAATCACAGAATCAGAAGCAGGCTCCAGGCTCCGAGCCAACAGCACAGAGCCTGAAATGGGGCTCGAACCCACGGACCGCGAGATCATGACCTGAGCTAAAGTTGGCCACCCAACCAACTGAGCCACCCAGGCGCCCCTACAATCCAAGTTCTAAAAGATGAACTACTGAATAACACTGAACACATCAAATAATAATAAACAAAGAGATTCTCCCATAAAATAAACACTTTTAAAACACAGCCTGTAAATGAGTGATACGGCAAAATTCTTAGAGAAGTCATTTTAAATGTAGGAGTTACAAGTATATGAAAAAAAGATTCTATGAAAGTAATATGAAAGGCAAACTTAGGTACTGTGATGCTTTTTTTCTTTTTGTTTTTGTCTTTAATTTAATGTCTATTCAATTTTTGAGAAAGAGAGAGAGAGCACCCAAGTAGGAGAAAGGCAGAGAGAGAGGGAGACACAGAATCTGAAACAGGCTCCAGGCTCTGAGCTGTCAGCACTGAGCCCAATGTGAGGCTCAAACCCACAAATTGTGAGATCATGATCGGACCTGAACTCAGACACTTAACCAACTGAGCCACCCAGGCACCCCTGTGCTGTGATGCTTTAAATTCAAGTCAACAATGCAAACTCAGAGCACACAAACTGCTAACCTCCTGCAAGATGCCTCCTTCCAAATCATGCCCTTGCCAAACTGTTTGTAGTCACTAATCCTCACTCATATAATCCCCTTGGACATAATCTGCACTGCACTTCATCCTGGCCTTTCAGTCTGATGTTAAGATTCAACACGTACCATGTGAATTCTGAATCTCTCTGGTTCAACCTATACAACTAGATTGGCTTGAACCCAGGCTACCTGGCTCCCAAACCTATCACCATATTTGCTCACAGTTTCTCCATTCTGAAAATGAAAGTAAGATATATTTACAATACATTTCAATTCTTTAAAATCTCAAGAAAGAGTGCTCTAATTGGCAGGAAAAAAAAAGAAAAGAAAAAATAAGAATTCCTATCTGGTCAGAGGTTGTTATTCTGCTTAGGTGAAATTATTTAAGGAAATCTGACAGAGGCACTTAGGTAGCTGAGTCGGTTAAGCATCCAACTTCGGCTCAAGGTCATTATCTTGTGGTCTGTGAGTTTGAGCCCCATGTTGGGCTCTGTGCTGACAACAGCTCAGAACCTGGGAGCCTGCTTCGGATTTTGTGTCTCTGCCTCTCCCCTGCTTGTGCTCTCTCTTGCTCTCAAAAATAAATAAACATTAAAAAATAAGGGAACCTGACAATATTAATTTCTCTTTTAAAATACAGAAGTACTAAAATTGGGCTTGAAGTCCTTTTAAGATATTTGGGGGAGGAGCGCCTGGGTGGCTTAGTCGGTTAAGCGTCCGACTTTGGCTTAGGTCATGATCTCGTGGTTCGTGGGTTCGGGCCCCGCGTCGGGCTCTGTGCTGACTGCCAGCTCAGAGCCTGGAGCCTGTTTCAGTCTGTGAGCCCCTCTCTTTCTGACCCTCCCCTGCTCATGCTGTCTCTCTCTCTCTCTCCTAGAATAAAACATTTAAAAAAAAAAATGGGGGGGAAAGAAAAGAAGGGAAGGCACACTAATTTAAGGTAAGTGAATCCGCAACAAAGGGCAAGTTTATACAAGTAGAAAAATATACATCCATAAGATGTATGTGATCATTTTTGTGCCAATTGGTTTAGGATTTTCATACATATGCAAACATGAAAAACACTTACCTCCTGAATAGCAGTCATGACCACATGTTGAACAGACTCTTCCAGTGTCATTATATTTTGAATATGTTCTGTGATTTAAAAAAAAATATGATAAAAAAAATCTACTCTTTCCCATGTTACTTTAGCCATTCAATTAACAGCATAAAATATCATTTGCTACACATACTTCTTTATGCAAGTATATTGTTCCACAAGAAATATGTTCAATAAAATTATATAAGCAGAATTAAATACCCAAATTTTAAATGTTTTATTATTCCTAAAGAAGAAAACCTCCAGTTTTCTTGTAAGAAGAGAAAGAGAAGAAATTATGATTAATCTTAAAACAATTATGACAATTTATTTCCTCTTCTTAGATATTCAGTTTATGGAATGAATTCCCACATACTAAATGTGTGTTAAATCTTCAGCTCAGAGAGTTAAATCTTACCACCTACGAAGTTCATTTCAAGAAGGATTTCAAAGAAGGGACTTATACAGCCCCCTGTAAACACGTACTCAACGTTCAGCAAGTCTCATCTCAAGAAGATCCTTATGCCTTACCACAAACACACATGCAGTAAGTTGATTCTGTCCCAAAATGAAATGAGGAACCATAAGAAAGAAAAAGTGTTTCATATACTTGCATACTCCACTTTGACTGTATATTCTCCAGCTAAAACAATATCCATATTATTCCAAATTTCCAAAAAAAACTTACTATTTTCAAATATTTTTATTGTTTAAATGATTGTTTGGAAAACTCCTGAAAGCTCTCTAAAACTTTCTTTTATTTATGAAGCCAAAAACTGGACAAAGATTGTGATAGATTATGGTATGCACCTGACCACTAGGTGGGAGTGGGAGGGAAGGGGAAGAGTTAATGAGAAAAAGCACAGTCAATGCAAGGATTTCCTTTAACTGGATTTTATGGATAAAGGAGAGTTTCAAGTCTGCTGAAACCTTCAAAAAAAATTTCTCTTTTCCCACCAAGATAAATAGGGTACTATTAGCCAAACAAGTTTATTCTTTCAAGAGTGAGACTACTGCAATACCTTGAAATCATTCTGAAATAAATTCTCACTGCAAAGTATAAAGGTGTGGAAGCTGTTTTATATCCTGGATGTACTATAAGTTTAATTAAATTACTTTCATTTTTCTTTCATTTATTTGCTTACTCCTAAAAACTGAGAGCCCACATATCTCCAAAATTAAATCCAATTAGGTAACACTGATGTGTTTAACAAGACAGTAAAACTATTTCTTTAAATTTACTACTTGCTAAACTTTTATTTATGGATACAGAAATTGCATTTCCTTTTAAAATTCTGGGGACAAAAATGCTATTAATGCTTGGAACTAAATTATGAAAATACTATTAAAATTCATGGAAGGTAACAAAATCACAACAAGGGAAAATTACACTTGAAAGTGTCAATTATAACTTAGAACAGGAAGAAGTGATTAATTCACCAAAAAAAAAATGAAATGAGATAAAAGAATAGATACTAAATAGGAAAGACAAAATACAGTCAGAGCCAAAGGTTGGTTTTTTGAAAAAGACTATTGAAACTGACAAACGTGGAAAAGACGGGAGAGTGAGAGGATGCTGAACTTGTCCCACAGACACACCAAGGCAACAGCTACAGCTACACAAAACCAGCTCTGAAAATGGCCTGAAGACTGGTGGAACAGACCTTCCAGAGCTCGTCTCACAGAGAAGGCCATGTAGAAAGGGTAGGAGGGGTAGAGACCTGGTTGGGAACCAAATCTCCAGTGGGACCAATCACACACAGGAAGGGCAACACAAGGATGGAGAAGGAGCTCAGACCCCACACTGGGCATCCCTGGGTCTGATGAGTCCCTATAACATCTGACTGAACACTGGGGGCTATAAAAATCAGCAACTCCAAGAGTTTCCTACTGATGGCAACAGGAAACAGAGCACCCCCCATCTTAAAGAGCCAGCACACTAAATAACTCAGCTCTAGACACAGCACAGATGCAGCAGTGTGCAAAGCACCTGGGGTATACATGGAGATTTAGTAACTAATTTCGGAATGTGTGCATGAAGGGCAGGATCTGCAGATTCCTCCCAGGGAAAAAAGTGCTGGCTAGTGCCATTTTTCTCCCTTCTCCCCTAAGGAGATGCTTCTGGGAGCCCGTTCTAACACTCTCCTTCTAGCTCGCTAATGCCACGTTCTGCCCCATGCTACCCTGCAGACACGCCCAACCTGTCCGCCTTGGTAGGCAACCCTGCAAATTAGCTCCTGCCCTGCCACACCTGACAGGTAGCCCTGGCCAGGCCTGTGCCACTCCACAGTACTCCAACTCTGGGGAGGCAGGTAAATAATCCCAAACATGAGCACAACTGCAGTTCCTGCAGTGAGGCCTCTTAGTTGGCTTCACAGGGAGCAAACCCTGCCCTTTAGTTAGACTTACAGCTGTGGCACAGAGACTCACTGCAGGTGGCTAGGCTGACTGTCAGCCTATCCACCTACTAGCCCATGGAAGCCTCAGCTTGGCTTCTCAATAGCACTGGGAGCAAATCCTGACCAGTGCATCCACAGCAGGCAAAGCAGGTGACTGCAGCAAGCTGAGCTGAAGGTAATCATGGCCCAGCCACAACTGTAGGGCATAGGCAGCCCATACAGGGGATACTCCTGGAGCACCTAGTTCTGATGACCAGGAGGGATTGTGCTGTAAGATACTACAAGACCTTTTCCATGCCAGACCACTATTTTCAAGACCAGAAGAAGTAGCTGACAGACCTAATCTATACAGAAACAAACACAGAGAGTTAGACAAAATGAGGAGACAGAGGAATATGTCCTAAATGAAAGAACAAGACAAAATCATCGTTAAAGAGCTAAATGAAACAGAGATAAGCAATATGCCTAATAAAGAATTCAAACTAACAATCATAAAGACATTCACTGGACTTGAGAGGAGTAGATCAACTCTGTGAAAACTTCAAGAGATGGAAAATATAAAAAAGAATCAGTCAGGGCTGAAAAATTCAATAACTGAAATAAAAAATGCACTAGAGGGAATCAATAGCAGATGAGAGGATGCAAAAGAACAAATCAGTGATCTGGAAAGACAAAGTGGAAGCAAGCACCCAAGCTGAACATCAAAAACAAAAAATAAGAAAAAAAAAAAAAAAAGGTTAAGGGACCTCTACAACATCACCAAGCATAGCATTCATATTATTGGGGGTTCCCACAAGGAGAAGACAGAGAGAAAGGAGGCAGAAAATTATTTGAAGAAATAACAGCTGGAAACTTTCCTAATTTGCAAAGCAAAGAGATCCTCCAAAACGAATACGTGGAGGATTATACCATCATAAATATAATTAAAATGACATAATGATAGAGAATTTTAAAAGCAGGAGAAAATAAAAATGTTATGTATAAGGGCAATTTCATAAGGCTATCAGCTGATTTTTCAGCAGAAACTTTGCAGAATAGAAGGAAGTAGCATGATATATTCAAAGCACTGAAAGGAAAAAAACTTACAACCAAGAATACTCTACCCAGCAAGGTTTAATGCTGAGAAGTGAAGGAGAGATAAACAGTCTCCCAGACAAACAAAAGTTAAACAAGTTCATCCATCATTAACCCAGCCTTATAAGAAATTTTAAAGGGAATTCTTTAAGGGGGAAACAAAAGACATAACCAGGTGCAAGAATATTATGAAGGGAAAGCATTTAACAGGTAAAAGCAAACATATTTTAAGGGCAGTAAATTAATCACCTATAAAGCCAGTATGGAGATTAAAACACAAAAGCAGTAAAACGATCTATATCTACAAAAATTAGCCAAAAGATACAAAAAATAAAAAGATGTAAAATACATTATATACATAAAACATGGAGAAGGAAGTAAATATTTAGTGCTTTCAGAATGTGTTCAAACTTAAGTGACTTAATATAAATATCAACATAATATAAATTGCCCAAAGCACAGGATGTTATATATCAACCCAGTGGCAACCACAAATCAAAAACCTATAACTGATACACAAAACACAGAGAGAAAGGAATCCAAGCATAACTCTAAAGAAAGCCATCAAACCAACAAGAGAAGAGAGCAAGAGAAGAAAGGAATAAAGAACAACTACAAAAACGGTAAGAAAACAACAAAATGGTAATAAATATATACTTATCAATAATTAAATATAAATGGACTAAATGCTCCCATCAAAAGACAACGAGTGACTAATATAATGGATACGAAAACAAGACCCATGTAGAGGTGCCTGGGTGGCTCAGTTTTTTGGGCATTCAGCTGTGGCTCGGGTCATGATCTTGCAGTTTGTGGGTTCGAAACCCACATCAGGCTCTGTGCTGATAGCTCAGAGCCTGGAGCTTGCTTCAGATTCTCTGCCTCCCTCTCTTTCTGTCCCTGTCCCATATGCATTTTCTCCTTCTCTCTAAAAAAAACCAAACATTAAAAAAAGAAAAAAAGGAAAACAAGACCTGTCTACATGCTAAATCTATACAAGCCTACAAGACACTCACTTCAGACCTACAGACACAAATAGACTGAAAGTGAAGAGATGGAAAACAATATTCTATGAAAATGGAAGAAGAAAAAAAAGCCTGGATAGCAACACCTAGATAAAGTAGACTTTAAAACAAAGACTGCAGCAAGAGACAAAGAAGGGCACTGCATAATAATAAAGGGATCATTTCAACAAGAGGATATAATCACTGTAAATATCTATGCACCTAACATTGAAACCCCTCAATACATAAAGCAAATATATTAACAATCATAAAGGGAAAAACTGACAGAAATATAATAATAGTAGAGGACTTAGCATCACACTAACATCATTGGATAGATCATTCAGACAGAAAATCAACCAGGAAACAGTGACTTTGAATGACACATTCAATCAGATGTACTGAACAGATATATACAGAACATTCCATCCCAAAACAGCACAATATACATTTTTTTTTTTTAAGTGAACATGGAATATTCTCCAGGACAGATCACATGTTAGGGTACAAACAGGGCTCAATAAATTTAAGAAGATGGAACTAATAATAAGCATCATTTCCAACTACCGTGGTATGAAACTAGAAAGCAAATTTTAAAAAATAGAAAAAAAACCCTCACATACAAGGAGGCTAAACAACTTGCTACCAAACAACCAATGGGCTAACAAAGAAATCAGAGGAAATACATGGAGACAAATGGAAATGAAAACATAACAGTCCAAAATCTTTGGGATGCAGCAAAAGCTGTTTTAAGAGGGAAGTTTACAGCAAGCCAGACGTATCTCAAGAAACAAGAAAAATCCCAAACAACCTAACCTTACACCTAAAGAAGCCAGAAAAGGAAGAACAAAGCTTAAAGTTAATAGAAGAAAGGAAATAATAAGGATTAGAGTAAAAATAAATGAAAGAGACTAAAAAAAACATAGAAAGGAAATGAAACCAAGAGCTGGTTATTTGAAAAATGAAACTGATAAACCTTTAACCAGTCTCATCAAGAAAGAGTCAAAAGAAAAAATCAGAATCAAATAAATAAAAATCATAAATGAAAGAGGAAAAATAGCAACTCATGCCACAGAAATACAAAGAATTAAGACAGAATGCTTTGAAAAATTGTATACCAACAAATTGGACAACCTAGAAGAAATGGATAAATTCCTAGAAACATACAATTTTCCAAAATGTAATCAGGAAGAAAAAGAAAATTTAGACAGAACTGTTACTAGTAATGAAATTGAATCAGTAATTTAAAAACTCCCAATAAACAAATGTCCAGGACCAGCTGGCTTCACAGGTAAATTCTACCAAACATTTAAAGAAGAGTTAATACCTATTTTTCTCAAACTATTCCAAAAAATAGAAGAGGAAGGAAAATGTCCAAATTGATTCCATGAGGCCAGCATTACCCTGATACCAAAACCAGATAAAGACTCCACTAAAAAAAGATAACTACAAGCCAAGAACTCTGATGAACACAGATGCAAAAATCCTCAAAAATATTAGCAAACCACATTCAATAACACTTTAAGGTTCATTCACCACAATTAAGTGAGATTTATTCCGGGAAGGCAAGAGTGGCTCAATATTCACATATCAATGTGATATATCACATCAACAAGAGGACTAATAAACACCATGTGATCACATCAACAGATGCAGAAAAGCATTTGACAAAGTGCAATATACAGTCATGATAAAAACCCTCAACAAAGTAGTTTTAGCAGGAACATATCTCAACATAATAAAGGCCATATAAAAAAAATACCACAGGTAATATCATACTCAATGATGAAAAACCGAAAGCTCTTCCTCTAAGGTAAGTATCAAGGTAAGGATGTCCACTCTCACCACTGGTGTTCAACACAGTACTACTGCAAGTCTTAGCTGCAACAGCCAGGAAAGTAAGGAAGTAAAAGGCACCCAAACTGGTAAGGAAGAAGTTAAATTGTCACTATTTGCAGATGACATGCTACTGTGTATAGAAAACACTTAAGGACCCCACAAAAAATCTACTAAAACTAATAAATGAAGTGAAGAAGGAGGATACAAAATTAATATAAAGAAATCTGTTGTGCTTCTACATACTAACAATGAAGTAGTAGAAACAGATATTAAGAAAACAATCCCATTTACAACTATACCAAAATAAAATACCTAGGAATAAATTTAAACAATGAAGTGAAAGACCTATACTCTGAAATCGATAAGAAACTGATGAAAGAAATTGAAGATGACACAAATAGAAAAGTAGTTCATGCTCATGACTGAAAGAATATATAGTATATTGTATATTATATATACAATATAAATTTAACAATTTAATATTGTTAAATGTCCATAATATCTAAACATCTACAGATTCACTGCAATCTCTATCGAAATACCAAAAGCATTTTTCAAAGAACTAGAACAAATAATCTTAAAACTTGTATGGAGCCACAAAAAAACTTGAGAAAGAACAACAAAACTGAAGGGATCACAATCCCAGGTTTTGAGATATACTACAAAGCAGTGGTAATTGGAATAGTCTGGTACTGACACAATAGACCCATAGATTAATTCAACAGGATACAGAGCCCAGAAATAAATCCACACCTACACAGTCAATTATCAATGACAAAGGAGTCAAGAATGTACAATGGAGGGGTGCCTGGGTGGCTCAGATGGTCTGACTTCAGATCAGGTCATGATCCTGTAGTTTGTGGGTTTGAGCCTCATGTCGGGTTCTGTGCTGACAGTGTGGAGCCTGAAGCCTGCTTTGGATTCTGTGTCTCCCTCTCTCTCTCTGACCCTCTTTCTCCCGTGCTTGCTCTCTCTCTCCCTCAAAAATACATAAACATTAAGAAAAAAAAAAGAATATGCAATGAAGAAAAGACAGTCTCTTCAATAAATGGTGCTGGGAAACCTGTGAGACCTAAATTGTAAAACTCCTAACAGAAGACATAGGCAGTAATCTCCTGAACATCAGCTTTAGGAACATATTTATGGATATATCTCCTCAGGCAAGACAACTCACTGAATAGAAGATATCCACAAATGATAACCCAAGAAGGGGTTGATATACAAATTACATGAGGATATTCTATAACTCAACACCAAAACTATAATCTGATTAAAGAATGAGCAGAGGACTTCAACATTTTTTCCAGAGAATAAATACAAATGGCCAACAGATACATGAAAAGCTGCTCGCCATCACTAATAATTAGGGAAATGCAAATCAAAACCATAATGAGATATCACTCATCAGTCAGAATGACTAAAATAAAAAACACAAGAAATAACAAGTGCTGGCAAGGATGTGGAGAAAAAGGAACCTTCATGAGCTGCTGGTAGGAATATATATTGGTACAACTACTGTGGAAGACAGTATGGAGGTTCCTCAAAAGCACAGATACAGAAATAATATGCAATCCAGTAATTCCACTACTAGGTATTTAACCGAAGTAAATGTAAACACTAATTTGAAAAGATACATGCACCTTTATGTAGATTGCAGCATTATTTATGATAGCCAAGATATGGAAGCATCCCAAATATCTGTCAATAGATGAATGAATAAAGAAGATGTAGTATATATACATAAAACAGAATATTACTCAGACATAACCAAAGAATGAGAGCTAGCATTTTCAACATGGATGGGCCTAACGGGTACGATGGAAAGTGAAAAAAGTCAGACAGACAGAGACAGATACCATAAATGATTTCACCTATATGGTTGTCAGAGGAGTGAGTGAATGGGATAATGGGTGAAACGGATACAGGGGATTAAGAGGTACAAACTTCCAGTTATAAAATAAATAAGTCACAGTGATGAAAAGTACAGCATAGATAATGTAGTAAATAATACTGTAATAACATTGTATGGTGATACATAGTGACTTCACTTAGCATGGTGAGCACTGAGTGTCAAATCAATATGTTGTACGCTGGAAACTAATATAAAATTGAATGTCAATTATACTTTAATAAAAAAGTAACAAATGTGCTAAAATTAACCTAATACATGTTATAAATAACCAGTAACTGAAATAGACAAAGCATTAAATGAAAAATAAAAAGGATCACAATAACAGAAAATTACTGATTTATAAATTAATTGCTATTTGTCAATTTGCAATGAAATGTTTATGAAAGTGTTAACTTTCCATGAGCAAATTCTCCTTATTTTTGTGAAAAACCCCAATACATAGATCTTTGACATTATCTCTAAGTGAGAAATAAAAGCCTGTGGAGAAATACTCACTTGCCCTAGAAAAAATAGGTAGTTGATGATGGAGATGAACTAATACCAGTTTTCTGATACCCAGTCACTGTCCTTTTTTACTAGGAAGCAATTAATTTCTGGGGCGCCTGGGTGGCTCAGTTAGTTAAGCATCCGTCTTCAGCTCAAGTCATGGTTCATGAGTTTGAGCCCCACACTGGGCTCTGTGCTGACAGTGCAGAGCCTGCTTGGGATTCTCCTCCCTCTTTCTCTACCCTTTCCCGCTCATGCTCTCTCTAGCTCTCTCACAATAAATAAATAAACGTAAAAAAAAGAAGCAATTAATTTCATGCATTTTATTTTTCTCTTTCCTGAATTTGTTCTTATTGAATATAACTTGCCTCATATTCTTACTTCACTAGATAATACTGAATTTGTCTTCTAGCATCCAGGCTTAAAGTTTTTTTCAAACTTAAGCACCCAACATACTCTCATAAAGGTGCTGTACTAAGCCCAAGTATGGATGAATCATGCAAAAAAAGTCAGCATCAAAAATCTCACCACTCAAACTGATGCAAGCCTCTGAAGGAAGTAAATTTCTGTCTGTTCAATCATTATTTTATTCACTACACGCAACCAAAAATATTTGTTCTGTACTCATTAGGACATGGATGACTGTTTTTGGATGTGCCAATATAATAATTCCATTTGTGTCATCAGATTGTTTAACTGTAGGATACACTGGACAGACATTCTTCTGAAAAGAGCAGAATACCATCTGAAGCTTGGACTGTAATTTAGTTATCTGCATATTTATTTATAAAAATAGGATCCACTTCTATCTTCTATCAGAAAATGTATCAGATGAACAAGTACAATTTTTACTGAGTATCCACTATGTCCTGGCACTATTTATTACAAATTAAATTAATTAAGCTAAAATACATTTAATTTGGCCCTGAATATAAATCTCAGAATCCAGGTATGGATACAATTTGTAACTTTTTAATGGCAGAACTGGGATAGAATTAAGATCTCCTGAGTTACCTTTCCAGGTGATTTGGGGCAAGATGCAACAGTAAATTCTTATGCTACTTTCTATAACAATGTAGGCTGTTTCTGGAAAGTAAATATCCCCAGACTGACTTTGAATTGATTGAAATTCCCTTACCTTGCTTCTTTTCACAATTGACAGCACAACCTAAAATAAGCTGGAGCAGCCTCCCAAGCTCCACAGAATCTGAACATTCTGTTATTTGGTTCAAATCAGGGATAAGTTCTTCAGAAATCTGCTGTCCCAAAAACTGCAACAGTGAGACAATAAAGTACATCACTCATTTATTTAGGCCACAAAGAATTTATTACATTTATTTATCACAAGGGAAATAAACTATAAGCAGGATCATGAGATAAATCAACAAACTGATATATCCATAATTATTTACTAAAATCAGTTAGCAAAGTTCAAGCAGCATCCTAAAATGCTGAGCAACCAACCAACAGCAACTAAAATGATTTTACACCTAATATCCTTGATCTCACTGTCAAAGGGAATAAGAAACCCCTAGCTTGATCTATTATGACAAAACTTATGCCTTTCCACAAATAAACAGATTTAGGGGCGCCTGAGTGACTCCATTGGTTAAGCGTCCGACTTCAGCTCAAGTCATGATCACACAGTTCGTGGGTTCGAGCCCCGCGTTGGGATCTGGGCTGACAGTCAGCTCAGAGCCTAGAGCCTGCTTCGGATTCTGTATCTCCCTCCCTCTCTGACCCTCCCCTGCTCACACTGTTTCTCTCTCTCTCAGAAATAAATAAAACATTAAAATAAATTTTTTAATAAAAAAATAAATAGATTTATGTAAGCCAAAGGACATGCATAATAATTTTGATGCATGACTGAATAACAGAATACCATAAAATAAATCATCACACTTACAAAAGAACAGCAAATCTAACAAACCTACTGGACTAATCTTTCCTTGTCCTTTTTTTTTTTTAGCATAATAAAAAAGTTTTCTTGACATTAAAAAAAAAGTTCCAAAATGAGTTTTAGGCATTAATTGAAATTTTTCAATCTTAAAATTCTTTGGAAAAAATTACATGTATAAATATGTGACAACTTTGAAACATAGAAACCAAGGCGCCTGGGTGGCTGTCAGTTAAGCACCTAACTCTTGATTTCAGTTCAGGTCGTGATCTCAGTTTTGTGAGTTCAAGCCCTGAGTTGGGCTGTGAGCTGACAGCGCAGAACCAGCTTGAAAGTCTCCCTCTCTCTTTGCCTCTCCTCTGCTGGCACTCTCTCCTTCTCAAAAATAAAGACAAATTTTAAAAATAAAAAAAATAAAAATAGAAACCAAACATTTTAATGGGAAACCAAGTTAACAGCTTCCAAAAATAAGCAATTAACTTTCTTATATCAAATAACCCTATTAGAAAACTTGTTATGGTATCGAGTAAGGGGGAAAAAGCCCTACTTGAATAATGTTCTATCCAAAGTGACTTTGTATAGACTTTGCATAGTGTAAAATCAAGTCATACAGAAATTATGGTAATTCTATTGCAGAAAATAACCAATTTCAAGAGTATCAATATAGAAGGAACATTATTTTACAAACCAATATATTAAGTTTAAGCCTGTTCATGTTCACAAAATTTGAGTGTTCTGAAAATGACAAAAAAAATAATATTCCAGCTATGAGCTAAATTCCAGTAAAATGTTTTAACGAAAATGTAAGTTACTTTTTGGTGTCAATATAATTATCATATATGATTTGGTACTTAAACAAAGTGAGATGTTTTTCATACCTCATTGTAATAACTCATAATTCCTTGCAGTACCTTCTTTAAATTACTAGCCTAATGGAGAAAAAATAAGAATTCAATAAATTATTTCACATTAGTAATGAAAGAAAATTTATTCCAATGTGAAAGACATCAGAATACTGGCCTCATAAAAATAACAACAAAAACAGATATTAGAGTTTAATAAGCACAAGTATATGATAGTTTTTAAACATGAAAGCTTTAATCGGAGTTTAAAAGTGCATTCATGCTTATGTAGTAGATTAACTAGGGTGATTCTATTTAAAGTGAGCTGCAATGAAGAGAAGTACCAACTCAGATTTAGTTTTGAGTATGTCCACCTCCAGTCATGAGTGAGTAACAGGGTTTCTACTTATTCTCTTGCCAAAAACAACAGAAAACAGGACAAAATACAAAGAACAATTGTTTCCAAGCTTTAGCCACTGGCCAGGATGGAACTCTAATTTGTGAGAGAAGGAAAACAAAAAAAGACGAGCCAACTCTAGTCCAAGATTTCTCTCTGGAGGGGATTTTCATTCCATGGAATGGAGTGGTAGCGCCTGAACAAAGCCTGATGTTCTCACTGAGTTGAGGAGTTAGATATCAGAAGTTCAGGAAGGTCAAGGTAGTTAGAATCTGTAGGGCAGACAAAGGAAGAGGTGAGCACGATGGAGGAAAAGAGTTCCAGAAATCTGCACAGTGGTTTGTCTCTTTCAGCTGAGTACTAATTCACATGTGCATGAGTGAAACTCAGTGAGATTAAACAAAATTAACAAAAAGAACTTCACTTTTTTTCCATTTTTTTCCCCCAGGAAAAAAAATTCCCAAGGAAAAAACAATCCAGGGAACTTTCAGCAGAACAATTCCCAAAGATTACACAAGGCCAGAAATGGCTGAAATTCTCACCAGCCAGAGTGAAGAGACAATGCTGTATAGACAAGTATTCACTAAAGACTTTGTAAAGGTCACACCTTAGTAGTTGGTCTAAACTAGTCCTTGAAGTAAAATAACCCTAGAGCTGCCTCCCATCCCTAAAACTTCAGAAGGATCAACATGATTCATAAGTATCTTAACTGCCTGCAAGAACAAAGTCCAACTCTCTTTAAAGGAAAACAAAAAATCCAGCACTCAACAATGAAATTCACACTGTCTAGTAGCCAATAAAAAACTACTACAAATGTGAAGAAACAGGAAATATGGATCATTAAAAAAAAAAAACATGGATCATAACGAGGAGAAAACTCAGTCAATAGTAGAAATGAGCCAAGAAATGAGCAATGAGAGAACTAGAAGATAATAATGTTAAAACTGCTTGCTTAAAAATAATATTCAAGGATTTAAATGAAAATAGAAACATAAAAAAATGGAAGAATTTCTTTAAAAACAACTACAAGAGAAAAAAACAAACAGGAGCTCCCGGGGGGCTCAGTTGGTTAAGTGTCTGACTTCAGCTCAGGTCATGATTTCATGGTTCACAGGTTCAAGCCTCGCATCGGGCTCTGCTGACAGCTCAGAACCTGGAGCCTGCTTTGGATTCTGTGTCTCCCTCTCTCTCTGCCCCTCCCCTGCTCATGCTCCATCTTTCTGTCACAAAAATAAATACACGTTAAAAAATTTTTCAATCAAAACTTTAAAAAAATAAAGAGATGGTCTCTGGATAAAAAAAAAAGCAAGACTGTTAGAATGTGTGCATGAAAGACCTAATATAAAGATAAATATAAAGAATAAAAAAAGTACATTAAATCAAAAAATAATCATAAAACTAGAGTGGCTCATTAATATAAGAGAAATTAGTCTTCAGAAAAAGGAATATTGCCAGGGATAAAAAAAAACAAACAAACCCATAAACAAAGCCTTTTATGATTATACATAGATTGATTCACCAAGAAGACATATAAAACTTAATGTATATAAACCTAACGTCAGAGATTCAAATTACATGATTTAAAAAGTTAAGAGCACTAAGAGGAAAAATCAGCAAATCCAAAATCACTGTTAGAGATTTAATGACTCATTTTCCATAACTTATAGAATGGTCAGGCAGAAAAAACAATAAAGATATAAAAGATACAAAAGTACTATCAATAAATTTGACGTAATCCATCTGCAGAATACATGTCAAGTGCACATGGAACATCCCCCAAAACAGATCATATGTCAGGTCATAAAATAAGTCTCAATAAATGTTAAAGAATTTCTCAGTACAGAGTTATATTTTCAAACAAAAGTTGAATTAAATTAAAAATCAATAAATATAAGAAAGATACCTAAAAATCCTCAAGTATTTATAATTTGAACTACCTACTTCTAAATCACATGGGAAGTTAATGAGTATTTTAAACTGAATGAAAATACAAACACAGTGTATCAAAATGTGTGAGATGTGGAAGGCAATGCTTAAATTACGGGAAAAAAGGACCTACAACTTATGATTTAATTTCCCACTTTAAGGCATAAAAAAGAAGAGAAGATGTAAGTAAAGGAAAGGAACTAATGCAGAGAAGAAATCTATAAAATAGTAAACAAAAGTTAGTTCTTAAAAAAAAAACAATAAACTTGAAAAACATCAAACCAAACTTCTCAAGAAAAAAAAAGACAAAACACATAAATTGCCAACATCGGGAAAGAGGATACATCACGAAAGCTCACAGAGTTATCAGCATATTATTAGCAAAATAACACAGTTAAGAACAACTGTGTGCCAACAAATTGGGCAACCTAAGTGAAACACACAAATGCTCTATAATACACAACAAAACTGACTTAAGAAGAAACCAAATTAGTTTGGTAGTTTCTTATAAGGTTAAATATATATACTTACACAACTGGATACAATCACATTCAGGAATTCATCTAAGAGAAGAAATTAGACATATATCTATGCAAAGACTCACACTAAATATTCATTGTAATTGCATCCATAGTAGGTAAAAACTGAAACAATTCCAACATCCATCAAGAGGTGAATGGGTAAGCAAACTGTAGAATATCCATGTAATGAAATAATATGCAGAAAAAAATAATAACAACTCTTAGGACAGGCAACATGGATGAGTCTCAAAAACATCACACTGAGTAAAAGCTGCTAGACGCACAGAGTAACAAAGAATATATAACGTCTGATTCCATCTACATGGAACTCTAGAAATCCACAGCGGCAGAAAGCAGACCCATAGGGCCACACAAGTAGTGGGGGTTGTGTGGGAAAGGGAGTAAGTGCGGGCTCTGGGTTAATAGAAATGTTCCACATCTAATTAAGAGTGTAGTTACCTAAGAACATACATGAGTCAAAACTCAAACTGTACACAATAAAATGCACCCTTAAATTTTATAAAAAAGGGATTTAGTTGAGCTTAGTGCTAATTTTAAAACCACTGTTTCAATTAAATGCTTCTATTGCTCCTTCTGTATACCTTTATTCTCCAGTTGTCACCGGTATCTTCTTTAATTCGGCTTAACCAAGATTCATCGAACCAAGCTACATCACTGAAATGAAAATACAAATGCAAAACATTTAAATGTTTTACTTTGTAAAAGTACCAAATTAGATCAACGAAGTGATTTTATATCTTAGAGCCTGTCCTTAGTAATAGTAAATATTATTTAACTGAACCCACTGAATTTTTAGTGATTCCTAAGGATTTCTTTTGGAATTTCTCATAATAAGTTACTTAATTCATTAACATCTTCAATTTAATAAACATTTACTAAATGTCTCATACTAGACACTCTGGTAGCAGGAAGATGTAAAAGTCTCAATCCTAAAGGGGGAGAAAAATGAAAACCAACATTTGAAATTGTCTACTCTGTATCCAGCACTGTGCTTGATGTTTTCCCATATTGCAATATTTCAATATTGTGGTAATTGGCAAAGGATTATGATTATTCTCAATCTTACTCTTCAGGGAACTAAGGACGAGAGAAGCTATGTAATTAGCCCAAAACCACACTATTATATGGCAAAGCCCAAAATTATTTGATTGTAAGTGAGCAGAGTGTAATGAGAAGTCTACACGAGTTTTAAGCTCGTGAAGTCATATTAACATGGAAAGCCAGAACAATGAACTGTAGTATCGATTTTTTCTGTGTTTAATAAGGTTTTAAAGAATAACATTTGACTATAGTGAACTACACTAACAGATCATATATATTCTAAACAAAAATTTGGATGCTTGCTCTGAGTAAGTAACTAATCAAGATAAATATGAAGCTGAATACTTTACCACCATGACTCTCAGGGAAATAGCTATTAAAGGAGGAAAGTAAAGAGCACAAAAACTCTACTCAACGGAGAATGTGATACATGCTTTAAGAGTTAAACACTACAAAATCAAAGAATATGCTAGAAGAGGTCTTCAAGGTCTTGTCTAAATTTTTACTTTATAACATAAGCCAACAAAAGTGAGGGAAGAAGTTAAACGGATCCTTTTCCAAGGCTTGGATTTAAAAACCTAAAGCTGAAACTAGAACACAGTCCCTAGTTTTTCACAAATCATTCTGCCTCAGATGTTCTAATACAGAAGACACTGCTTTGACTGGGGTAATCAAAAATGACTTCATCATTTCTAATTCATCTATGTGGAACATGTTGCCATTTTCTTTTGAGCATATTAATGTTAATTATATTCAATTTTTCCCAGATGCTAAGCCTACAATTACCAAAATAATTTGGCTAAATATATGAATGGTGTATTGCTAACCAAGCATTTACCTGAAAAGTCTGATTTAGTAATAAGTCAAAACTGTCATCAAAGTAAATTCATTTCTTTTTGACATCAGATTAAGTAAAAGAGGTAAGCCAGTTGTGATTATTAATTTTATGTATCAACCTGCCTGGGTCAGAATACCCAGTTTTTGCTCAAACATGCTTGGATGTGGCTATGAAAGTATTTTCTTAGATAAGATTAACATTTAAGTCAGTAGACTTTAGGGGTGCCTGGGTGGCTCAGTCGGTTGAGTGTCTGACTTCGGCTCAGATCATAATCTCACAGTTAGCAGGTTCGAGCACCCCATCGGGCTCTGTGCTGACCGCTCAGAGCCTGCAGCCTGCTTCGGATTCTGTGTCTCCCTCTCTCTCTGCCCCTCCCCTGCTCACACTCTGTCTCTCTGTCTCTCTCTCTGTCTCTCACTCAAGTAAACATTAAATTTTTTTTAATAAAAAAAATAAATCAGTAGACTTTAAGTAAAACACATTACCCTCCATAATCTGGGTGGGCCTCATCCAGTCAATTGAAGCCTTTAAGAAAAAGACTAACACCCCTCAAGAAAGAGTAAATTCTTCCATTAGATTGCCTGTGGACTCTGGCTACAAAATCAACTCTTCCCTGGATCTTTGGCCTACAGGCCTGACCTGTGGATTCTGGACTTTCCAGCCTCCACAATCATGTGAACCAATTCCTAAAAACAAATTTCTCTGTCCCGTGTGTGTGTGTGTGTGTGTGTGTGTGTGTGTGTATACATCCTATTGTACCTATCCATGTCTTATTGATTCTATTTCTCTAGAGAACCCTGACCACTACACTAATCTTGTAAAAGATATCATCATCTGTGATTCTAGAATTATGTTATAATTACCTCTAGAAAATGGATCTAGACATAACCTCTTCTAGCTTTCCTCCTTTTATCTTGTGTTCCTCCTTGTCTGTCTTTCTACTCCAAATCAGCTTCAGCCCTACGTCTTAGTCTGCTCAAGCTTCTATAACAAAAGATCACAGACTGGGTGGCTTACATAACAGAAATTTACTTCCCACAGTTCCGGAAGCTGGAAATCCAAGATCAAGATGGTATAGCAAGGTAGGTTTCACTTAAGCCCTCTTCTTGAAGCTTGTAGGTGGCTACCATCTCTCTGTGTGCTCACATGACCTCTTCCTGGTATGATCACATGCTTCTTTTCTAAGGATTCCAACCCTATCAGATCAGGACCCCACTCTTAGGACCTTATTTAACATAAATTACTTCTCAGAGGCCTCATCTCCAGTAGACCTACAACACTAGGGGTTAAGGCTTCAACACAGCAATTTGGGATGGATACAAACATTCAGTGTATCCTGAGAAATACTTTCTAACTTCTGTCTTCTTCCTTTTCTCATAAACAAATCAACCTTCTTAAACAATTATAATGGCAGCCAATCTTTCCCCCACTATTAAACTTGATATCCAATCTTGTAACTCTCTGGGCATATCCTTCCTTACATTTTGCACTGCTACATCTACAGGTCTTAACTAGACTTCTGGCCCTAATAATTAGTTCCTTTTCTTATACGTCCCAGAACTTCAGTGAAATTCAAGAGACACCAAATATCGGGACACAAGACTGAGGAAGCAAAATATGGTCCAATTGTTTTCTAATAAAAGTAAGAAAGAATGAGTATAAAGTTATTTTTTAACTCCACCCATAGTGTTTGTTGTTTGCAAAACATAGTTGTTTTGTTTCAACAGACACCCTGACATTATTCTCCCTCAGGGGAGAATAATGTCAAAAGGCCTACCTACTGTGCTTAACACATCAAATTGTGATCTGTACTTTGGGCATGCACACCTAGCTTTTTATGTATTAACACCCCAAAGTAAGAATCTAACAGGAGAGAGTCAAGGTACTATATTTCACTGATTACAGCTGCCTGAGAGCACAGGTGTTAGAGTCGGGTCAAGGCTATGCCAATCCTGCCTTTGCTATTAACTCGTTATTTGATTTTACAAAAGTTATTTCACCTCTCTAAACCTCTGTTTGATGTATAGACTGAGGAATATCTATCTCACAGAACAGTAAAAATGAACTGAAATAACATGTGTACAGTATATAACAATGTCTTATATAACTTAGTAAATACTCAAATGTGGCTACCATGATTTATCATTTCAAATGCTCAAATATCTGACTGAATGAATGAAAAAATAAGTGCAGATACTTGAGGTCTCTGGGTCTCCACATTCTTGGTCTCATTCTTTTCTCTCTTGCAAAAATGTCTAGTCAAGACAGGCAAGAAATAAGCAGAGAAGTTATCTCTTGTTTAAAGTGGCCAAATTAAGGCTTTCTTTTGGGAGAAGTCACATGATATAATATTTATAATTGTTGTGGGTTGAATTGTATCTCCAAAAAAATATGTTCATATTCGAACCCCCGAAATCTGTCAATGTGACCTTATTTGGAAATAGGGTCACTGCAGATGCAATCTAATTAAGATGAGATCAAACTAAATTGTTAATATGACTGGAAGAAGAGAGGACACATAGACACAGACACAGAGGGAAGACAACCACGTGGAGAAGCGACAGAGACAGAGCCGTCCTGCTGCAGACTAGGGAATGAGGGGTTGAGGGGGGCAGCACCAAAATCTGGAAGGAATGATCCTCCCCTACAGACAACGGAGAGAGCATGGCCCAGCCAGCTACCTGATTTAGACTGCTAGCCTCCAGAATCTGACCAACTCTTGTTGTTTTAAACCACCCACTCTGTAGTACTGTTATGTCAATCCTAAGAAACTAATGCAGCTGTAATTATAGATTTTCCCCATGTATTTTTAAAATATCTACATATATTTTAAAAAGGAATATATATATATGTATACAATGTATTCAGGCCAAAGATAATAATTAAGCAGCTGTAAAACCCTAGCAATAATCCCATGACTCCCCAAATATAAGTCATACAGTTAGGGCATTGATTTTTTAAGATTTTATTATTTACCATACTTGCCTCAGGTAAATAATAATTACTCATTAAATTTTGCTACTTCCTTAGAAAGCAAAGTTTCCCTTTTCATCTTCAGTAACAACTTTGATATGATTTGATGTGAGTCACAATAGAAATCAATGCAATTCATAATAGAGTGTAACATATACAAAATGCTTTTAAGTGTTCAAAGAAATAAGGTAAAATATGCCCTTTGAGTAGGAATATGATATACTGATTCAACTAGAGAAAAATGTATGCCTGTAACTTTCACTATCCAGATCCAGACTTCTGGAAAGCTATAAAACTAGAATGGGATTCAAAAAGAAAAAATAAAGTTCAAATAAGTCTTAGATGATAAGGAGACTTAGACAGCTAAGTCCACGTCAAAACAGGCAAAGCAAAAAAGAGGTTTCTCCAATTTTAGATCACTGTCATATGTTTTATGAAGAAAGAGGGCTTTCTGGTTGTTTGATGATTTTATTATTCTTGCAGAAAACCTATTAGAAGACAATAAAAAACAAATGAGAGAATGAAAAGAAGAAAGGAAAATCAGAGAGACAGAGGTTCGACAATAACAACAGAATCCAAGAGATTATGGAAAATGAGTTAGTGATAAAGGGTAGAATTTAACTAAATTTGAACTGACCCCATTCTAAACATCAGGTACAGTGGTAGAGTAGAGGGAGTCAAAGAGCCATTACATCCTATCATGATAAAAACATGTCTCTTCTATTGTATTGTAGTATAAAAGCTACTAGAGCCACCACAATACATGTAAATAACAGCTTTGGATGGCACTGTTGAAGTCAATGAATGTGTACTAGCCTTATATCCATACCAACCACAATGCAGCTATGTCTACACCAATACCCACAACATATTGCAATGACAAAAGGCAAGGCATACATTCTAACAATAAATAATAATGACAACTTTCCCAAATCATCAATAAAGGGTGATATCCAGAATTCTTGGTTCTGACCAATTAAATTAGGGCATAAGTAAATAAAATGTTTTAGAAACATGTTTGAGAAAATAAGGAAAAAAGGCATATTTTAGAATAACTGCCAATAAAAAAAAGTTAACATGTTCAGTTTTTCTCTTAAAGTGTTAATGGTTAATCTTGAGTTAACCATAAAATCTGTCTATTCAAATCAGATCATGTTGAAAACTCCAAGTAACTACAATTCTAAAATTTTACGTTGCTTTTCTGAGGATGTTAAGGGATTTCTGCAAACCTGTCTACAGGATTTTCAATGTCAATCACATCAAACCTTTTGCTTTTTAATTAAACATTTCTTTTTTTTTTTAATGTTTTTTTTTTAAATTTATTTCTAGGAGAGAGAGAGAGAGAGACAGTGTGAGCAGGGGAGGATCAGAGAGAGAGGCAGTCACAGACTGAAACAGGCTCCAGGCTCTGAGCTGGCAGTCAGCACAGAGCCCGACGCAGGGCTCAAACCCAGGAACCGCAAGATCATGACCTAAGCTAAAGTCGGACGCTTAACCGACTAAGCCACCCAGGCGGCCCAACATCAAACCTTGACAAAATGATGGCAACCACTGAAAAAAACATCTCTGACTATTAAACAAAGAGCAGAGCTAGGATTCTGGTCTCAATGAAGATACATTATCATAAAAATAAGCTAATACAAAATCAATGTGACTATCAATTAATAAATTGGCCCTCTTTGTTCCTACTGAGGGTAGAGCTCATACTGCAGATGTTATAACCGTAATCACTGCACAATGTATGGCAAAAATTAAGAAATAATGGACCTAGGAACTTTTGATACTATATATCTAATGGGCCTAACCCAAACAGAATCATTTATTCAGTTAAGATTCCCCGATATTTGTGACTACAAAATTCATTTATGACTCATGTTATTATTGGTGGAGTCATGTAAGTCCTACTTTTAACTCAAATATAGATTTTAAATTTTAATACTTTTTTCCAAATTCAGTATTTTATACTTCAACTATCTCTAAAATAATAATCTCCATGAATTGATTCCTTCCAATGACAGTAAAATACCTCAAAAACATCATAAGCAATTATGCCATTCATTAAAACGGTTTCTTCTCCAGTTACTACAGCTTGTGAATGTGACCAGGACAAGTTTAAAATGAAAATCTCTTAAATAGATAAGAATCTTGTTTGCTCATTTAATGAAGATGTACCTCCGTGAACAAACAAGGAATAATCAGGTGCTAAACTTTTTTGTGCTCCAGATGTAATAATGCCTCCGTACCATATGCCTGTCACAACTTAAAAGGATAAGGTTTCAGCAACTTTTAGAATACAAGTCTAAGTTTTCTTCCTTGGTACTGGGTTTACAATTCTTTCAGAAGAGTATGGACCACTACTTACATTTGATGAAGAACTTGAGCCATGGCAACTCCGTTAGTCAGCTGTTTGACATCTTGACAAGGTGCAGCAGTATTGAATGTCTGCAGCTAAAATGACACCAAGCAAATGACTTTACTGCTCCTTTATCCTTACAGGATGGTGTTACCAACCCGCCTCCCCAAACATATGAGCACTACAGAGAAAAATAACTATACATTGTCCTGTTTTGCTTAAATTCAGACTGTGCCAAACAAATGAAACTATACTAGTAAGTTTCGATGGTTGTGTAATAGTCTTACAAAAATAAACACTTAACAATTCAAATAATCACACCTAAAACAGTCAAATATATTGATGCAATGTATGAAGTACTTCAGAGTTTCTGAAAGCCAGATGTACAGATCTTAAGATTGAATGTACTGTGCTCATTGTTAGGAGAATCACATCAGAAATAACTTTATTATTTCAGGTTAAAATTTCACTCACATCATTTGGTAGGACAACAAAGGCTAGAAATGTCAAGTCTGAAACAACTTAACCAGTGAGCTCTATATAAGAAAGGACCTCAGCCTGCCATCCAACAAGTAGTCTCAGGGCATGAATGGTCCAGGGTCCACCCGCCACATCAACTTGTTTCTATCTAGTTTGGCTTTACATATTATTCTTGTCAAATCTCTGTTTGTTAAACATGCATGTACACAGTAAAAAGAGAAGTGAAATTGTGGCATCTTTTTCTGATAAGCAAATACAAGACAGAAGAATTTTTGAAAAGCAAGTTACAACAGAGCTACAACGGTTCATGTACTTCCTGGAAATCTAATCTCGACCCATAATGATCGTAAATTAAATATACTATGATTCTCTTTTCCTACACATATTTAGCTCCTTTACTATTCAATTATAGTTCCTTAGTTTACCACTTAACTATCTTAATCTGACAAAAGTCTCTACCCATGATTCACCTTTAGTGGTTTTGAGATTCTACAAATAAGTCTCCATGATCCTAATATGACATGAAGGGATGACACGCACAAATAATGCTAGTTACAGTTACTTTCAAAGTCCAGAAGATACTTTACTGAGATCCTACTCCACGTGGGCACTGTAGTATAGAATGGGGTTACAAAAGAAAATCACTCATTTTCTACTCTCAAGCAGTTTCAATCAAGAGTTAAGGAGAGGATGGGAAGACATAAATTATTTCTAGAAAATGCCATTCCCAGTCTCATGACCAAAGTATGCACAAATCGTTCCGAAATAGACAGGAGTTAACTAATTAGGGCTTGTATTTAGGAAATTCTTCTCAGAGATGATTTCTGAACAGAAGGTATTGAGTAAAAAAAAGACCAAGGGAAGGAAGGTTCAGGAAATAGGAACATGGTAACAGCACAAATACCTGAACACAAATACCTGAAAAGGGACGGTATTTTTAGGCAACACACAGTTCAGTATTACTGCATTTCCAGTGCAAAGAGGAATGGGGAAGAGGTGACAAAAAAAAGGGGGGGGGGGTAAGAAAACAGACATGGGTCAGGACTCTGGGGGCCATGACAAGAAGCTTGGACTCATCCCAATCATCCTTATAATGGGAAAAAGCAGAAGAGTTTCTATGTACCTCACAAGATGGTCCAGAGAATTAGAAAACATAGCGAACTGAGACCAGCACCTGGTACAAGTTCAACAGCTGTTGGCAATTAGTATCCGGAGTTCCTCAAAGTTTGGGGTCTTAGAACAATACGCATCAGAATCTCTAGACATATTAAATCAGAAAACTCCTAAGTGATTCTTTTTTGTTGTTTGTTTTTAAGTAGGCTCCATGCCCAGTGTGGAGCTCAATGTGGGGTTTGAACTCACAACCTGAGCTGAGATCAAAAGTCAGACACTTAACCTTCAGAGCCACACACATGCCCCTCCCCAAGCAATTCTTAGACACATCAATTTTTTAGAACCAATGCTCTGGGTGATGATGAATCACTGAAGAACAAGAAGAAAGAGAATGATAACTTCAGTATATTTGGGGTAGCAACAATACTGACAGAAAGAAAGAAAGAGAGTAACTTTCATGCCTAAGTCTGTTAGAGAGCAATGGTCTTACTGATAAAACAGGTGGCTTACAGATAGCGTAATGCTGACTAAGAGGACAGAATAAATTCATAGAATTTAAAATATAAAATAACAAGGATTTTGCAATTAAGTGGATGTACAGGAAAGAGAAACCCCAAGGTTTAGGGCATCTTTAAAAAGAAGATAATCATATACTTTCAGGTAAACTCTGGCTCCCACTTTCCAACCCTTCCCACTTACAATTTACATCATTAACTTTTTACAAAATGGATAGGATTAGTTATTTTTTTATTTTTTAATGTTTTATTTATTTCTGAAAGAGAGAGACAGCATGAGCAGGGGAGGGTCAGAGAGAGAGGGATACACAGAATCCGAAGCAGGCTCCAGGTTCTGAGCAAGCTGTCAGTACAGAGTCCAACCCGAGGCTGGAACCCACAAACCATGAGATCATGACCTGAGGTGAAGTTGACCACTTAACCAAGTGAGCCACCCAGGTGCCCCTAGGATTGGTTATTTTAAACGAATGACTTGAGAAGCATAGAATATTAGCAAAATAGTAAAGAAAGGTGCAAAAGTAGTACATATAATAAGTACTGCCTTAATTGCCTACCAAGTCCAGATTAAGATCAATTTCTCCTTCTTTTAGACATGGATTTAAACTGGGGTGTTGGGGCTCCTTGGTGGCTCAGTTAGGGCTCCTTGGTTAATCATCTGACTTTGACCCAGGTCATGATCTCACAGTTCATGAATTCGAGTCCTGAGTCAGGCTCTATGCTGACAGCTCAGAGCCTGGAGCCTCCTTCCAATTCTGTGTCCCCTTCTCTCTCTGCCACTGGCCTGCTTGTGTTCTCTCTCTCTCTCTGTCTCTCTCTCTCTGTCTCTCTCAAAAATAAATAAACATTTAAAAAATTTAGATTGGAGTGTTTCTTGAAAGTTCTTAAACTAGCTGCAAAATAAATTAGATAACACAGAATGTAATTTCATTTGGCCAAATAGAAAGGCTTTATAACCAAGAAGAGTGAATAAATTAAAAGGCTCAGTTAGGCAGTGACGCCAAAGAAGAAGGATAAAGGAAAATGTCCCCTTTCATACTACTCTTCACAGAAGTAAAGAAGCAGAGGTCTTTTTTAGTGAGTGGCCCAAAAGAGGCAGACTGGGCTTCTATCAGTAACCACAGGTTCTGGCAAATAATCAACTTACTTTCTTCTTTAAGTAAAGCAAATAATAAAAAATGTGCAAATGTTGTTCCTGAATTGCTTCAATATAAATGTCACCAGAATCAAGGAAGAAAAGGGGATCTTCACAACTGACAGCCAAAAAAAAGTCCAAGTTTGGGTCAGTTTTAGTCTCACATTCTCCTCCTCTAAATACTCATTTCAGAAAGATTAATGTTTTGAGTTTTAAGGTTTTCTTTAAAAAATTTTTTTTAATGTTTTATTTATTTCTAGGAGAGAGAGAGAGAGAGCGTGAGCAGGGGAGGGTCAGAGAGAGAGGGAGTCACAGACTCTGAAATAAGCTCCAGGCTCTGAGCTGGCAGTCAGCACAGAGCCCGACGCGGGGCTCGAACCCATGAACCGCGAGATCATGACCAAAGCGAAAGTCGGACGCTTAACTGACTAAGCCACCCAGGCGCCCCTGAGTTTTAAGGTTTTCATAAAAAACGATTCAGCCTTTAATAGTTTTTGTTCATTTGGGCATTACCTGGCATTAGGTTTTCCTTCACCTGCCTGTCAATGTCAAAGAACACAGGAACTAAGAAAACCATTAAAAATGTGGTTCAATTCTAATTTTATTGGTGAAAGTAAAGTCCCCAAATTTAAATTCTCCAAATGTTGCAAAGCCAAGGGGCAGAATTAAATTTATTAAATCCATTAAATTTACCTTCATACAAATACTGCAAACTCTCATACAGTCCCCTCTACAATGGAAATGTTGCCCAAATTTCTCTTTCAGCCCTAAAATTTTTGCTAAGCAGCAATATAACATTTCTAAGAACTAATTATTTTTAATTTTTAAAAATTTATTCATTTTTGAGAGAGAGATAGAGGTTGAGTGGGGGAGGGGCATAGACAGAGGGAGACACAGAATCTGAAGCAGGCTCCAGGCTCCAAGCTGTCAGCACAGAGCCCAACTCACGGCTTAAACCCATAAGCAGTAAGATCATGACCTGAGCTGAAGTCAGATGCCCAACCGACTTAGCTACCCAGGTGCCCCTAGGAACTTATTATTTTAAGACAAGTTCCAAATCATAAAACTTTTTTTTTTTTTTGGAGAGAGAGAGAGAGAGAGTGTGTGTGTGTGCGCGTGTGCACGCGCGCTGGGGAGCAGGAGAGAGAGAATCTTAAGTAGGCTCCATGCCCAGCACTGGGGCCAATGTGGGGCTCAATCTCATGACCATGAAATTCTGTCCTGAGCCAAAATGTCCTGATCATGTTCTGAGCTGAGATCAAGAGTCAGACGCTCAACCAACTGTGCCACCCAGGTGCCCCATAAAATATAACTTCTTAATAATCGCCGAAAGAAGCATCTCTTTACTGACCAGCTTTTCTTAATGACCTCTCAAATTCTACTATGTCGGTTCTACTGTCCTAGAATACTGTCTAGTGCTGAAAGAACAGTTTACTACCAACTGTCTTTTCACTTCCATTACTTACCCCATCATAACTTTTTAATCTTATATCTCCCACTACATCCCCTCAACATGTAACATTACTTACTGTGGAAGGGAACACATTAAGAGATGAGACATATCATGACAAGGATGTGTCTTCCCTACCGCTTTTCGATCTACTGCCAAAGGAGACCATTTACATTACTCCCAGGGGTTCTTTCCTGTGTCTAGAAAATTCACTTGCCCTGATTTCTACAGGCTGAAATCCATCAATCCTCTATTATACAGTTAAGAGTTTACCCCAGGTATCCATAAGAACCTACATACTTAATGGTGAAATATTGGCCTCTGAGGTCACGACCAAAGACAAGGATACTGACTATCACCACTTTGATTCAATGCTGTATTAGAGATCCTAGCCAGCTGTTGTTCCTGGGGATAGAGCAGAAAACAGGTCATACAGGGGCTCTGATCCCAAGGAGCAAATAGGTTGACTTCACAAAGTGTTAAGTGTTACAGACTCATAGAATGGGGGTAACAGATTACAGAGGGATAGGACTGGGGGACAGGTCAGTCATTCACTGTTACTGATTCTGAAAGATGACAACAGATCCAAGAACTGAATGGTGAGAAGAAGCCAGTCACTCACTAGAAATAGAGTATTCTGGGTAGAGGAAATAATAATTAAGAAGCCCATATTCCTCAAGAAATGGAAAGTCAGTGCAGCATCGTGGGCATGGAGGACTGGGTCATTGGGAGAGTTTGGAAAAGCTTGCGGAACTGAGGTGGCATCAACAGTGCAGTGACTGGCAAAGTAAGACACCAATGTTCAGTGGGAATCATCTGGAGAGGTAAAGAGAAGCCAAGAGACAGCTACCCAAGAGACTGAGGCAGAAGATGATCTCACAAAAGAACCATCAAGCAAGATAAAGATAATACAGAATAGTTAACGGTCTGCCAAATCCAGTAGGTGAAGGCCTTAGAGAAAAGAATCTCATGTGCAGTGGGTTGAGAAGGGAATGAAAGAAAGTTCAAGTATAAAGGATGAGTATACAAATAATTTGACTGCAGAGGGAAGGGAAAATAGAGTGTGGTTTTAACAGGGAGTGGTGGCCCTTTGTTCTCTCTTTTTAAGACAGGGAAGATTTGAGTAAGTTTATGTGTAAAAAGGAAGTATCCAAAGGAAGGGAAGAAGTGAAATACAGAGCAAAGTTTGAAGGAATGGGATCTAGAGCTAGGGCCAACAAAACGAGGTGATCATTTTCCTGAGGGGAGAAAAGCTGGAAGTTCAAACAGGGTACCGATAAAGGTTTGCAACGAGAAATGCGAAGGGAACTTGTGTGGTTGTTCTTAGTCTTTATACAGCTGGGCATTGTGATGGGAATAAGTATATTTAGCTGTAGAGCATTTATAAAGGCAACAATCTGCACAATAATTCCATTTTCTCCACAGTGTCTTCGCAGCCTTAGAACTGGAGAAGCAAATAACCTACTATACTCTGTCATCTATAACATTTTTGCAGTTAAGGAATTTTGCCTCTCATTATACAAATACACAGCTCTGCCAACCAGTCCAACAAAAAAATGGAAAGTTCTTTGATTATTCTTGATATGTCTTCCTCAGTGCCTTGAACAAAGTAGGAACTCAATAAATACTGGTTAAAAGAATGGATATAGTCACATACTATTTTAAAATATTACAATGTAATTCAAGAAAATTATTTTTCTACCACCTCATATAAGTCAATGACATCATAAAGACGAAGTTTACTACTTAAGTCGGATATTTATAGAGCAATAATGTAACAGATTAGGATACCCCCTTTAATTGGTCACTTGTTTTAAAATACAGCATCTAAATCCCGATACTTATTCTAAATGAAAATACAGATGAGCACTTAGCTAAGTGCTTTTAACTCAGAAACCCTATATACCTGCATTCCACTTGTAACAAGCTACTTACCTCTAAACTGTAAAAGTTGCTTTAAATTATGGTTATTTCCAATAGACTTCATACACAGCCAGAAACCATCTCTGATTTCTCATTCTGTTGAATTACTCAAATGAGGAAATCGCTAGGGAATCGGATCAACCAATTACTGACTCTTGATCCAGTCTGTTTACATTCCATTATGCACACGCTTCTGTACACCCAACCAAACAACTAGTTTGGGGATGGGCACCATCAAAAGCACCTTGTGGACAGACCATCAAACATCAGCCTTGCCCAATGTGGGTTAGAAGCTACACCTGAATTGCCAGCTCTCTGATCGCTGAGCACCTCCAAAAGGTGAGACACATCCTTTTACTGACAGGAAGACTGGGGGCAGATCCTGCCTGTCCAAATATCACACAAGTTAATTAGAAATACCAAACATGCCCGAAGTGCAAATGAAAATCCCAAGTTTTTTTTTCTTGAAGGAAAATGCTGTCAGCTATAGGGGAGAATGGGGAGACAGTAATAAAAGAGGAATAGGAGCCCCCACCTCCAACATATCTTTTTCCCCACACAGGAAATAAGAGGAAATATCCCTTCTGGACGACTTCTACAAAAACGGATGTTCTGGGATCCTGGAGGAGCTATGATCCAGGAACCAAAAGCACCTCTTGGCCACCTGTGTCCAAGCAGAGCAAAGTGGTTTGGGTGGCAGGGGACTTTCGGAGGGGCCTTCGCTCCCAGTGGCACGAAGGTCCGTATAGGAAAGCCGTTGAGCAGACAGAAGGCGAGAGAGTCGCAGCGAAGAGCAAAGAGGATGGACGCTTGGCTCCAGCCACAGCTGTCACAAACAAGCAAGATCCCGGCAGCAGGACGAGCCTCCTCCGTCCCCACCTCCAGAGCGCCCTTTACCTTCCCCCAGTCCCCAGACACAAACGTCCACACACCCACACAGACACACCTGCCTCGCGACCCGCAAGGTGGCACTCTCGTGGTCAAGGGCGACAGGAGACTCGGAGGGCGACGCGCCGAGTCCGCGGCGCAGGTGGCCCGGCTACGCCTCAGGCTCACCTGCGGAGAACCGGGGGCCGCGGGCAACTCGCCTGGGCCGCGCGGCCCCCCTCGCCCCCTCGTACTCACCCAGATGATGAGGCTGTCGCATAACGGCAGCTCGGACTGCGGAAGCGGCTGCGTCTCTTCCATGGCCGGGGCCGCCGTCTGCTACGCCCCCGCGGACACCGACACCTCCCTCCTCCCCGCGCTCCTCCGGGAGCCGGCGTCGACGACCTGCTCGCCGGCCGGGAGAGCTCGGAAGCCAGGCCCAGCGCCCGCGCGGCTCACGCGCGAAGCCTCGCGCGGCCGACGTCGCCGGCGTAACCCCCTCCTCGCCACCGCCCCCGTTCCCGCTCCGCCCCGCTCAGCCGTTCGCCCCCTCCCCGGGCTGGCCCGGCTGCGCGGCTCCGCACCTGAGCCCCGCCCCCTCCTGCCCCTTCCCGTCCCCTCCCGCCCCGCCCACTCCCCCCCCCTTCCCGCTCTCGCACACCTCTCCCCGCCGCACTGAGTGACCAGGGCGCGCACCAGTCACAAAGAAAGTCGGTGCCCGAGAGGGGCGTGCGGGGCGGGAGGGGGCGGGAAGAGCGGGGATAGGTTGCGCAGGAGGGGTTGCTGATTGGACGCACCCTCTGGGCTCCGACCAATCAGTGTGAAACAAGACAGCCTCCGGGAGGGAGCGCGAGCGGGTGGGAAGGGGTTTGTGACCTGGCAGGTGCGGTGGGGACCGGGGAGCGCGCGTGCGCGGCAGGACTTCGTAGAGGCTGAAGCTCACGCTGTCCCAAGGGCCGAAGAGGCCGCGGGGCCCCCAGCGTAAGTAGGGCGGGCTCTAGCATCTTCGCGCCTCCTCCTCCGCAGCCGGGCAGCCCGTGGCTACACCTGTGGAGATCCACACTGTGCGGCCATCGTGTCTTCGCAGATAGATCCTCCTCGAGAATAAGAACCACTAGAGACAGGGAGAGCTGAGGTTCTCCTGGTCGCTCCTTGGAAAAGGACGTTTTCCTTTGCAGACATGGCAAAGAAATGTGTTTGCTAAGGGGGAGAAATACCGTAAAGCTGCTTAAGTGAAATAAGCTCCCAAGACCACAGAGACGGGCAATTTTATTTTAAATGGGGCGGAAGGGAAGACCGTTTTCAGGTAGGAAAATGAAAAATGAAATGATTTTTTAGTTTTCAAAAACCATGGAAGATACGAGGGTACAGTGCTTCCGATTTTCCTTTGGCGGTTGAAAACTTGTCTTTCCTGAGTGTTGGTGAGGGAGGGGATGGCGTAGAGTTGGAAGCTCTCCAAGGTACTGATGTATGGCTTAGGCTGTTGAAATGGGTTGGGATATTCTTACTCTTGCTGTTGATTTCCATCACTTCACTCATTCATAAACTCATCAGTTCATGCTCTGTGTAAAAATGCAGCTGGCTCATTTATATTGCCACGTCTTTATATTTAGACATTGAAAGTTTAAAAGGGATGGATAACTGCAATTAAAAGCCCTCAAATGTAAATCAGTCTCAGTCTAAAAATACAGTACTTGCAGTTGCTATCAAATCTCAACATTATTCTAGAACTTTCTTACCCCATGTGGAGTCATTTTATATTTCTGGACACCAGCAACATCAGTAATATGACATAACTGAAAAGGAAAAAGAAAGGGAAAAGATCTAGGAATTGAAACCCTGGTCTGAATCTTGACTTTACTCCCCACTGTGACAACTCTCTCCTATGGAATCGAACATCCACATTTCCAAAATGATGCTAATGACACTGACCTGCACTGCTTCCCTCACAGGGGCAAAACGGATAATGCATGTGGAAGAGTTTATAAACCCCTTTGCAAATATGAGTTAATACAATCATATATGCTTATCACTAAGAGTCACAGATGATTGAAGTATTGAGAATATTTAAGAAGAATAATGGGGGTGAGAGAGGAGGCAACTGAGTTATCCTTCTGAGCTCTGTAGGAGCAGAGAACAGATCCTTAGGGAAGGATCCTCAGTTGTCTTCATGAAACTAGATCTACTGGAAAAAATATGTGAAACATAGGGTCAGTGAATTCAGACAAGAAGAAATACAATTCAAGCAAATGTGAAAAGATTAGAAAAATGAAAAAACACGAAACATTGAAATGAAACAACAAAAAATAATGTTGAGAAAAGTGAGGGAACTTTCATACAAAACTGGAGCAAATATTCTAGAAGAATTTTTCTAGTTTTCTATCAATATTTATCAAGAAACTTTAAAATATCCATACTATTTAAACCCATGATTCTAGGATTCCACTTCTGGTCATAAATTCTACTGAAATAATCAGAAATGTAGTCAGAGGTTATGAGCAATGTTATGTATTGCAATTCTGTATATACTGATCAATACACATCCAATAAGCAAGAAAGGTTAACTACATTGTAGTCAATGTATAAGATAGAATACTTGACAACTAGTAAAAATAATGATTTGGGCAATATCTAATACAAACTTTTCATGTTATATAACATTAAACTAAAAATTTAGATATAAAATACAGATAATAAAATAGATAAAGGTTTTAGATATAAAACAGAAGTATGAGCCATACGATTTCAACGTAATAAATATTTATGTATTTAATATGTGCACACCCAAAAGGCAAAGAAATGTTCATCAAACTGTCATTTTTATTTATGGATGTTATTTTCTGTAATCTTCTATATTTTTCAACTTGCAATTAGCTTTTATTACTTTATAATCAGAAAATAGTATATTAAAAGAAATGCCTAATACAGTATACTCTATCCTTTTCCAACTGTTGACTTTCATTTCTAAATGTTGGCATTTATATTTGGAACACTGAATAAAACTGATTTTTAAACACTAGTGGGGTTGTAAATTAATACAATCTTTCTGAAAAATCTTTGACAATATATATCAAGAATCTTTAAGATGTTCAAAGCCTTTAAGCCAATAATTTCACTTCTAGAATCTATTCTAAGAAAATAATCAGAAGACAACAAATTTGTTGACTGCAGTGCTAGTTATCGAAGCAAAAAAAGAAAAGAAAAAAGAAACAGCCATTAAATGAAAGGAGTCATTAAATACAAGATGGTATATCCATACAATGAAATATATTGTGGTTATTAAAACATTGTGAAGTGGGACGCCTGGGTGACTCAGTTGGTAAGCATCTGACCTTGGCCCAGGTCATGATTTAGCGGTTCATGATTTTGAGCCCAGCATCAGGCTCTGTGCTGACAGCTCAGAGCCTGGAGCCTGCTTCAGATTCGGTGTCTCCCTCTCTCTCTCTCTGCCCTTCCCCACTCATGCTCGCTCTCTCTGTCTCTCAAAAATAAATAAACATTAAAAAAAATAAAACACTGGGAAGGAAGTTTAACTACTCAGATAATGCTTGAAGAATAATATTCAGTGATAAAATTGATGATAGAAATCTGTATGTACAGTATGGGTCTCTCCCTCTCTTTCTTTCTCCCCATTATATGTTTAATATAATCTAAAATTTATGTAAGGATCCTATTTGTGTATGCATGTGAGCATATTTATATATACTAGGAGAGAGAGAAAGACTGAACAAAATAAACCAAAACATTAATAGTAATTTTGATGATATCTAGGTATTAGAATAATGGGTTAACATACAGCATAGTATTGGTTTCAGGAGAAGAACCCAGGGACTCATCACTTAACATATAACATCCCAAGTGTCCTCCTTAATGCCCATCACTCATTTAGTCCATCTTCCTACCCACCCTCTCTCTAGCAACTCTCAGTTTGTTCTCTGTAGAGTCCCTTATGGTTTGCCTCCCTTTCTGTTTTTATCTTATTTTTCCTTTCCTTCCCCTATGTTTAGCTGTTTTGTTTCTTAAATTCCACATGAGTGAAATCATATATTTGTCTTTCTATGAGTTATTTCGCTTAGCATAATACACTCTAGTTCCATCCATGTTGTTGCAAATGGCAAGATTTCATTCTTTTCAATTGTTGAATAATATTCTATTGCATATATATATACCACATCTTCTTTATCCATTCATCAGTTGATGTACAGTTGGGCTCTTTCTATAATTTGGTTACGGTTGATAGTGCTGCCATAAACATTGGGGTGCATGTGCCCTGCAAAGTAAGAATATGGCCAGATTTTAATGTGGAATAATACATGTAAGAATACACACACACACACACACACACACACACACACACACACACACACACCTGTGTATCTGTACAGAGGGAGGCTGAAAAGAGATTTGGTTAAAATTAAGCACAGACTTGAGCGTTTTGGAGACAATATGATTTCTTATTACGTAGGTGATCTTGAGCAAATCACTTTATTTCAGTAAGCCTCAGTTTCAGTCTCTGCAAAGTAAAATAATACTTGTATATTTCTGAGTATTTCTATATTGGTTAGGGATTTTTTGGTGATAAGTAGAAGAAATCAAACCTGGGTAGCTTTATATTTAGAAAAAAAATGTTGTAGGGGTGCCTGGGTGGCTTAGTCGGTTAAGCGTCCGACTTTCGCTTAGGTCATGATCGCGCGGTTCGTGGGTACGAGCCCCACGTCGGGCTCTGTGCTGACTGCCAGCTCAGAGCCTGGAGCCTGTTTCAGTCTGTGACTCCCTCTCTCTCTGACCCTCCCCTGCTCACGCTGTCTCTCTCTCTCTCTCTCTCTCTCTCCTAGAAATAAAACATTAAAAAAATTAAAAAAAAAAGAAAAGAAAGAAAAAAATGTTGTTGCAAGGGAATGAAAAATCTTAAAGACTCAGAGGAATATCTGAAGAACCCAGCATGGGCAAAAGCAGGTCCCAGAGCCACTTATTAGATCTAGGTTACGAAACCATGGAAGCCTTTTCAGGAGAACACCACCTAAATGAATATGCTTAAATAGTTGCTAAGTTTTTCTGAGTCATTCTATTCAAGGCTCAAGTTCCAGAGAGGGCATCCAATTAGCCTGTCATGGGATATGTGTCCAGCCCTTTTCCAGGAACAGCGTGAGCCCCCTGATGGTCTGTCCCATCAGTACTGCAGACCCAAGGTGAAATCATGGGTAGATGGAGGGTGGGAGAGCTAGATGCCTGCAGACAAAAATAAAAACAATTTTCTCCATGTAATTTCACATGGTTGCTGTGAAAATCAAATGCATGTAAAATGCTTAACAGATATCCTAGCTCATAATAGTTGCTCAATACATTTTAGCTATTATAGACATTGTGTATGTCTTCGGTATGTGTATGTCTGTGTGTGCATGCTTGTTTTCACTCATGCAACAAAGTAAATATATTAAAATATTATCAGCATATATTCACGATTATTAATAATTATTTTCCAATTCCATCAAAGTGAACAAATATTACCTTTTTAATTAAACTAAAAACAATTAAAAATAAAAGTAAAATAAGAAACAAACACCTAAGAGAGAAAAAGAAGGGTTGGGATGAGATTTTAACTGAATTGGGCTAAGGGACACCTGGGTAGCTCAATGGGCTAGGTGTCTGACTTTGGCTCTAGTCATGATCTCACGGTCTATGAGTTGAAGCCCTGCACTGGGCTCCGTGCTGACAGCTCAGAGCCTGGAGCCTGCTTTGGGTTCTGTGTCTCCCTCCCTCTCTGTCCTCCCCAGCTCGCATTCTGTCTCTCTCTCTCTGAAGAATAAACATTAAAAAAAATTTTTTTAACTGAGTTGGGCAATAAGTAGATGGAGAAACGATAAAAGAGAATCCCTGATTAGGTATTCTCAAAATAGAACTGTAGTAGGCTCTACTTGTGAAGAGAAAATCTGTGCCTTGCACAAGTGATGGTGAAAAGGGGTGGAGACATCATAGGTTTC